ATCAATGACTAATCTATGATTATAGATTATTTAATCTAATAATAGGTATTCAGATTATTGATTACATTTATTCGACATTAAAATACAGTGTATAATGGACGCATGTAAACCACGGAATGTATTTGTACGGAATATTGGTTTCCGGAATTTTTATTTTCAAACCGTATTTGTACGGATTACATGTTTCCGGAATGTATACATTCCGGACTGTATTTTACCGGAAACCTTATAAACCCAGATTGTATTTTTCCGGAAACAAAAAATTTGCGAACTATGGTCACGGATCGTAAAAACCCGGAATTGAAAAATGTGTAAAACGTATTTATACGGATTGTCTGTTCCCGCATTTTAAACGCTCAGACTGTATAATGTCGGAAAATAAATTGTTAATCACGAACCGTATAACCTCGGAATCTTGGAAAACGTTTGAACCATTTTTACATTCTCGGATGTCCACGTATAACCAAACCTTACAATGGCCGTATATTTTTCTACCTTAACTACGTTTTTAGATTCGTAGAGGGACGATGAATGTTTTGGTTTTACAATGATGTTTATTTCTTTTTTATTACTTCCTAGTTATGCCGTTTTCCCCCCTCTCCTTAACGGGCATCAGCTATTAGATTGGTGATAAAATGAGAATATTTAGAAAACTAGCTCCAACAAGCCTTAATATTTGTTATTAAAAACAATTACGAGATCGTTTGAAAATCAAAAGAATTTATTTTAACCGCAAAAATATTAAATAAGGGCGACTAAAATAATGGTAACGTAACTCCTTAGAGCTAATAATTTCTTAAGTTAAAAAAAAACCGAAAAAGTTAATATTTTCATAAATCATGAATGTCTTGTCGATTCTATAATATAGATAGTCTGTATTTAGTAGGGTTTGGTAATAAACGATCGGGACTAGCAACGTTACGCATCGGATACCTATATTTTTTTCCACGAAATTCAGTTCTTAATTACGGATCGGAAAAACCCGTTTTCCGGGATTATACGGTCCATGACTATACTTTTTTTTCCGAAAACATACAATCCGGGTTCATAAGGTTTCCGGTAAAATACAGTCAGAGTGCTTACAATCCGGGAGCTAACAATCCGTACAAATACGTTTTGCATGTTTTTCGATTCCAGGTTTTTATGGTCCGTGACTGTACGGTTCACAAATTTTCTTTTTCCGCAGTTCCACATTCTGTAAAAATACATTTTTACTCTGGAATTATACAATCCGAGCAAATACATTCCGAGATTTTAAGGATTCCCGTGTATAATGTATTGTACATTGTATTGTTTTTATAAAAAAATAATGTTTTCATATGTTACCCAACTGCAAATGAAAAGATAAAATATATTAATATTGTATATCAACTGGTTTTTTTTTTTTGTTATGACAAAAGGGCATAAATAGATAATCTATATGCATTATAATTATTGTTCCTATTTACAAATAGCACATATGAAACAAATTAAATTAGCTGTATTGTCTGAAAATGTTTCAAAATTTCACAAAATTATTCCTTGTGTTTTTTTTTTCTGACACGTTTTTGATTAGTTCAATGCTCCAATTTGTTCACGTAATAGATAGGTTTACCCAAAAATGGAGTTATTTTTCATTAGACCAAATAATAGGTAACATGTATTATAATAATGTATATTATTAATATTATATAAATTCAAAATGATATGAAATCTCCGATTCGTTTTCAATAGGAACCCTTTATTATTATTATACATCGTATATAGTAGGCATACTTTGTTTATGTTATCTAATGGGTGCAAAAGTGTGAAAATCGAAGGGACATCATACAACATACATGACACGTGCGTATACACGTGACTTAACACGTGTCTCAAATTGGTCGCACGTGTTACAGTTTAAATAAAATAATAAAGTGATTCGTACAGTATAATATACCTATACTAGCTACTTATACATTTATTTATATTTAACTATAAACATGTAGCAACTATAGGTGTCGACGAGATGAGAATATTGAAATAAAAACATTATGTGATTAAAACAGTAGCGCACGCGGGATTTTTTTCAGATGAGGTTTTGTGCATAATAATTTTCTAATCAGGGGACAGCACATATTATCAGTACAGTACTATCACTATTATTACCGAATAATATTATTTTTGATAAAATTCAATTTTATTTTATTCTGTGGTATTAAATATTAGGTTGTTGAATGTAAAACTTGATTTAAAAAAATGTAATGAAGGAAGACATACCGGAAGGGTTTTGACCCCCTAACCTCCTTGTATGTGTCCCTGGATCAAAATTATAGGCATATCGATCCGTTTAAATAATTAATTTAAATATAACATTATTCTTGGTTTAAATGTATTATATACTTTTCTTTATGGTTAACATATATGTAAAATATACCTTCAATTTTGTCTAAGAACAACTTTTCTAAAATCATGTTTCTTCTAGTTGATAAATTTGAAGGTTATTCTTTGATTTTCTTTATAGTTTTCATAATGATTGAGAAAATACAGCACAATTTATGCAATAACGGTTTTAATTTAAGCAGGTTTTCGGTGTAAATTTCCAAACCACTTAAATCGGTGATATACGTTTCTGTATGTTTGTATCTTTTTGCAGTATTGCTCCGTACATTTGGAAAAAAAGGTTTATTTTTACTACCTGACTCTTAAATTAGTACGATTCCATATGAAAAGCCATGAATCCAAACAATTGTTTAAGCATTTCTGTTAAATAAGTCTATCCATAGAGTACTTACCAAATAAAAATTACCACGTTTAGAAAAAAAAAAATATAAGTTTTCTTTAAAAATGTCAAGTCTTTACGAATATTTTTAATTGAACTACATTAAAAAAAGGGCATACTTCGCACGCGGGTGCAACCATTGTTGTAGGTGGGAAGTTGGGAAGGTGAGCTACAGACGGGAATTTGCTGTATATTTGTAAGCAACGATAAATCATTGTTAATGAAAAACGATTTTGAGCAAAGTCCAATTGATAATTTTGCTTTGTCAACAATACAATATATGGTATTATGTCATATTACCGTAAAATGATTAAAACAATATGTGTGTCCATGACAACAATGATAGCTTAAAAAAGATTAAAATAATAAAACTTAATTATAATAAAAGATAAATAAAAACAGTTGCCAATGATAGCCTTATTTTTAATTTTTTAATCTTTTTTAACCTAAAGACAGTTTTCCTAATTATCTCGAATATTAATGAGAATTTCAAAAAAATACCTCTTTAAAGTATCACCCAGAGAACATTTTTTTTCAGAATAGGTGCTATACATGATAATCGAAGTATGCTTTCTGGTAGAAAAAGTGTCCACATAAAAAAAATTAATAAATAAACATCATCGTAAAACCAATTCGTTCCTCGTTCCATTCAGAATCTAGAACAGAATATAAAAAAACAAAAAAATTATTTTCGTAAATTTTTCCCTCTTTATACGTACTTTGGTTTTGTTTAATTTTTAAAAAAATTACAAAGAAAATCAAAAAACGTCGTTCTTGGTCACCAATTAGATTAAAAATTCAACAAAAAAATCTCTTGGAGTATTGGAGTAATATTATTGGTAGAAAATATACAGCATAAAAAAGCTCTCCTAGGATAATGGGGATGGGTGCAACCTTTATTGTAGGTGAGAATTTGGAAAGGTAGGATACAGAAGGGAATTTAATGTATATCTGTAAACAACGATAAACCATTGCTAAGGAAAAAATGATTCTTAGCGGAGTTCAGATGATAGTAATGCTTTGTCAACAACATATATATATATATCATATTATAGTAAAATAATTAAATAGGTATATATTTTCTTTAATAATAATTGTTTAATATTGTACCAATTTTCCCAATTTTCTTATGAGATTCCATTACTTTTTCTTGGTTTTTCACTTTTGCTGAGAAAACTTGGGAAAATCAAAAGTGACCCCTTTAAAGTACCTTCCCACATCGATTTTCTTTCAGAAGAGGCGCTACACTTAAAAATAGGAGCAAGATATCTGGTTAAAAACTTGTCTACAGGAAAAAAAAATAAACATATATCTTAATAAAACTATAAGCTTTTTCTCTCCACTCAGAATCTAAAACAATTTTCTTTGTCACTAGTTAAATATTAAAAGGAACAAAATTGTTTTCAATTGGAGCAATATTTTTGGTAAAAATATAAGTTGCAAAAATTAAAAACCATGAAAAAGATAATGCCGTGACGTGCCGTAAATATTTTTCGTTTTACTTACTATTTTCTTTCTGATTTTTCTCATTAATTTTGAAGACCCCTTAGAAAATAAAAAAATTATTTCCCTAATACACCAACTAGATAAAATTACCTTTCAGAAAAAGTGCTACATTTAATATTTCGAAATTTGAAACAAGTTTTATTGGATGAAAGTTGCTTATAGACAAAAGAAAACACCACATCATAGTAAAACCACCAATAGATCCCTCACTAAGTTCCAAATCTAAAGTACTATTTAGTATTATTGTGTAAACTATAATCAATACACTGGTATAAATAATGCAAAAATGAAAAACCGTATTTTCTATTTATCCGTGGACACTATACAAGAAGTATTGTCCACTAGGCTTAATCCACATTTTTAACTAGGACGTCTAGGTTTAGGTATAATTAACACGTACTATACATACTTTTTATACACATCTTTAGATTTTTTAACGTCATAAACACAAACATAACTGCTTAATTCGTTGTCTTTATTTTCTTCTCTTTTGTAATATAATAAAATAAAACAAAATTATTTAATGGTTAATTTTCGTAAATATATAAGAAAATGCGCCGCCTTGAGTATATTGAAATGTGTATTCTACAACCGGTTTCGAATTAAAAATTAAAAGTTTTACTTTTTTAACTTAATGATTTTACTTGATGAATTTTTAATTCGAAACCGGTCGTAAAATACACATTTCATAATACTCCAGGCGATGCATTCATTTATTTATTTATACAATTCTTTTTTGTGCTTGTAGATTGAACTCTATTCCGAAATTGTAAGGAAAAGTATAGTATGGATATTTGTACACAAATATTACATATTTTATTATTGTACAATCTAACGACAATAGTCTTCATTTCTTGAATAGGTATAGTATAAGACCGTAATTCATACATGTAGTAGTATAGGTAATATAGATAATGTAGTTTGATTTTCGATTAAAATTTGTGGATATTATACCAATTGGTGCAAATAGGGAGGGATTGTGGATTTAACTCCCTCCAAATGAAGTTTGTTTCAAGTAGATAATAATTAGATATATATATATATTTATATCAATTTAAATCAACCTACGCATATTACAGTGGTTTATACTGCTTTTTTAGTAAATTATAGTTTATGAGGATATTTCAATGAAATACAAAAGCAACCAAAATAAATATTTGGCAAATATTTTGCCCATTTCTTTTAAGTTAATTACTGATACATTATTTATATTGCCTACCAAAATATCTATTGGTGAACACTGAACAGTTTTGTGTATTATAACGACGGTCGTGATGACGTTTAAGAACTGCAAACGCGAATCATTGATTTGTCCACAGTTACCCCTCTGGGAAAGATAGCACCTGTTTACGAACACACAAAATATATAGTAAAGCACTTTATAGACGCGCAGCGTTCGATGTTAAAGTAAATATACGTGCCATTCTATCAAACGTAATATTCTTCAATTTAAAACCATTAAATTATATATGTTGTTAAAATGTAAGTATCGAGTTGGTGCGTATAAATTATTACCTATACATATTGATATAAACACTAATATTTTGCAATCATAGCCCATAAGTATCCTATATAATTGTTTAATCAAATTTAAATTAATCATTCGACTAATATGATGAATAAAACAAAAAATACCGTTTTTACGGATTATTTGAGCTTTTGCTTATTTTTTGCTTAAAATTGCAACATTGAAATCCTCAAAAAAATTGCAATTCGGTTATTATTGTTCAAAAAAAAAAAGTTTTAACACAATATTAAGCATTTATTGTAAAACTACTCAAAAGGATACCCTAGGATACAGCTTAAACTTGAGTAACTGATTTTTAGTTGTATAGCCTTTTTTGTGTTGTTCAAAACAAATGCTCTCTGGAGGTGCCACAAAATATATGGCCAAAAAAATTACAAATTTAATTATCTAATATACACATCATAAAAAAAAATTAAAGTATCGTTTATCAATAAATATTAGGACGATAAGTCGATAATATACTTATAATTTCATATACATACACTGTTTACATTTACCAAGTTTAAGTACAAAGGAAATCTATATTTTAAAGAGCTAAGTATTTCCCTTTTTAAAATTTACGAAGTACATATTTTGTAAAATATATTGTTCTAAAAATTTGAATTTAATATACATTCATATCCGATTAATAATTAATTAAATTAAATTTTCAATCTTTTAGTTATTAAAAGTGATAAAATAAAATAATTTTTTTCAATAATTAAGGTATGATAATAAAAAAATCAATTTTTCTCTACATGTGTGTCGCACAAAACTGGATTGAAATAAAAATGCTCTGTGCCATCATATAAATGATGCTTCACTATAGATAATGAGTGTCTACGATAGATTGATTCCTCTGTATACTATATTGAAAATATTTATTATTCGCTTCGAAATTTCGAACTACGAGTACTTTCCTTGTATGTTTTCATATTTGGAGCAAGTCAAGTTAGACAGGCAAGGCACTCCTGTATTTTGTTTTGAGTTATTTGCCCAGGAGCGGACTAACCCACCATTGTACTGTTCTACAGCATAGTAGGCTGGGTCCTTTATAAGGCTGACGCTATGGCTTATTTATAAACTGTGTTTATTTTATTTTTTAAACATTTCAAAAATATGTGCGTATTTGAAAATACATACAAGGCACATATTTATAATGAAAATCAAGCTAAGGGTATCTTGAGGAGCAAATGGAGGGGACTCAATTGGATCCGTTACTACAGGTTGACACTAGATTTTTAGAGTTATAATTTGAAAATGTATTTGTTTATTTCTGGTTTTCATTGGTTAGTTGGTTAAAACGATTAAAACAGTTGTTTTTAGATCTAGAATATATTTAAAAACCATTCATGAACTGCAAAGTATCGTTTGTAAAACAGGGTTTTTCAGAATATATAGATAGTACGATATAGACTTTTAAAAAATGGCTGAGATTATAGGCGAAAAGCATACATGCCATTATGTACCGTAGAAAGTTGGAAGGGGAGAGAGAGATCACAACATGTAGTAATGCTAGTTTTTTAATATATTTAATAAAAACAAATGTTTTTTGTAAATTTGTAACGTATCAAAAAGTTACTATAATACTTGCTTGAAAAATATTTATGTAAACAATGTACCTATTATATTTTACTGATTTATTTTTTTTGGGATAGCTGGCTTGGACATACATATAAAAACAAGTGGCTATTTGACTTGCTTATATGTGTTTGTCCCGTATGAACCAGGCTTCGGTTATATAATATATTATATATTTAGGTAGGTACCTAAAACAAATTTAAATTAAATTATCCAGAAACTTTAATTATTGATGATAAAAAAAATATATATCTAAAATACAGTTCGGCAGAATTGTAGTTTTACAAAAAAAAAAAAAAGGAAATTTTAACGTCACAGTTTACGAAACGATCGAATGTGTGTTGAGGGGAGTGGGCGTGGTCTCTGGGTGGCGTCCCTTTTGGAACGCCTAGCGTGCAAGTTCGCGTTTTTGCTACCGATAAATCGTGTCGGCTACGCAGTGTCCCGGCGCAGGCTGCTAGCAAACGAATACGGACGCGGACTATCCATCACTATATATCCGCTTTCGCCAGCAACATCTACGCGTAGTAAGAGATATGGATCACCATCATCACCATCACCACTATCAACTGCACCATCACAATGCCTCGCACCATTATCATGCACCACCGTACACCAGAGACTATTTTCTGTATGAGTATTCATCCGGTTCCGAATCAGACGGTACGAGTTCGCTGAACAGCGACTGCGATTCCGGTAATTGTGGTAAGCCACTAACGTGACTATGTTGAAGTCTATAGAACATTGAATTAAAAAAAATTATTTTATGAGAATAAGGGTGATTAGTATCATGTTGTATTATAGCATCAGTTTGTATATGTATGAATCAGTTTCACATGGTTCTAATCACCCTTATTCTCAAAAAATATAATTTTTCAATTCAGTATTCTATAGGCTTGAACGTATTCCATTAAATAAACATAATTATAAACACGAGTTCAATATCATCTATAATATAGCCCATAGAAATAATTTCAATAATTGAAATTCATAAATGTATTAAAGAAAAAATAATATACAACTAGCCAAATAATGTTTCAACTATTGTAGTATGAAATATCAAAATATTATGTCCAACGAAATCGCTAAAATTCTGAACAATAATACTAATAATGTAAAAATCACTTTTAAGGCTAATAATAATTAAAGCAAACATATAAACAATAGAACTAAAACTTCACAAAAAATCCCCCTTCTTTTGAAAATGTTAGTATATATAAACTTAAAATAAAATTTAAAAAGACTGCCCCTAATTCAAATTTCGCTAAACATGTTTTAGAAAATAACCATAATTTAAGCTTTGATATTAATACAGACTTAGACATATTAAATACCCAAAATAACATGTACATTAATTCAGTTTTTGAAGATTTACACATACACAATGAAATAAAGGAAAATAGTTTTAATAATATTTTAAATGTTCAAACCGATTTTAAAAATAATATCTTATATCAATACATTTTAGACAACAATAATAACCAAATAATTTATATTTCTTAACATATCTATGTCTAATATATAATAATCCATATACTATTAAAATCAATTATTTCTATGGAAAATTACTAATTTGTATAATTTTTTTTTCATGTATTCCTTCATTTAATTTTAGATTCCAAGCTTAGCGAGAGAGCTATTGGTTTTACTAAGATGTAAACTTGTTTCGATTTTTACGTGTATCAACTTTTCTGAACGCTCAAGTTGTCTAGGTGGTGCTTTATACATGTCATTTTTTGATTTTCGTCGCCATTTTTTAAATAAAAATATTTAAGTGGCAAAAAAACGTAGGAAAACGGACAATTTCACGATTTCATTATTTTATAAAAACAACGATGACGTTTTCTACCAGAAAAAATGATTTTAACGAAAAATCACAAGATTTTTCTCAAGGCACCTTTTATGTTGCCTTTTTGATTTAATTTATCACGGTATCATCGTTAAAACTTTTGAGCTTTTAAAGAATTAGAATTTTTTTTTTGCTGTAATTCGGTTAGAAATACACGTAGAGACTTGAAACTCGGTGATTATACTTATATTGGACTTACCTAGAACTGGGAAAAATTTCCAAAATCATTGGACGACTATTTTTTTTTTAATAAGCGTTTTAAAATCAAATTTAAACGAAAATCGCAAAAAAAAATTACGGCTCTTCAAATTATGTATTACTGAATTGCGCTCAGAATCGTTTATCGTCAAGCAATTATTTATTGTTGCTTTCAGATGTAAATGAAATAATCCTATGTATCCTACCTTCTCAACTTCTCACCTACAACAGTGGCCGCTCCCATCCCCAGTATCAGCCCTTTTTTTCAACTTAGTCGGGTTTTAAAATTTGACTGTAATATACCTGATATCAGGTATACCTGATGATGAATTTTTAATTCGAAACCAGTCATTTAATACACTTGTCATAATATTCCAGGCGACGCATTTATTTATTGGTTCATTTTTTATTTGTACGTATAAATTTGTTATTTGTATATTTATTTATGAGTGTTAACCATTTTAGTAATTTTGTTTTTACTTTATTATTTTATTGTTTATAATAAACCTCCTGTCAAATATTCAAGCATTTCTGTTAGGTCAAATAATTATATCTACATAATACCTGCCAAAAAAAGACTAAGTAAAAAAGTCGCAAAATTAAATAGCCTATAAATAGCTCAAAAATTGCTCGAATGTTTTTGAAATTTTATCCCGTTTAGAAAAATAAAATATAAGTTTTTTAAAATTTCAAGTCTTTATTTTTACCTGAATTACAACAAAAAAACAAAATTGAAAATAATAAAAGCATTATTTTCGTAAATTCACCCATTCTTTCTCAGTTATTTTTCAGTTTTGCTAAATTATTAAAAATCTATAAGGGAAATCAAAAATGACTTTCTTACTCACAAACTACATTAAAAATTCAATAATACAGATCTCTTGTTTTTTTTATAGGAGAAATATTTCTGGTAAAATATATTGCGTGTAAAAAATAGAAACAATCGGTAACGCCGCGATGCGCCGTAAATTGTCGCATTTTTCTTATAATTTTTTTTCCTGTTTTTCGGTCCCAACTATTCTGAAAACCCCTCGAAAAATCAAAAAATGAGCTATCTGTAAAACCAACTAGATAAAAATTCCTTGTAGTAAATGTCTTACACTTGTATTTGAAACATCAGAGCAAGTTTTTTGTTTGAAAAGTTGTTTACAGACAGAAAAAAAACACACATCATAGTAAAACCGATTAATTCTTTGCTCCAGTCCAATACCAAAAATTGTAGTCGAATTTGTACTTTTATTTTTTTTTTTAGTCTGTTAAACCTAAAAAATTACTGTCCTAATGAAGTGATGACACGAGAAGCGCTAAAAAAATGCATATATAATGATTGCACACTATTACTCTTTGTCATTTGCTGTCAGTTTAAACCCTGCATTTATATTACAGTTAAATTTGATGGCCTCTTACATCTTTTAAAACGATAATTGCACAACGTACAATAAGAAAATTTTAAAGGCATATGTACTTCAAAACACCGGAACAGAAAAAAAAAACATTAAAAACGTTTTGTCGCGGTACCCCGAGAGATAAATACTGATGTTCATTACTAAGTTACAATACTAAGTTCACAATACTATAGACGAACGCGAATACGGAACATCCATATAATTTAAAATTATGTTGTGTGTTAACCGCATTAGGCGTAGGCCGCAAGAAGAGTTCACGATGTCACAGGCAAAAGACGCAACAGCGTCAGGCGGCCAACCTGCGTGAAAGACGACGCATGCAGAGCATCAACGAGGCGTTCGAGGGTCTTCGCGCGCACATACCCACTTTGCCGTACGAGAAGCGCTTGTCCAAAGTGGACACCCTGAAGTTGGCCATCGGTTACATAAACTTCCTGTCCGAGCTGACCAGAGGCACGGGACCGATCGGCAACGGCGTCACGTCGTTAAACGTGGCCAAACTAACTACGATTGCCGGTCGCCTGCACAGGCCACCGGCCCAGGTCAAAGAACAGCCCATCAAGAAGTTCATTGTCAGAGGTAACGCTTGTTAAATAGTACTAAAATAACGCGTATAATTACAATATTTTATAGTAGTGATTAAAATCAAACGGAGTTAAAAGCGTTTATATACTCGTATATTTATCTTTTTCTTCATACTTATTTATTTATTTGTATACTGTATATAGATATTCTGAGTGCATCGAAGCAGCTATTATATAGTTATACTGAGATGTGTTACTTTCTCGGAAAAAACTTTTTGGGTTAGTATAAACGCTCCGATTTGTACACGCCATAAAAGATGCAGACATGTTCTACATCCCTAACAGTTTTCTATACAATTTAAAAAATTGACAGTTATAATGTCGATACATCGGTTTTATTTTTAGTTCAATTCAAGACAAAAAACAAGATTAATACTTAGATTACTAAGACTAATACCACTCTGCTCAGAATTTTTTTTTGATTTATAAATCAAACTACCCTATATGACCTACTTCTAAAACTTTCAAATTTCAAATTTAATTTACAGGATCATATCCGTGGTACTAAGTTCGTCAAGTTTTATATTATTATTTTATACAGGTATTAACTGTTATTATAATTATATATATATTATACTGAGTTTATAGAAAACGCTTTGACTGTAAATAAACTATATAACATCAGTTAGTTTAACAGCTATCTAATTTAAGCAATTGGGGTGAGTTGGGAAGGTAGGATGTATAAATTATAGTGTAATTTAATCTATATTGTTTGTAAGCAACAATAAATTATTGCCAACCAAAATAATTTTATCGTATTTCGGTTGCTTACCAATAAACATGATTTTGTTCACAAGATTTGATCACTTTGTAAAACCAATTATTCCTCGTTTCGCTTAGAATCTAAAAAAATCCATTTAGCCTATGGTACTATTAAAATTAAAAGAATTTAGAGAGCAAGCTGCCCTCTTAGCACCTATCCTCTATAATTTCGTAAAAAATGAAATTATTTATACGTGTTTCAATATAAATTCCATTGTTTAGTATACATAATAAAAATAAATACATACATTTTTATATATTTGAATGCAATTTTGGCCTTTAACTGTTAATAAAATCCACTCCCAATTAATATAAATTACTAGGTACCTATTGTTATTTATTTTGTTGTTTTATATTGAAATCTATTGAAATTTGTTTTAAAAAATGTATTATCGACTGCTACAGTTAATAACTGTATTAATAAATTATATAATATAAAATATTGCACATGTATTACTGCATAATATATATACCTACACAATTTATACCAAACTATTATTTAATTTAAATTTAAAACAGATGGTATTTTGCAGATGTTATCTTTCGAATTTTCAGATTCTATGCTCTGGAACATAGGAGTAATTAAGAAGATAACAAGAATATAATTTTGCAGGTATCCTTAATAATATACCTATATACAATTATTCGTATTTATTTATGAACTCCTAAAAATAAAAACAAATAAAAATACTGATTTAAAATGTAACTATTCTTGACGAAAAAGTATCTGTATTTGATAGAAACATAACTATTTTACATTATAAAATATTATAAATCAAATCAAAACGTTTTAAATATTTGAATCTTCTCTTTGTTATGTAATAACAAAATACAATTGAACAGGTATAATGCCTAAACATTAGTAGGTCAGTTGTAGTATCCATGAAGCAGCTATTTCTACTTCATAACCAAATTAGGTGAGTTGGTGTAGCTCTGTATCATAAAATTTGATAATGAAAATTGTATAGCAGAGACATATATATACGAGGGGGGTATCAGAGGTATACAACTTATATAATATTAATTAGCTTAGTATGATTTAGGTGGATTTTGCCGTCTAAAATTGTATAAGTTCATCTCCCCCCAAGAAAAACAAGTCGTGTTACGTTACTGAGTACAAGAAAATTTATAGTAATACCTTAGTTATAACTCTTGATTCTTCTGTGCTAGGGTTGTGTGAGACTTTTTGATATTTTAATGAAACTTCTTCATAAATAATGGGTACTTATATTAATGATATTAAAATGTACCTATTATTTTTTTGAACCACATTTTCCAAATAGTTTACGTGAACATAATTTAGTACTTGACATATTCTATATTTTACACTCGTATTGTTCTGTCAATAAATTTACTTATGTTGGACTTATAATCAAGCCCAGGTTAACAATATCGTAGGCCCTAGGCACTAATAAGGAAAAAAATGTCAACAGTAAATTGTTAGATTAGCCACTAATAAAAAAGAAAAATAGTCATTAACAATTTTTTTCGTAGGTCCTAGGTTGGGGCTAACTTTTATAACTTTTTATATGATAACAATTTTAACAAACCCAAAATAATTCATTTTACTCCAAAATATATAAAATTAAATTGTTAAAAACTATAAAAAATAACTTTTATTATATCATCTTGCATATTTCTTTATCCTTCCCCACCAGTGGTGGCTCGAAGTATTTTTACCTTGAATCGCCGAATTAATTTTCCACTCACCCACCCATCCCAACCCGAAATACCCTCACCCTAACACATAAAATTTCCGCTACCTAAAATTTGTTTAATAACTTTTATTTTATAAAAACTTAATATTTTTTGTTATATTTCTGATTACCCAAGCACCTACAACCCACCCACCCATTTTTTTTTTTTGTGAATATTAACTTATAATAATAATAATAATATATAAAATATTACAAAAAAATCGTGGCCACACATTTTCGTAAGCCCTAGGCACAATGCCTATGCACTAATACGGCCCTGGTTATGACGTATAATAAAATGTATAGTAAAATTGTATTATTAAATTAAATTTATTTGATTTTATTTGCAAAATTATTTTTAAAAAAAAAATAACAATTTGCATACAATATAATATATATTATATTATTTTCAATACGTATATTTATGTATAAATTGTTTGTTAAAAGTTCTATATTATCAATGTTTTATAACATAGATAATCGAAAAATGTGTAATTATATAATATGTGGTAATTGAAAAGTTTTACAATGATTTTTATTTTTTTTCTGTGAATAACTTTTCTACCAGTAATTTTGGTTCTATTTTCCATAGCACTTTTTCTGAAAGAAAATCTTACTGGGATGGTACTTTAAGAAGGTCATTTTTTTATTTTCTTAGCTGTTTTCATAATAAACGGAAAAACTTTAGAAAAACAGGAAAATTGACGAAATATATTATGTTTCGTTTGTTTATTTTTTGTTTTTTTTCAGCTAAAAATATTTGTAGAGACTTGAAGATTGGACAGAAAACTTATATTTGCCATTTATAGACGTGGTTAAATTTGTATAACATTGTAGCCATTTTTAAACTATTTATAAACATTTTAATTTTACGAGGTTTTTTACGTAATTTTTGTTCGGTAGGTACTCTGTGGATAAAATGTTTAAACCAAACAGAAATGTTCGAAAATTTAACAGGAGGTTCATTTAAGTTGCTTATTATAAGATATGTAAATTGTATTATATGTCTCGTATAAAATGATAGAATATCGTTTGTATACACAAAATAAACAAATAGTTGATAATAACTAGATAATTTTGTATCTTGTATATTTAGATATTCCTACAGGCTACATTACAAAAAATACCGAATGATTTTCTGAAAAATGTTCCTATTGATAAAACAATAAAAAAGTAGCGTAGGTACCTATAATAATTATTAAAAATGGTCATTATTGTGCGACGATCCAAGATCATTTACAAATTCTCGATCTTAATATTTCTCTTCTTAAATTGGAAATATTGGAACCTTTTGATTTTAATTATAATTTAATGATTCGAAATAGTTTATAACAAAATAACAAATATTTGTTATAGTTACATTAAAATCTTTGATTCCAGGTGCTTTCGGAACTCCATATTCATTGCATTCGTTATCTTGGTCAAGAACAAAAGAAAATTGCCCAAATAGTGCAGGAGTTATGAGAGCAAAATTATGGAGACCTGAAGTGGGATCACCACGTAACTCTGGGTCTACTTCAACCTCAACGTGTTCGACATCATCAAGTAAAACAACATAAAAGTGTATACGATTAATTAAAATAATCGTTCGGTTGTTTTAACTTATAGCCAAGTCATTTTATTTTTCTTTCATTGTAAATTTAATAGAATAATTTCGTGTGTTTAACAGTGTATATTTTTAATCGTGCTGTGTCATAACTATCTTGCAGTTACACTTTATTAGCTACGTATATCTTTATTAACTAGGTTAAAAAAAAATGTAATTATTCAAAGATTTTTGTTTTTGTTAATAAAAATACCTAATGTAATCTATATATCAAATCAAATTAAGTATTAAAATGCATCTATATATTTTAATAGGTAAATATTATAGGAACCTGTATTAAATGATGTATTAACTTGTATTATATATTCATTCCTACAGTCATAAAAAAACAGAGGTTACCTATACTATAAGCAGGATACACCGGATGATTAACATAATGTAAGATACTCATTATCTTGGAAAGAATTAACTTTTTTCAGTATTTGGTTTTTAGAATATTTAAGAAATAAGTAGCTATAAAATATTACATTTCTTATTTTCGTTCACTTTATTTACAGGGTGATAATACTACCTTCTTTTGATTTTCTAATAGCGACCTATATTAAAAATTCCATAAACAAATTAATTATTAATTTAAATCAATTTTAGCGTTGAAATTTTTAACTTACATCAACCCGTTAACAAGACATTTCACTTTTAAGTATCACTTGTGTGGCGATACCTTACGTGGCGTTAGACATGATTTTATGGCATAAATGCAGTTTAGCTCCCAAGCGATTTTTTTGGCAATTTTTTTTCCAAAATATGGGTTTTTGGGTTGAATACATAATTTGATGGTACTTTTAAAAAATTCACTCAAACTTCATTTGAAAGTTATGGTCAAAACACTTCAAAATGTTTGATTTTTCTCAAAACCGTGTTTTTGAGTTAAAAATACCAAAAATGTATATTTTTGAAATATTTTTTAGTTTTAGAAATAGTAATTATATGCTTAATATTTGTTGGAATCAAAATTCACCTATCGTACTTAGTTTTTATGTTGTTAATAAACTACGTAAAACCTAACTATAATTTTATTTCAATCAATTGCATTATAAAGTAATTCAAAATTGATTTTTTGGACTTTCTTTTTTCATTCGGTGTATAATAACATAAATAATTTTTTGGTGAAATTAGATTTGATATCGAAATTATGATACTAACGACTGACAGACAACGGACAAGGACCTAAAATATTAGTGATCAGACTGTAATCGTGTAGTTTAGCTACAAACAAAACGTACAAATTATTTTAGATCTTTATAAATCAAAAAAAAAAAAAAAAACATACGTTTTTCTCTATTTTGAATATTTACGTGATAAAATGTCCGTAGCATTATAGATTTTAAATTTCATATATATTTTTAAATAACTTCCCTACTCCTCCGGTCTAAAATTTAAACGGTTACAACTCATAAACTCATATGTATATCGCATATTAATGTTATTCATATCAAAATTCTTAGAAAATTATTCTCTATTCGAACTTTTATTCAAAAAGAGGGTTCCTTGAAAAACAAAAGTATTTATCTATTTAAGGTATAGTAGGGTTAAAAAATTAAAAATGCTTTTAAAACTAAGCTTAAACAGTTCCATAATCTTAGAAAAAAAAACGAATCAAGTTCACTTAAAATCCTCCGAGAAAATTGCAAATTCATGAAAAAAAAATACTATACTATACTATATAGTATATATCTATACTGTGTCCCACGAAGATGTACATTGTAATATCTCTGGAGATAATTAAGATAATCAAATTTTTTTTTTATATTACTTACAGGGATAAGGATAACTAATATTTATATTTATATTAGTTGTCTATATTCTGGTAAAGAAAATAAAAAAATAACTTTATTTTCAATAAATTCGTGATTTTTATTCATTTGTTAAAATTCAGAGAAAAGAAGTAAATAATCAATTAGCAAATGCGATTACAGTCTGCTGCATAATTATATGTTATTTTCTCTGAATTTAAAAAATATTAACCAAATTTTTCGAACGAATATTATTTAAACTCTATAGAATGGCTATCTTCAAATTTGTCAAAAATAATAAAATAAAAAGTTTTTTTTTCAAGTTTTTTCCCAAAACACGAAAAATTAATTGAAATATAAATATTTGTAATTCCTGTGAGTAATACAAAAAAAATAGAATTTGATTATCTTTATTATTTCCAGAGATAATACAATGGGTTTATCTTCGTGGAAAACCCGTATATAAGTGATTAATTAATAAAAAAAATATTATATGGCCTTTACGTAGTAGCACTGGGATCAACTTGTCAATACTATAACAGTGCTCAGTTGATTGCCGTGTAACAACCATAGATTCTTAGTGACGTACGCGAGAGAAAGGTTATGGGTTATATACTTATATCTCCCCCCCTTACCGAGTGGCTTGAAAATACAATAAGTTATAACTTATAAGTAATTCTATATCGAAATTTATATAATCCAGCCAAATTACGAGGAAAAACTTATTATAGGTATTTATTATAAATTGGCTTTTTTAGGACCCGGCTTTTAAATTACCAATTCTACCATACTTATAGTCCATACTATAGTCAAATTGGGTAGAGAAGATGATTTCACGATTCTTATTTGCTACATCCCCTCTCATCAAAAATTTCTGGGCACGCCACTGTAGATAATACCATTAATATGTATTATCTGTGACAACATACAACAACTGACTTCAACCCATAGATTAATACAATAATATTCTATTCTATAATCAACGGTATAATATAAAGTAATCGAGTCTTACCGACTTTCCGACCGCTTGGCGCTTACTGCAACCGTTATTCTCATTGACCTCAGTCATGATATTTGCTATTCGGCGCGCGCATCTTCCTTGCAATTGGCTGTGTAATGTGTTGAAAGTTACGCCTGGTAAGTGGTAAAATGCGTTTGTTCAGTTTGTTGATCAATTTTTCGCATGCGTAGTGTTCACGTATTCATGTTTGATCTAATGACAAACGACGCACGCATAAGGCACAACATAATATTTTCGTGTGTCATCATAATAATAGTTATTTAATATTTATTGTTTCAATTTTTTTTACATTTTACTCGTATAAGTACTTATTTTTGTTAGATAGTGATAGAGATAATATTACACTTCTTACCTGTAATAAAAATAACAGGAAATAAAATTAATTAATACAATGACTAAAAAGTGTTTGAAATTTATATTTGGACTTATGATGAACCTCGTTTAAAATCTTTGAACATTTCTGATCGGCTATAACAATTTTATTCTCGTTAAACCAAATAAAAACTAGAAGACTGAAATCTAAATTTTACACCGTCTAAAAAAGGCTATTATACGTATTATATGATAATTTCAGGACTTACGATTATTTTTAATTGGATGAATAGGAAAAAAACAAAATCTATGAAACCGTTAATCCGTAAATTTTCCCTTTGTTCTATAGTAAAATCAAAAGATTAGGTCCCACGGTACTCACTGAAACATTTTCAAAAACGTGATACGCGCGATGCGGTCGCCGAGTTTTATCAACGCTTTATCAACATTTTTGGGTATTTTATACCCCTTACTATATACTATACATAATTTAGAAATTTGTTTGTACAAACCGGTGTACCGATACATTTTGTACCGGTTTACTAACATTTGATACCGATTATTTTACACCACTACTCTCCTCCAACCCAAATTTAAAAGTGGAATATTTCGTCAACGCGTTGACGGAAATAAAAAATGTCAACACCAAAGTTTATTTTAAATAATATTTCATCTATTTAAGGCATTTTCAAAATATGTTGCCATTTAAAAATCAAAATTACCCCCAAAAATAAGGGGTACAAAAAAAATGATAACGTAACGTTTTAGAACTATTTGATTCTTAAGTTTTCAAAAAAAAAATTGTGAAAAAAGTTAATACTTTCCGAGATAATGAGTGTTTCCAATTGAGTGAATCATCCTGTAGATATTCGACGATGGAAATCGGTGTATCCCCACTAATGTCCAAAATTAACAATGGTAATTTTATACAAAATTTATCAATTTTTTAAATTATTAGTGTATTAACTATACTGTTTCAAATTTCCCGCTAATAAGTACTTAATAAAAATTAATTTGAATAGATATTAATTTTTATCAATTAAATTATTATTTTTATTATCATTTATCTGTTCGTTTATTATTTCGAGGGGGAAATGAAAAGGGATGAAACTGGTATCTCAAACAAACTAATAAACTCGTATCTATTATTGAAATCAAATGCTATTCGGTTACTATGAATTTGTAACCGTACCAAAATGGTTTACTACCAATTTGTGACCGGTGATTCAACGAATTTATCTAATAAATCTAATAAATTATTGCTACGACGGAGTAATATACGTTCGTAGCAGTTGGCTTTCGTAGTAACGGTGTCTTCCCACTTCAAACTCGTAAAGTGTATACATTGTTAACTAGGAGCGCTAGCTGTGCAATTTCAGATCGTTAAATAAATTAATAAATGATTATCTATAACAATTCTTTCGTTTCCATACGCAATTAATTTTTCATTTATATATTATTCTGTTATACCTAAAATAAAAACTTACTTGTAGTATAATAAACAAATTAACAATCAATTAATTTTTAATTATTTTTCTTATCAATGAATTAGATAAGCTAAACAAATGATTAACATCTAATCATCAAATGATTAAGCTAAACATATAAAAATACAAAGTTTTATCTCTATGTCCTGTGATAATGTAATATTTGTATTTACATTTTACATACAAATTAAAATGTCAGTTTATATTAGTTAGACATTAATTTACCAGTAAAATAATTAGTATAGTTTAACTTAGATTATAAAAACATGGCTGAGTTAGTATTAGACATCAATATTCGAGGTTGGGTGTTTTTACCAATTGTACTCATCACGTTCCTAGTTGGTGTTATTCGACATTATGTATCATTATTGATTACTTCTCAAAAGAAAGTGGAGCTTACACAGGTACAGGATAGTCAAGTGTTAATCCGTTCTCGCATGTTACGTGAAAATGGACGGTATATATCAAAACAAGGGTTCTATATGCGCCGTCATTTCTTTAATAATGAAGAAAATGGATATTTCAAGACCCAAAAACGTACAGTTCCCGCTCAAACTGCTATGCCTGATCCAAGTATGATGACCGAAATGTTAAAAGGCAATATCACCAATGTGTTGCCTATGGTGGTCATTGGTGGATGGATCAATTGGATGTTCTCAGGATTCGTCACAACCAAAGTTCCATTTCCTTTAACTTTGCGTTTTAAACCAATGTTGCAAAGAGGTATTTGTTTAATTTGACAAATTATTTTTTATTAAGTTTAATAACTATTTTTAATTTTTGTTTTTGGTTCTTAGGTATAGAATTGGTTTCATTAGATGCAGCGTGGGTATCATCTGCTTCATGGTACTTTTTGAATGTATTTGGACTTCGAAGTATTTATGCTTTAGTTTTGGGGGAAAATAATGCGGCAGATCAATCCCGTTTGATGCAAGATCAAATGTCTGGCGCTGCAATGTCCATGCCTATTGATCCAAAAGTAGCTTTTAAAGCAGAATGGGAAGCATTGGAAATTAGCTCTCATAAATGGGCTCTGGCCGATCTTGACAATGAAGTACTTAGTGTTTTAATGAATAAAAGTAATAAGTAAAAACCTGATATAAGTAAACATGGGCAAACCATTGAAAGTAATTTATTAAGAGCTACAATTAAAATTGTTTTCATTTTCAATAATTTAAATATGCTACACATTTTTCAATGTTCTGTGAAATGGTAAATAATTTTTTTTTTTTTAACTATATAATTGTGTTTTATATCTTAATTTAACCTTAAACTTATATTAGAAATCAAAAAACTATTTATTTATATATGCATTTATGTGCTGTACTTTTGCATTTTGTTACACATAAACTAAATTTTTTTCTGTGGTATTTGCTCTAATAATTCTTTCTTATTCTCTTACAAAAAAAAAAATATCTTGTATTCCTAATTGTCTTCTTTATAATATAATTTTTCAATTTATGAACAATAACAACCATATAAATTAAATATTATGAGTTGTTTTATTATATATTAAACCTCTATTAATAGATACCTCTTAAAAGTGGGCACACTTCCAATAGTGGACACTTTTAAATTCCTCAGCAATAATATATGTACAACAGAGGTTATAACCATAGCGGACACTCCTAAAAATGAACGTGGACACTAAAAACTGGTACAAAAATTTAAAAGACTGACATTCTTTGTACAATGGCTGGAACACTGTTGTTGGCTAGAAATTGGGCAATTAGAATGATATTGAAGGGAATTTAATGTATATCTATACTGAACAATTAATCTTTGCTAATGAAAAACGATTCTGAGCGGAGTTATACATATTTTGACAGGCCGTAATTACAATTTTTGTCAAAATTTGATACTGCAATTATTCTTATAAAAAAACTACATTACAATCAATTTTTTTTTTTAAACACAAATTATGACTCATAATAAACCTCCTGTTAAATTATCAAGCATTTATATTTAGTCCAACAATTTTATCCACTATTTACGTACTGAGTAAAAATCACTAAAATAAATTGAAAATTTTACCACGTTTAGAAAAGGTAAATATAAATTTTCTGTCCAAACTAAGTCTATATATTTAGTTGTAATATTTTTAACTGAGCCACTACAAACCTAAATTGAAATCGATTTCCCATTTATTATAAAAAAAAACCTTGGGAAAATCAAAAAATGACCTTAAAGTATCACTCACATAAAATTTCCTTTTAGAAAAGGTGCTACATTTGAAAATTAGAGTAAGATTTCTGGTAGAAAAGTTGTTCACAGGTAAATTTGTTCTTATTCTAAAATTCCTCCTAAAAATAGTTTTATTAACTAACTCATAAGGCTGATAATACAAAGATTGTCACAATTTTTTATACTTGACTTTTTAGGCAATATTCCAAATGTAACTTTTAACCATATTTGAGGTATCTCACACGAAACATATAAATATTCAATTAAATAATTTTGTGACCCATGATATACCTTCTTCTATTAATTTTAAAAGTATTTCATATATATATTATCAGGGCCTGGAGATTTGTCCTTTTAATTTGTGACATTTCTCCTATCTACTTCTTCTGTTACTATAGGTAAGTTGTCTATTTACCCAAACTCAGACCTATTCAATGTGTGTGTATAATGAATTTTGACTGGTCAATTAACAGTATAACGTCCCTAAATATTTGATATTATAAATAGTAAATACTTTGGTTTTGCTATTAACTACAACAGTAAACCACATTATACTAAGTATGCTGGGTGTAGTCCTGAAATGTGGAAGGGAATTTAGTAAATAATAATCATAATCTTCTAAACCTATTATAAAAAGAGAATTCACAAGCCAATTTCTATTCAATAAATTAAGCTTTTTCTTGTTACTTAATTAAAATATATATATTTCAAGATAAATTACTAGAAAAATACTCAGTTGTATTTATAAGCTAACATATGTCCTGGAGAGGGATATAATAGAGATATACAGTATATATTATGTTATTATCATAATAATTTTATGAGGACCATTGATCTAGTATAATAGACTATAGGACCTATATAGAATCTTCAGTTTAAAAATATCTAGTGTAATGTGTTTTTGGCATAGTTAACTTCAAATTTGTATTGTTATCATCTTTGCTTAGTTTAAAAATTAATATTAATTTTTACCTCATACATGTGACTTGTAAGATAGTTTTTTCTAAAATTTTTCTAAAATGTTTTCTAGGTTATTTTAAAAAAATTATGATCAATGATTTAGAATTGGGTATTTATAAATAAAAATTTTGATTGTAGTTTACATATTAAGTACCTAATTAAATATAATTTTTTTATTAAATAAATATTCTAGTTTTTTTTTTGTTATTGCAAAATATATTTTTTTATGGTTTAAAGGTATATAGTTAAACATAGTTGGACCTAGACAATCTATGAATTCTTAACCAAAATCTTTTTTTATGTATCAAATATAATACACTCCAATTGTTCGTATGTTGACAACTTGCGCACTATCAAGTTTATTTGACTTGTAAATATGGCAAATTGTTCCTACAATAATCTAACAGGAAGTACATTAAGTTGTACACAATTTTTGTAGATGAATCTATTAAATTATTTTATTTAAACATATTTAATCATTAGATTTTGATGAACTTCTAATGATCTCACTGAATTATTTGCATAACCTCTGAACAACCTTAACTATGACAAATAGAACTATCATTATAACACAAATACATTTTTATTTCATTGAATAGAATAATGGGTACATGTCTAATAGTAAAGGCAACAAAAAAATTTTTGTTTATATTCAGTGACATTTTTTTTATTATTTAATTTATAACATTTTTTAATATTCATAATTTATTTATCAATTTTTTTTTTTTTTTTCTATAGTTCCCTACGAATAGAGTAGCTAGAGAAAAAAGATACCATATATACCTGCATATTTAACTACCTATTAATCAATCTTTATTTAAGTCACTTATATGATTTATGTACAAAATAAACAAAACCAGTCCTAACACTACTTTGTAGTACTTCAAAATCAATTTGTTTTTCATTACTGAGTACATCATTTATTTTCAAGTTTCCAAATAGCTTTCAAACCATTTCAGAATTTTATTCATTTTACAATAACTTGGCCGTAATCCGATTAGTTCATTGTAATCAACAGTATCAAATGCTTTTGCAATATTTAAAAACATCACAATTTTCTTTTCATTATCGTACATTTTTCAGATATGGACTCAGTAGTCAAATAAAGAACTTCAATTGTGCTTTTACTGGATCTAAAATCAAATTTTTTTTTTGGATAAAAATGCATTGTTATCCAAGTAGGATACAAGTGGTTTTAACTATTTTTTTAAAAAATTACAGAGCATATAAATAGGTTTAAAGTTTGACATTTTTAATTATTTACTGATTTGAACAAAGGTTAACTTGTAAACCTAATAATTAACAATGGCTAGTTTAAATTTTTTAGGAAGTGTATTTTGTTTTATGCATATATTTAGTTAATGAATTAAAGGCTCAATAATAAAATTAGATATATGCTTTAGATAGATATATTATCAAAACCAAGTGTTGTATTATTGAAGCTGGTCACCCTTGTCCTGAATTTCCACTTGACCTGATCCCTTACATCAACCTCACATATACCATTTGTCACCAAAGCATTTTAAATTGCATCCAACCACCTCTTTACAGTCTTCCTCTCCTATTTCTTCTTACATTTATTTTCTTTAAAATTCATACTGCTTCTTATTCCTTTCTCATGGCATGTCTAATTATTTATTTATCTAAATATTTAACACAGAAATTAGTATTATGGAATTTTGCTTTCAATAATTTTGTTATTTTAGTATGATTTATGAATCATTATAATTTTTAATAAATTGGTATTGTATATTAGAACTATAATATCAATAAACTATTTCCATATTGTATTTTTTTAAATTTTTTTAGGTACACCAAGGTAACAAATATTGTATTAAAAAGACATTATTCCGTTGCTTGCTGAGAATCAAATTTAGGATATTTGTCCTTAGCTACATTCCAATCAATATTGCCTTGTGATAAATTGTATATTAAATCAATAACATCAGATACCTAAAGTAATTAAAATTATATATAAATAAATTATATTAAAATTTAAAATAATACAATTTTTATACTTACAGGTACTCGGATTTGTTCCATTGAATCCCGCTCTCGTATAGTTACAGATTGTGGTTCAACCAACGAGTCAAAATCAACAGTTATACAATATGGTACAGCAATTTCGTCGGTTCTCGCATAACGGCGTCCTACTGATCCACTACAGTCATCAATTTTATTGGACACACCCTTTTGGCATAAGTTTTTGGCTAAAACAAATTATGTTTTTAAATATAATTAATATACCATAATTGTTTTAAAGAACTTACATAATGTTGACACAAGTGGAGTGAACTTATCATTGTCAAGTAAAGGAAGAACACAACATTTTAAAGGTGCCACTAATGGAGGTAATGACAAGTACTAAAAAAAATATATATATATATATATATATATATATGCTTTAATTTTAAAACTAAAATTAAAGATTTCTATATTTACTGTTCGCTGTTCGTCTTTTTCTCGAATTTTAAATGTATGTTCTAATAATGTATAAATAATACGGCCTATACCAAATGATGGTTCTACTACATTAGGAACAATTTCTTCAACATGCACCGTTTTCAAATAAGACCTAAGAGGTATCATTTCTTTACTTATATTAAATTCTTTGTCACCAATTTTGCACAATGTCAATCCAGTTGCTGAATCAGGTTTTCTAGAAATAACATAGAAAACATAATTACCTATTAACATGGATATAATGTTTGATAGGGGATTGAGTTTTAAAAATCTTGACATAACACATTAGAAATTTGAATCTATATTTTTATATTAGGATTAATGATTTAAGTAATCTATAATTTATTATTTTTGAGGAGTTAAATTAATTTTCAACTTGTTTAGGTTCTATAATTTGTTATATTTTTTACTTGTTATGCACTGTCTAATTTGTTATTATTTGTATTACTGTAAACTATAATAAATTTTTTTATCTCTCTCTTGTATATTATATAATTGGTTTTTTAACACATTTAATAATAATTACCCATTATCAATGAATTTATGTATTTGTTGAATTTCCTCTATTGTTAACTTCGATAATTTTTCAACACATTCTTTGGAATCTTTACGAAGTGTCTTACCAATCAAACCTTTATCCATTTCCAATTCTATGTTGAAACACAAACTAAAGATTAAAAATAAATAATTTTTAATATTTCAATATAATGCTGACCTGTTACTTGAATAGATTTTGGCACAGGCAATTTTCTTTCAGCCACTAATCTTTGTTTAGTTTCTTCACCGTGTTTAGTAAGATCATAGGCTGATCGATCAGCACAACCGATACATTCAACCCAACCCTGTTTTTATGTGCAATATTTAAATAATATAGATTTTTTAAATTTGAATGTTGTTCTCACATAAGAAGTTAGACATTCAGCATCCCAGCAATCAACAGCATAATGGGCCATTTCATTTGACATATGTTGTCGAAATCTTAACTTTTCTTTTGTCACTCCGATTTTCATCATAAACATATAAATACGAGCCATAAAGTACCCCAATGTTTGATTGGCAACCATACCCTTTTAATAAATGAAATATGTTAATTATTCAAAAGTAATTTATATTTAGCCTTTACTTGTGACACAGCTTGACCAATTGTAATATCAATAGGAGGTTGTCCATCCATCTGATTACAAGCACTATATAACTTCATAACGATATTTTCTACATCACCGAATTTAGAATGTGATTTATCACTTGGATCACAGAAATGTTCTATTTCAGCCATAGTGAACTCTCTGCAGACAATGTGTAGTTTTGAATAGTACAAATATTTTATTTAAAATTTAAAATATACATTTACCGAACTCTCAATAATCCAGAACGAGGTGATATTTCATTTCGAAAAGCATTACCAATTTGAGCAGCAGCGAATGGTAATCTACCTTGGTTAAACTCAAGTAAACGTTTGAAATTCACAAATATACCTTGTGCGGTTTCAGGTCTCAAAAATCTATAAACCGTATATATTTTAGTATTATGAGTGCGTAAAATTTAATTTTCAATCTTAAATTTACTGACCCTTTTTGGTCTCCAGTGGGGCCAATTTGGGTAGCAAACATTAGATTAAAATCAACAGGTTCAGACAATTCATTTCCAGTAGTTGGTGATTTCATATTAAATTTGTTAACAATATCTGACATTTGTTCAGTAGTCATGCCATCCAATTTAATTATAATATCCTTGCACTCTTCTTTTACTTCAGCAGTTTGTTTTTTGTCCTTGATTAAAGTTTCTAAACGATTCTTGATTAAATGGTCTAATCTGAAGCATTCTCCAGTTTTTTTATCTTTGACCATAGTATCAGCAAATTTTTCTACATGACCTGAAGTCCTTTAATTACATACAAATTAAAAAATATCATTCAATTTTATATAAATATACATTTAAATATACTAGATGAGTTACTTTAAAACACGTTCTGGTGTTAGCATAGAACAATCAATTTCAAGCATCTGTTCTTCAAGAACAAAAAACTTTTTCCATTGTTCCAAAATGTTAGATTTCAATGCACATCCCATTGGTCCGAAATCATATAATCCAGCAACACCTATACAACAATTTTTCAGTCAAGGAAAAATTACAAAAATTAAAACTTAGTATAGGGTTAACTACCTCCATAAATAGAAAAAGATTGATCATAAAAAAAACGACGGATCATAAGATCTGCAAACTTAGATCGATTAAATATTTCAGAGGGTGGTTGTAAGGACAATTCTTTATCATCCAGTTGTTTTTTTAATACTTTTAATTCTCCAACAGCTTTTTTCACTTCCATATCAGAGGCATTGTTTTCTTTCAGCGACCTAACTAAGTCACCCTGATGATGTTAAATTAATATAAGAAAAAAAAATAAGTATTTTATAAATATTTGTTAAGTTATTATTTAATGGCACGTACTTGTTTCTTTACAGCTGCTCTCAATGGAGCTAAAATTGTTTCAAATTTGGAATCAGCCATACCTTCTGGATAATATATGAGCTTTATGTGAGTTGCAGACTTTTTCGTGCCCCAATTACTGAAAACTGAGTAATGACGGCTACTAAAAGGTAGATGAACTACAGTAATGGTTTTTCCAAAAAATAATTTCAAATTCAGATACTGCAAACGTGACATAATACGGTGAAAATGACCAATAGCATTGGTTATGATTTTTGTAATACTTTTCTACAAGTAGATGGCGTGGTATCACCATTTCATACTTTCATATTTTCTATGAAACGTTTATTAAATCAAATATTAGTATTTGATCAAATCTCTTGTTTCCATAGATAATAAAGATATGGATAGGCCATAAATCACGGACTAATCGTAGTCTAGAACTCTTGACTTATGGTGATATGAAACTGTAAAATTTATTTAAAATTAACAAACCTCATATTAAATATGAGATTGATATGAGATAAGAAATTGTAAAAAAGGGGAAAAAAATACAAAACAACAGCAGATAACTTCGGCGCCACTATGAGAAGTTGTATATGAGTGACTTGGTTGGTGGATACTTACCTAGTAATAATAATTCAATAGGATGGGTTGAACTTGAATTGTATAGTATAATTTATTACAGATAACAATGTTATGAAAATGTGGTCATTTTTACCTAGGTATGAATTTTAAATATTTTTTTTTTATCGATATTGTATTAAAACCGGTATATCGGTAATTATACGATATTTGACAACAGTAAGTACTAAGCAGGGATACTTCATAAATATGTGCGTATCACATTTTTGCGAACATACTTTTTATCAAAGACAAATATACTGGACTAGACACAAGATAATTATTATAATTATAGGTTCGACTATAGACATGTCTATTGGTTCAGCGGATTACAGGAGAATTTACCTTTCTATCGGTAGTTTCGCCATCTATCTGAGTATCTTATAACCAAAATGTAACCAGATAATTATGATATAGTTCGATAAATATTCACAAAGGCGGCGCTAGTAATGCTAGAAAGGTGAATTCCACCGTACTTCGCTCGTTCAATGACATTTTACAGTTAATACACCCTCCATCTTGATCCGTACTCATTAGCTAAGAACTAACCTATATATTTGGACATGTTTCAATGATTATGAGCACGAATTTGTGATTATGACTTAATGACAAATCATACAATAAAGTTAAGTAAATGAAAGTATATTTAGTTTTGTGTATATTATTACTTAAGGCTTTATGCTAGACTATTTTATGATCTAAATTCTGGAAAACTGTTTATAACCACATAAACATACTTATACACTATATACACATAATCACAACTCACAAAATTTACATATTAGTTTACTAATTGTGAAAAAAAATGTATAATATAAATTATTAATGAAATTGAGTCAATAGTTTCTCATTTTAGATTCTGAGTGGAGCAAAGAAAGCTTTTGGTTTTACAATGCTGTTTATTTCTCTTTTTTATTCTTCTAGTCTGTGGACGCGTTTTTTCCTAATAACTTGCTGATTTTTACACATAACAATTTTTCTGTAAGCTCAAATTGTCTATATGCTACTATATAGGAGTCATTTTTTTATTTTCAACACCATTTTCTAAAAACAGATGTTTTCTACTAGAAAAAATGATTTTATCGAAAAATCATACCTGTTTTTGGTTGTCTTTTTAATTTAATTTCTTACACGGTATTATCACCAAAACTTTTGAGTTGTTAAGTATTTTAATTTTTAGGAGCTTTTTTTTACGGTTACAAAAACACATAGAAGCTTTAAAATACTTATATGACTCACCTAGACAATGTAAAATTTTCAAAATCATCGGATTTTTTTTTTCTACTAAGAGTTTTGAAATCTAATTTAAACGAAACAAAATCAAATTAAATATTACTAAACTGCGCTTGGTAGTCCTTTGTCTTTTGCCAACCAATGGTTTATCATTACTTATAGATATAAATGAAATAACCTTATGTACCCTACCTTCCCAAATTCTCACCTGCAACATTGGCCGGCTCCCATCCCCAGTATCGGCTCTAATTTTTTTTTATATTTAATCATTATGTCATAATGAGGAAAACTACATGTACACTTTGGATTTAGTTAGAAGAGAAGGAATATTGAGTATTATGAAGGATTTTAAATCAAAATAAAAATGACTGAAAAAAAAAGAATTGTTTACTGAAACACAAGATGTTATAAGTTATGTTACATGTCTTAATTCCTCTTGGGGTACTGAGTTCCAGAACTGAGGACCAGTTGTAATCCAGAGATATTTTGGAAATCCTAAAGAATAAATAATAATATATTATTAACTTAACTTCAAAAATATTAAATATAAACAAAATACAAACCAGCATTTTTAACATGTCTTTAGTTTCAGTGTCAACTTCAATAACATCTTGTTCAAGAGCAGAAACTTCTGGTACATAGTTATCTCTCCTTTCACGTTCTTCTTCCTGCAATTTAATAGAAATTCCACGAACTTGACTGGTACGCAATCTTTTCATTAAATGAGTAACAAATCTAAAAAAAATAGAAATATTGTAAATTTAATAACTATTGTAAAATAGATAATGAAAAAAAAAAAATTGAAATATTGAGAATGAGTGCGGCTACTGTTGTAGGTGGGATACATAATTATTTTTTTATACTTGTAACCAACGATAAACCATTGATAACTATTCGGAACAAACTTTGATTGTACAGGTTTAAGAAACCGTAATAATATTTATGATTTCGAAATTTAGAAAAAACTACCTTTCAAAAAGATGTTACAGTCTATACTTAGGAACAAAATTTTTTGGTCGAAAAGTTGTTCATAGACAAAACAATGTTACAATATTTGAAGATTTAAATAAAAATAATAAAATAACAGTATTTTGTTTCAATCTTAATATTCATTAAATATTTATTAATTTCTTATTAGCTTTTAGTAACTTTGACAGTTTAATAATTAATATTTGCATTAATAATTTACAAAAAATTGTCTTAAATTAAAATGTTATAAAACCAGTCTAAAAGGTAAAAAAAAAAAAAATATTAATGACATGTTCGGAGTTGGTATTGAGAAGAGAGTGGATACTGAGTAATAATAAAGAGTTATTTATATAACTATTAGAGGAATATTAAAGGGACCTAAAAAAAAAAATATGTACTTTAATAATAAATAGATTTTATTAAATTTATTACTGATACAAATGTTGAATGTTAAAAAAAATAAATGATAATGAAAACAACCAAATTTCTTGAAAATATATTTTTTACAGAAATAAACAAATATTAAGGTGATTGATTACCTCTTAATCTTAAATTATATAAAATAATTTTTTAAAAGGACGTACAGAACAGATTTTATCATCTGCTAGATATTTTTAATATTTTTGAATAACTATTGAGATGCTGTCATGAATACTACGGGACAAATGTCATACATAGGTTAATTAATATTAATATATATATATATAAAAAAAAAGAAACTAATACACAATTTAAGGTTTTCTTCCAATATGACAATTAACTATTTAATTATGGTCTACGTATTAATAAACTTCTTATTAATACAGTATATTATGCAAATATATTTTTCTAGAAAGAAAATACAAATCTAATGAAATTTTAAAAGAAAAAAATTATTGTCATTATAGCGATCTAAATTATTTGCATTTGTAAGTAACATTCTTCTAATTTAGTTTAATTTGGACTTATATTTGCTGTGAAATATTACTAGTAAGATTGTAATAAATACAAAATACTGAGGTCTAGGAGCAGTGGTAGCACTAGTATTTCTTTTTAGGGAAACTCAGGGCAATCTTATTTTTAGTAGAGCTGAAGAAAATATTAATTCATAAGTTTGAAAGATGGTCGATAGAATACAAAAAACCTATTTAATTTAAATTATAAGTAAAGATACATAATTGCTAACGAAATATGAGCAAAGTTCAGTTGTATACATTTTTAAATGTAATAGTGTGCAATTATTTTATATTTAAGAAATATGGCAGACAGACCAAAGGTTTTTATGGCAGGCCATAGTCTGCCCTTTATGTCATCACTATGTAGGAGATATTATACTGTAATAAAGTAATCTTTATAGCAGGTCGACTGCAAAACTAAATGTTTAAATATCTCTAGATAGTTATATCTTAGTTTATTCAATAAAAAAACAAAAAACCTAAAATTAAATTAAAAACCATCAATTTTGGCTAAATTAATCATAAATATTTACCCAGCGATTTTATTACGTAGAGGCTTTGTGGGGATAATAGCAATTTCCTCACATATCCTCTTGTTGGTGTGAAAGTCCAATGTAAGTCGAGTGTAGTACTTTTCAATGATGACCCTAGCGGCTTTTTTGACAGTCTTCGTCCTTACACGACCCTAAATAAAATCGCATTCATTGAATAAGAATGAACAGGCTAAAATCATCACTAATTGAGTGCTATGACCATCACCCGCCTATGAATAATTTTTACATAAAAAAGTAGACCACTAAGCCATCTATACATTTAAAATATTCCAAGTTCAATATATAACAGTATAACTTCGAACATCAAAAGAAAGACCAAAGGATTAATGAGATAAATTCGGATACTTACCATGATTAATGTTTCAAATCAAAAATCTGTAATACAAGTGAATAAGCAAAATAAACAAAACGAACGCGAATGTAAAGGTGTAAGGAGTGATCACATTTTTTAGGTTATTCAATAATTTATTAAACAAATTGATAAGGGTCATGGAAAAAACAAAATTTGGAGCAAACTTCTCGATCAGTTGCACTCACTCTGATAATGCCTTATCTTAAATTTTAAATGGTTAATAACCAAAGAATGAAGATTAGAGATATCTTTATGCTTTCTCTCTCTTGGCCATAGATAATATGAGAATGGATAGGTCACTCATATATTAATGTAATAAGAGGCCTCGTTCCGAAATGTGAATGAGAGACAAACTACTTATACCACTCTCACCTACACAGTATGGGGTTTTATCATTAATTATATTTCATAATGATAACTCGATCAACATTTTTGTATTTAAATTTTGTTTATCAAAACAATTTTAAATATTTCAATAAAATTTGATATTATTATCGTATTTTTCACGAAATTAGAAATATTAAAGATGATATAAAGACAAATCGTACCACAATTGCTAAATTAATGAAACTTATCCATTTCAAACATAAATAAATTCAATTGAGTACCTAACATTATTATACCAAATTTATATAAACCAGAGATGTGATTTATACATATTTTTCAAATATTTCATTATATAGGTATATAATTATAATGTGATTTTAATATTTTTGTTAAAATATTAATAGATAATAAATAATGATTGTTTATGATTATAAAGCACTAATTATGTTTAATTACCTTAATTCATACTAAATCAAAGTAAAATGAATTATAAACCATTTATAATTTTTGATCAAGTTTCCAATCACAATTAAAGATTTTCGTTTTTACAACATTATTGATAAAACTCTTTGGTACTACAAATTATTAAAAACGTTCGTTTTTTTGTGATAAACTCTTATGGTATATCCTTTAGATTATGGCTAATCCATTCTTACATTATCTACATCTTAATAACCAAAACGTAGTACGACCACGATATCTTAAATCGTACTATAATAATCAAAATACTACTGAGTACAAGGATCAAACATTCATTTTATGGTTAATAACTACTAGGGACCGAATGTTCTATCTTAATAATTGTCGGGGAAAAAACGTTAGTAAACTGAATTTTTTGACATGGACAACACTTTTAGAATACTAACTAAGATATATCTTTGTTTCACTATAATATTATCTGCATAAAATAAAATAACATAAAAACGAATATTTCAAATATCTCAAACATGTATGTACATTTATAGCTCAAAACTTACTGGAATATTCTTAACATTTTCTTTAATTATAGTCTATAGAAACGGTTAAGTAATATAAGTATTCTGTGAAAATTTCAGGTTTCTATGAATTTTTAATTAAATAATAACAATAAAAAAACAAAAATAGTTAGGTAATTTAAATCGTCCAGTTTGTTTTTTTTCAAATTAGGTACCTACTCTTTAAAAAAATTACTAGGAAAATTAACTATTAACCTGTAATGCACTATTCACCAATTTTTAGAAAAAATAATATTTTTAATTAACAATTGGATTAAGATATTTCTGGAGAAAAGTATTTAAGACATACAAAATATAATAGTAATTAAAAACACTTATTTTAGTAAAATACTTATCATTACGCTTAGAATTTGAAATAAAAAATAAATATATAATACATGCTGCTATTGGAAATTGTTTCACAATACTTCATTATAATCTAAAAATATTAGTTATTTAGTTATCAAATATAAGTATATAGTTTTAATAAAGGACAAGTATTTACACATTTTTTCTACGATTACATAAAAATAATAGGCGGTAGTCTGAAAAATAATAGCCAATAAGTGTTCAAGAAAATTAGATATTTATTGTACTAAAGTAGTATATGAGTAGCTGACATGTGATTCAGTATGAAGTCTTTAAACTGTGTATATGATGATAAGAAATGAATCATATAAGTTTGCAGAGTAGTTTAACAACTTAATGTAGATTAAAGGAAGGAAATAAAAGAGGAAAACCAAAAACTTGATTGTTAAACTATGTTGAATTAAGTGAAGAAACGGGAAACTTGTTCTCATCTAATACATAGTTCAAACATATATAAAGGGTTTGTCAAATTTAGATAAAAATTGAGGAAGAGGTAGGATAAGTTAATAATTTATTAAGAGAATGTGGAGTAAATAAAGAAATTATGATAGGGTAATGTGAAAGCTGAGACTAAAAGTAGCTGATCTCTTTGCATAGGATTAAAGACTAAGAGGAAAAAGACCTATAATATTATGTATTCACATAAATACATTTATGATTAAAACAAATTATTTTCACAATCAATTTAAATATAATAGGAGTAATAAGTTTTAATTATATTGGGTAATAGTTAATAATACAAATTAATTAGACAATTAAAATTGTTGTATTGTGCATTATTAAAAAGGTAAAAAAGAAAAAAATAGTATATTGATTAATACAATATATCTGATCAAATATAATTTCTCTTTTAATGTCATTATAAAATATTTTTACTATAATTGAATGTATATTATTTTAAACATAAACAAATTACATCATCTGCTCAAATCTCTATGTGTGGAATAAATACAATATATTTAATAACAATCATAAAATATACAATTTATTATTTTTTTAATAAGTTTGGAGTGGAAATAACAAATACAATTTTAGTTAATGGTATAGTCTAACCATATTTAAAACAATAGTTTTATTGAATCATTCAAATAGTCTAAAAAATCTAACCACATATTTTAAAATACTAATGTACATAATACAACATATTATTTCACATAAATTATGCAATGCAATAATAAAATTAATTTGATCTAGCAAGTTAAGAAAATTATATAATAAGTTAAATTTGTATTTGTAGTTTTGTGTTTAAATATCTTTGAATAATTCAATAATTTCAGACCAAACATCTTCAACACTTTTTCCTGCTTCAATTCTTTTAACCAAGTTTTTTTTGTTAAAATATTCTATAATCGGCATAGAATCATTTACAAATGTTACAATTCTTTTTTTTAAACTTTCTAAATTGTCATCTGTACGGCCACTTCCTGCAGCGCCTCTCTTTATACATCGCTCTATACAAATCTATAACATAACAACAAAAATGTACTATGGTAAAATGTATAAATAATTTAAGCAACACATACGTCTTCAGGACAATCTAGAAATAAGACAAATAAAAGATTGACTTTATCTCCAATTGTAGTGTCCCAACCAATCATGTTATTCTTATTTCGTGGAAATCCATCAATCAAAAATCTATTGGCCGAAGATGATTCCATTGCATTTTGTATAAGTTTACATGTGATTTCTACTGGAACTATTGTACCATTCTTAATATGAGTGTTTATCAATTCACCATACATACTATCTGGTTTACTGCATTCTGCACGCAACAGATCACCAGCGGATAGGTGTACAAAACCAAATTTGGATACTATGTTGGAACATTGCGTACCCTTGCCGGCACCTGGGCCTCCTAATACAAAAACAACTTGAGATTTGCTCATGGTAATGAACCTTCGATATACTGAACGGAAAAATGACATATAACAAGTAGTTATATCATAGCTTCTTGAAGGACATTGGTTACACAACTTTAATGCATATGTATACTCGACCGATAAGTAAGTTAACGATAACCATTTGTCATGATATTTTATATGTAATAAAAATAATAATAGTGAATTTTGTTATGGCTTTGACGTTGACGTTATTGATATTTTTTAATTGATAACAATTTTGTTAATAATTGTTATTAATTAATCATGTAACCATGTAACCATGAAGTAGAACCATATTAGATTAGGTTAATTATTGATAAGAAATTACTACCACAAACCGGTTTCACACGACTCGCGTACTCGGCGACCACTGTAAATCGTAATCGCGTTCATTCACAGAGTATTTTGACTTGAAGATTATGCTGTTCTGCTACTCGAATCGTACTTCCTAAATTTTAACTGTATCAAAATTCAAAACAGTGTGCGGTAGCGTGGCGCTAGTGGCGATTGGCGAGAAAAATTGAGTCGTGTAGGAAACTCCACGATCACCTTAATAATAAATACAGTTATATTAAATATAATTGCATTTAAATATATTTTATAATTCCTTTGATGCGTGTCATATTAACAGAGACCTGATGGAAAACAACGAATGACTCATGGAGTAAAAGTAATCGCCATACTTGTTGATTAAACACTTCCTACACGACTTGTAAAGCATCGCAATTGACGATTATTCGCCGAGTAAACGTGTCGTGTGGGACCGGCTTTATATTAGTAAAGCATATACAATAACAATTTACATAGTTATTCATGTGTTATTCATCTATATCTATGGCCTAGATAGTGAACAATAATCAAAAAACAAGTAGCAATAGCACTGTTGATCATAGGTACTCATTAAACTCTATATGATACTATCACAGATTAGATCCCAGATTTAAGATATCTTAAACCGTAATTAGATCTAATAGGCCGTGGATTAAGCTTAACTCTAATCTGTGATAACATGATGACGCTAATATCTTGTATTCATTTACTGCAATATTATTTTAGTTTGGTTTTTAAAATTTGGTATCTCATTATTTTCAGCTTCCACAAAATAATTTTGATTAATTTATTAGAGTAAATAATTTAACGATAAATAAGTAGTATATTAGCAGAAAATTATAATTATTAGTATAACAAGTATTGAAACTATTGACTTTAATTTAGACATAACGATTAAAACTTACCCACTTTTTTTGTGGACTACTACATTTTTCATATAAATAAAAAGAAGTTGAGAATAAATTAAGTAGTAAATTGTAAGTTAGGAGGTTTTTAATTCACAACTACAAACATATAAAATAACAATAACTTTATTTTTAATAAAATAATATTTATTAAAATAAAAACATAGTATTTATAATATTTATTCATAATTAAAAAAAAAGTGTGCATACTCAAAGCTGTATTTACTACTAAGATACCTTAAATTGTACTTAATAATTTTCTCACTTAACTTAATACTATAAATTTATAATTCTAGCAAAGATGAATACTGGAAACCTCGTTTTCTGTCAGTAGGTAGATATTAAATGGAACAAAATCAATTTCTTATCAATTTTCAATTGGAGCAAGATTTCTGATAAATAAAATAAGTTGCAAAATTTAATATTATTGAAATCGGTAACGTCGCAGCGCACCGTAAATATTTGCTATTTTATCAATAATTTTCTTTCGGGTTTTTCCAAATTGTTTTGAAAACCCCTTGTAACATCAAAAAGAACGACCTCTAATACATCAACTAGACAAAATTTCCTTTCAATAAAGGTACTGTAATATACACATCAAAGCAAGATTTCTTTTCGAAAAGTTGTTTGGACAGAAAAAAAAAAAAAAAAGATGTCTTAGTATAATAGGGACGGGTGTAGCTACTGTTATAGATCATTTAATGTATACCTGTAAGCAACAATAAATTATTGCTAACGAAAAAACGATTCTGAGCAGAGTTCGGTTGATAAGTGTTGCTTTGATAACAATATATATGTCATATTATGGTAAAATACAATAAATAATGGTATCAATAATATAAATATGAAATTACATATGTTATATATTTTCTTTAGTAATATTTTATTAATATTGTCCCTATTTACCTGTTTTTTCATTTATTGCCAAAATCAAAAAACAACCTCCCTAAAGTATCTCCTGGATCAAATTTTCTTTTAGAAAAAATGCTATTATTAGAAATCTGGATAAAATTTCTGGAAGAAAAATTGTCTACAGGAAAAAAAACATTGTAATATCATAAGCTGCTTCGCTCCACTCATAATTTAAAAGCACACACCATAGTAGAACTAATAGAACTCTCGCTATTCTCTAAATCTAAAAAAAAATTACACAAATTAAAACGCTAAAATAGTTCGCTACGCTCAGGATCCAAAATTGAATACTAATACATATTATATTTATATTGAGGAAACACTATAGACTTCAGGGGCGTCACTTGCAAGATGCAATGGTAAGCAAATGCATCTCATGAGTTTTTTTTTAGCACGCCTAAAATATATAGATTTAGGTAATTTCATATTTATATTCTTAAACGCGCATTTTGTAATTTTATAAATTCTTTGTTATCACTAATAATTTTAATAATATCAGAAGACATACCTTATAAACAATATAATATTGGTATTTTAGTACCGACTACTGAATAAAAATAGTTTTGCTAAATATATCATAGAAGATTTTTATGTACTATAAAATACATACTTTTGTAATTCTGTTGAGTTTTTTTATTGTTTAAATCTTAGGTCATAGGTACCTATTCCACTAATAGCATAAATATATCTAGTGTAAAACCGGTATAGATCCCAGCAGAAACTTTGGGATCATTTTAAAAATTTCCAGATCGGGTCACAGGCAATCATAATATATATGTAAAGAATATGTTCATTAGATTGCCTAATGTCTCAGTCTGTGGCACGAACACGTAGGTATAATGGAAACAGTAGAAGTTAAATTTTCCATTTAAATGTTTAATATGATTAAACTCGAACTTTATAGTATTAAACAAAACATCTTTTATTATTATTAATTATTTTTATATTAGTTATAAATTATTAAATATATTACCTAATTATTTTCATGATCACCTATGCAAGGTATAGCAATTTAAACAATTAAACAAAATATAAATAAATATTTTCGGTGATCTGCTTGTGTTCACTATTTTGATTAGATGTGTTGTTGAATTTTAATTATCTATATAAAATATTATGTCTGACGTCTGTGCTGTATCTGTCTTATACAAAGTAAAATAAGTAATAACGTAATATCACAGATTATATGAGTAAATAATTTTTCATATTATCCACGGTAATCAGATATGAAATTGCCGCGTTTTATAATTTTTGATATTGATATATTACCAAGTCGCAAAACGGTGATATAGGGCTTTAGCGACACTAGCGCCTACACAGTTACTGGCATAAATAATATAATAATGTTATCTATAGCCGTGGTTACGATCAAAGCTATAAGATATAAGGTATATCTTTAACCGTGGAGTTTAGTTTTAGTAGCATAAATAAAAGTATCACAGAATAGATGTTGTAGTTTACTGTTTACGGTCTATCGCATAGAGCAGAATAACATATAAAACAAAGCTATAGCTTTTAATAAAAGCCTAATTACTTCAATATTATTAGGTATGTAATATTGTACTGTAAAACATTCTTAGTGAAGTGTTGAAGTGTGTTGTACATAATTGGGTCCGCCGATAACTGCATTGTTTCCAGTCCTGTACTCCTATGTATCCATGTCCCAGACTATCCAAGTCCGTGGATCACGATTTAATATAATATCTAAAACTATCTTAAATCGTGCCGTGGATATTATCTGTGGTTATCGTTTATACTAGTTTATAGCATTTGTTATTAGCCATCAGTGTCCAGACCCTGTTAGTAGTTAATATTCTCTTCACTAATACTATTACTTGGTAGTAGGTATATAGCTTAATATAGTATTTGCTATAATATTATAGCATTATATAGTTTTAATTTGCCATCGAAAAGAGAAAATTACTTACGATTTTCTTTTGCCGTGCAAATAAATGAAGTTTTTTTTTACAGTCTTATTATTTATTAATACAGTCGATTTTTATTTTCATTAGGAATGGCAGCATTTGAAGAAATGGGTGTTTTACCAGAAATCAGTAAAGCTATTGAAGAAATGGACTGGTTGTTACCAACAGATGTTCAAGCAGAAGCAATACCTTTAATACTTGGTGGTGGTGACGTTTTAATGGCTGCGGAAACAGGAAGTGGAAAAACGGGAGCATTTTGTTTGCCAGTAATTCAGATTGTCTGGGAAACAATTAAGCAGGCCAACTTGGATAAAAAAAGTAGCATTTCAAATGTTTCAATTAAAACTTCTAGCGTATCTGATCCTTGGGCTTTAAGTTTGTGGGATCGTTCATCTGCTATAGCTGTGACACCTGATGGAAAAAAATGTCAATCAAGAGAACCAAAAGATTGGCATGGATGTAGAGCTACAAAAGGTCTAAAAAATTCTGGAAAATATTATTTTGAAGCAACCGCCACAGATGAAGGTTTGTGTCGTGTTGGTTGGTCTACATCTAATGCTTCATTAGATTTAGGAACCGATAAACTTGGATTTGGTTATGGTGCAACAGGAAAAAAGTCAAATAATAAACAATTTGATTCTTATGGTGATAGTTTTGGATTATCTGATACTATTGGTTGTTGGTTAGATTTAGATAACAGCGTTATTGGGTTCAGCAAAAATGGTACATATCTTGGTGATGCATTCAAAATACCACCAAATTTAAAAACTTCTGCATTTTATCCAGCTGTAGTTTTGAAAAATGGTGAAATGTCATTTAATTTTGGAGACTCACCATTCAAACATTGTGTTCCTAAAGAATTTGTTGCTGTATGTACGGCATCTACTAATCTCATTGAAATCACTCATATTAAAGCTTCAAAAATAGATTCAAATACAAAAAAAACAAATAATGCACCATATGCAATAATCATTGAACCTTCTAGAGAATTGGCAGAACAAACTTTTAATGAGATTAAAAAATTTAAAACGTATTTAAAAGAACCTCAAGTTATGGATATGCTAGTAGTTGGTGGTTATAGTGTTAAAGATCAAATTGCTGCTATATCTTCGGGGGTTGATATTATAGTTGCTACACCAGGCCGCTTAGAAGATCTTATATCTGGGGGCCATGTATCTTTATCTCAGTGTAGATTCTATGTATTGGATGAAGCTGATGGTTTATTGAAACAAAATTATACTAAATTCATATACAATTTACACAGACAAATGCCAAAAGTTTCAAATGATGGTAAAAGGTTACAAATGATTGTTTGCTCTGCAACACTTCACAATTTTGAAGTAAAAAAATTGGCAACATCTCTCATGAACTTTCCAACTTGGGTGGATCTTAAAGGTGAAGATGTTGTTCCAGAGACTGTACATCATGTAGTAATTCCTGTGGATTCTCAAAAAGACAAATCATGGACTTCTTTGAAAAATCCCATTCCCACTGATGGTGTACATAATAGAGATAATATAACAGCATTGAACACACCAGAAGCTTTGTCACAAGGAATTAAAATATTAAAAGGTGAATATTGTGTTAGAGCCATTAATAAACATAAAATGGATAAAGCTATTATATTTTGCCGCACTAAAGTTGATTGTGACAATTTAGAACAATATTTTAAACAGCTTGGTTCTTTGTATTCTTGTTGTACACTTCATGGTTCACGAAATGTCAACGACCGTAGAATGAATTTAGAAAAGTTTAAAAATGGTACTATTAAGTTTTTAATTTGTACTGATGTGGCTGCCCGTGGTATCGATGTCAATGGTTTACCATTTATGATTAATATGACTTTATCTGATGATAAAACTAATTATGTACACAGAATTGGCCGGGTGGGTCGAGCCGAACAAATGGGTTTAGCTATTTCATTTGTTGCATCTGTTCCAGAAAAAGTTTGGTATCATGGTCAATGGTGTTCTTCAGGTGGGAAATCATGTTCAAATACTAAATTAACAACTAATGGAGGCTGTTGTATATGGTATAATGAGCCTCAATATTTGGCTGATATTGAAGATCACTTGAATATCACTATACAACAAGTTGGATCAGATATAGATATTCCTATGAATGAATTTGATGGAAAAGTAGTGTATGGTCAAAAAAAGGAGAAGATTGGCCCTACTTCTAAAAATCACTATGATCAGCTGTTATGTACATTAAATGAACTTACAAAATTAGAAACTAAAGCACAATACATGTATTTGGACATGCTAAATAATTAACTATAACATTTTATACAGCATAAGTATTCTTAAGGAAAAAATATTAAAAATAATATTTAAGAATAAAAAAAAGTTTTTGATTCACTACTAAATCTTTGACTTATTTTATTTGCTATTTGTATACACAACAGTATTACTATGTGTAAAAATAATAAAATCAATTAAAAGCCATCATCGCGTTTCATGCCAGTTCCAACAGGTCCATGACGTCTTTCCCACAACATACGATTCAGTTGTTTAGCATAACACCTCTCCGCAGTAACAGCTACACCCAAATCACCATCTGAAAAATAAATTCCATATTTAATTTGTTTTCTTTAAATAATATCTATTTAATCTAATTTATAATATTTACTAACATTTGATTGTGAAATTTTCTTCTGCTTTTTCATATATGTCATACAAAGGTTTACATTTCCTCATACCATCTGGTCCTTCATAAATACGACAATCTTCATACCGTTGTCTTAAGATTGATAGAATATTGCTGTCTACAAGTCTATAAAAAATATTTGATAATTTAAATCTTTTTTATCAATATAAGATACATATATAAAGTGAATAATATAAGTTTTTGACAATTTGAACACACAGACTCATAAATATATTTATATTAAATATTAGAGTGGTCGTTATTTATATAGGTTGAATATATTATTTTGAAGTTAACAGAGTACCTTCTTAATTTATTAAGTTACATAAGTAATTTTGGTAAAATTTGGAAGGTCTCGCTCAACCCTTTCTGGTACCACATTAGAGCTAAAATATAGAAAGAAGGTAGTTTTCTTATTATATTATTTGATTCAAGAACTATTGCACTTAGCGTAATAATGTAAAAACTTGGTATATTTTAATATTGTCTATAAAAGAGAATTTCACAAAAATTAATGCTAGCCCATTATTTTTAAGAAAAATGACAAAGTATCAAAACCTTGTATTTATTTAAAGTGAAATTGATTTTTTTTTTTCAGTTAATTAAAATTGAATAACCTTCATGTATTTTTAAAAATTAGGGGTTACTATCTTAAAAAAATTGTGTTGAATAAATAGGTCACCCTAATAAATATATATATTATATTTGCCAGGGTTAGAAAAAAATAGAACTTCCAGTGCTATAATATTCTTGTACACATTCTTCTTTGGTACAATATTAATAGTTATGAAGTTAATTGACTATCTAATTAAATTAAAATAAACATTAATTTATTTTAATTTAAAATAAAATATATAATTATAACTGAAATTTAAATTAAAATAGTATAAGATTAATTTCATATACAAAAGAAAATTAAAACAGTACTATAATTCAAAAATTATTATTTTATTTTTCATTATACAGAATTGTATTAAATATATCAGTGTTATTTATCTGTAACTTTCAAGCGCATTAAACTACATACTTATCCCTAATTAGTTGTTCATTTGATTCCCATTTACACAATCTATCGTCATCGTAACATTGATCAACTGTAGGTACTCTTCTTAATTGTTCATGGTAGTAGTTGTAATCTTTTTGATTAGGCTTCACAATAGTTTCTATGAATAGTGAAGATGATATAAAAACAAAATTAATTTTATAATAGGTGTCAGTCTAGCAGTATTACCTTTAACCCAAATTGCAGGTCCAAAAAATATGCCTTTTAAAGTCTCAGTAAAATTCTCAATTGAGTTTCGGCCAGTATGTACTTGTTTTTCATAACCGAAAATCGTGTCTGGTTTAGAATCTGTATTAGAAGACATGATTAATATTTTTATTAATTAATTGAAAATTTTACTAAAAGAAAAAATTTTACTAACAGTTAACTGATAACCAGAAAGAACGACCTTTGAAAAATAATCTGATAATGATTAAATACGCACGTTAATTATGTGTACCACTTTTGGTGTAACTGTCATAATTGTTCTGATTACGGCTATGGATTATGTAGCCGTGGGTCTGATAATAATAGGCTCACAACAGTCTGTACTCTTAAAACTGATAACAAAAAAAAAATTTTTTTCAGATCAAAATATTGACCAACATTTAACCTAAAATTCCTAGACCATTACCATAATAATAATTATATTTTATACCAATATTTCATGTATTTGTATAATATATTTTGGTGAATGTAGGTGAACTTAAGACTTTTATAACTTTGAAATCAAAATTATTAGATAGAATTCTAAGAATCGTGTTGTATAGGGAGCACGATTTAAGATAGTCTATCTTAAATCATGATAGATAGCCTGATAGGTACCTACCTACTACGAAATAAGGTTTATCCTTATTCGTGTAACCTACAATAATAACGATATTAAGTTTTTAATTTAATATTTGTATGAACCGGAATTCTAAAATTCAAATTTTAACATTAATTGCTGAGATAAGGACTACAAATATTTAAATTTGAATTCAATTTTTATATTTTAGAATTAAATAACTTCAAGTTCAGTGAAATTATTTAACTCATGTCGATGATAAAGCAAATTAATATATTTTAGTGCAAGCTGACATACAAACTGATATTTAGAATAATTTAAATTTTTTTCGGTAGACATAAATTTGTCTTTATTTTTTCTTATCATTTCTAAGAGAACTACTTTTGACCGTATGCTAAATCGTGTTATAGTTGTAATCGTGGTACCACTGGATACAAATTATCAGACATCGGATATTCGGATCAGATAATACCAAAAAAAAAATAAAAAATTGGGTGTATCTAATTTATGGGCGGATGGAAATAAATAATTGATCATTTTTGTTTTCATTTAACTTGATTAAGTCTATAATTATTAACTACAACATATTTTATTATTTATACAATTAACCATGAAATTTTGCGGTCCAAAACTTTCCCTTTGTGGGATCATCATCAGCATTTGGGGAATAATCCAATTAGTAAGTTTTTTTTTAATTTTAATTAATATTTGTACAATAAACTGTTTTATTTCTTAGGTAGCAATGGGATTTTTCTATTATATTAGAAGCGTTGCACTTATTGAAGATTTGAACTTAGGTGAAGAATTAGTTACTAATGTAAAGGAATTCTATACTTTAGCTGACAAAAAGTATTCTCTGGTAAGTAGTGTTAAACTGATGATTGCATACAGTAGTGCCGAAATTCTAAACATGTAGTTAGATCAAATACATTTCAAGAAACCCCAATAACTAAATGCAATCCATTTTATGTCCAAAATTATGGTTAGCATAGGTTTTTATTTCTGTAATTAATTATTCATTAGATTTAGTCCATAGTGAAGCAATCCTATGCTTAACTTTTTGAAGAAATTTGATCAAAGCTTGACCTTAACATAGGGTTCGGCACCATTGGTGGCACAAATATGTTTTAATATTTATCCTTAAGTTTACACCTTATATTATTAACACATTGACGGATATTACTGCTATAGCAGTAATATGTGAAATATACTACGTTAATACTGTGGAAGCAGTAATCTTTTCAATGGTATCGAATCATAGAAGACAGTGGACTGCCACATTACGGCAGTTCACACTGATAAATACATTTTGGATGCAGGTATAGTACTACAAATATAATTGTAAAAATTATATTACAAGTGTCCATCAATGTGTTAGTATAATATGGCTATGTCTAGAGACATTAACGGCCATAGACAGTTTACCGTATTATTTGGACTTAAATAAAACCTAAACTACCATTAGAAATCTAGTGGATGAAAACCACAACAAATAAATAAAGCAGGAAAAAAATTATGTTTATGATCGTCTATTAATTCATCGAAAAATTGCAACACATTGATTTATATCTACTTAAAATAGACACTCAGTTATAGCTTCATAATATCTTATGTAGGTGAATATATGTTTTTAAATATTTCCTTAATTAAAATACTTTATATTTTATTAATGATTATAAAACATTTTGTTGTAGTTACAGCTGAAAATGATAACCATGGTGATTGATATAAAGTTATAACTTCTAATTGTTATTATTCTTAAAATGCAAATTAAGGTCATAGAATTAGAATAAATAATGTAAAAATGATAATTCCTACATGTTATTCTATATTCTGTATATTATTTAACTGTTTGACCATAGGTCAGTGGTGCTCAACCCTACATATGGGCCTCAAAGGTATTCTATGTGATCCATTTATACATTTTTTAAAACTAAATGAAATATTTAAAAAAAAGTAAAATTATTACAAAATATTTGTTTTTTTTTCTGTCAAACATTTTCAAATGAAAATTTTACGATTTAAAATAGATATCACCTGTGTACTTAAAAGAGCATACTGATCAAACTAATGTGTACTCTGTATCAATCCGTAATCTTTTCATTAGTCAATATAAGATAAGGGAACAAGTCCAATATGTACCTACTATGTATAATAAAATTATATAAGTACATTGTGTTATAATTATATATTAAACAAAATTGGGATGATATACTTAATTGAGATTATTTGTACTTTTATATCTGGTGGCAATGATAATCATTTACCAAAGAAAAAAGGTTGGATATCACTACTATAGACCATGATCGTGAAAAATTAGTTTTAGTACAGGTCTATGCAATACATCTATATTTTTAATAACAATATTGAAACTTCTTATCAATTGTTGTATTAAATATTAAATGACGCCATTTGCCTACTGAATGATATAATCGGTAAAAAGTTACAATCCTGTTACAGATATTTATCCACAAAATATAATTTTATATGATATTTATTCAACTCATATTCCTAATCCAAGTGATAACTAATATTTTTCAAAATATTATTATACTTTATATACTATTATTTTACATATTGTTTAAATGACAATTTAGTGTGAGTATTAATTTTTAATGAACTATTTAACATTTTAATATTAACCTAGTGAATTATCACTCATTATTATAAAGGTTGCATTAAAAAAAAACAATGACAAATAATTTTTTTTCAGAATGCGTACAATTGTTGGATTGCGGCATGCCTATACATTTTTACACTTGTCGTATCTGGACATCAATTTTACATGAACAATCGCAATACAATGAGTTTGTAAAATGTTACTAACATACATTATACAAATACATAACCTTTTTATTATCATATAATATACTATATTGTAGGATATACATTTTTTTCTTTTTCCTTGTTTTTATTTTTATTTTCTATGATCATATAGATTATATTTTAATTATTCCATATTGTTAACAAATTTTAACAGTTGTAAGATAAACTATTAAAAATTTCGTAGATATTAAGTGTTTGGAATATATAATGTATAAATAAATTTGGCATTTAATACTTTATACTTGAACACCTTTATGTTTCATTTATTTATCTATTTTTTTTTCTATATAAAACTTAAAAAACGATTTATAATATGATAATCTTATTTAATAATGCAACATAATCTGTAAAAATCTTTTTTTACTATTCTGGTCATTATACAGTGATTTTGAATGTTCCACAGGGCTCTCATCTAGGGCCATTACTATTCCATATTTTTATAAATGATCTCCTGCCTGTCCTTGATACCAATATTAAAATTTTATGTTTGCAGATGACGTAAAATTATACTTGGATATTAAATCTGTTAATGATGTAAATATTTTACAATCTAGTCTTGATCGGTTTCACCAAAATCTTATTAGTTTTAATAAATGCCAAGTAATCACTTTTACACTTAGTAAAAATCCAGTAATATTTCAGTACCAAATTAATTATTATTCACTCGATAGAGTAAATTTTACTAGGGATTTGGGAGTCTATTTTGAAAATAATTTATCATTTAAATTAAACCATAGAATGATTATAAACAAATCATATAAAATGTTAGGTTTCATTAATAGAAATACAAAAGACAAAAAAAAAACCTATTTGTTTAAAAACAAAAAAAATGTCTTTAGTAAGATTTAACCTCAAATTCGGTTCACTTATTTGGTCTAAGAACAATTTAAATTAATAAATAATCTCAATAATGTTCAGTAAAAGTTTTTGAAAAGAATTGCTTATGTCTCTAGTATACATATCACTAGAAGTACCGTTTATGTTGTTGAAACTTCTTGAGTCTAGACTCACTATACATAAGACGAAAAATAGCTCATATTATGTTATGATATCTTAAACAACCTCAATGATTCCTGATTTATTATCGGAAATTGGTGTCCGTATACCATGTAAAAACACTAGGAACTTATATATATATACAGTATATAATGTTTTCTATCATAATTAAAACTAATATAATAATCTTACTAATTCTAAGGCCTTAAATTTAAATATGCTTCGAGAAAGTAAAAGAAATTTTAATGTGGAGGAAATCCTATTGGCCAAAACAAAGCCCTTAAAAAAAATGTATTATTTCCACAATTGGTGCTGTAAGGAGGAATTTCAAATAAGTTCCTAGTGTTTTTACATGGTATACGGAAACCAATTTCCGATAATAAATCAGGAATCATTGAGGTTGTTTAAGATATCATAACATAATATGAGCTATTTTACGTCATATGTATAGTGATATGATATATATATATATATATATTTATATATTATTTTTCTATTTTCTATTTTTTTTCTAAGTTTTATCTAAAATGTTACAGTTTGTTATATAATTTTTTTAAAAGGGCATTTGCCCGAGAGCAACAATAAATAAATAAATAAGTAAAATAATAAATGAATAAATAATAGGTATCAGGTTTGTATAAATTCTCACTTCTACTTATAGATTATACATGAAGTTGAGTAATATTGAAGTAAAAATAAAAATACACAGTTATTAAATTTATATTTGTGGTCAATGATAAACCATTGCTAATGAAAAATAATTCTAGGTAAAATTCATTTATACATGATTGTAAAACTGTAATATTTACAATTTTCTTCAAATCTTAAAAATCAAAATAAAAAAAAATAAAAAATACTACATTAGATAATACTAATTTTAGATTCAAAGTATAGTAAGAAGTCTATTATCAGATATTACTGTTTTATTTTTTAAATTTTTGTTTTTAAACATTTCAAAAAGAACTTGCTCCAATGAATCAAGGATAGCACATTTTCCGAAAAGGAAATTTGATCAATTTGGTATAATAGGCTGGTCATTTTTTGATTTTCCAAGGGGTTTCAAAATAATCTGGAAAAATGAAAACTAGCAAATTAACGTTGTTAAGATTTTATTATTAATCTAGTTTGTGAATAAGAAGGTCGTTTTTGATTTTCCTTGCAGTTTTTATAATAATTAGGCAAAACCAAAAAAAAAAAATCTACAAATAATGAGGAAATTTACAAAACTAATGATTTTATATTTTCAGTTGTTTTTTTGTTGAAATTCAGTTTCAAATATTCATAGAGACTTGAAATTTTGATAGAAAACTTGTATTTGTTTTTTTCAAGCATGGTAAAATGTACAAAACATTTGTGCCATTTATAGAAATTATTTATAATTTTGAGTTATGTAAATCATTTTTTAGGTACTCTTTGGATAAAATAGAAATGTTTGAAAATGTACAGTTGGTTCATTATGTTGTATTTAGTGGTTGGAAAAAAAAGTTGAGTATAATGCCGGGTCCACACTGAGACGATAAAATTAAAACAAAACAGAAACATTTATGTTTTTTCCAACAGATTGTTTGTGTTTTGTTAAACATTGTTGAACTTGTGTGGACAGTGTTTTAAAAATAAACAACAGAAATAATATATTTTATAATTTCCATACAATGAACAGAAAAAAAAATGGAATATTGAAGACGCATGCAAGCTTATATAACTATATTGGGAATCATATTGTGGGATGCAAAATCTTCAGATGATATCCTTACAAAATTTTTAAAACTAGATCAATGTTCTCTATTTAAACAGACATTATCATCTTGTAAGTTCATTAAAAGTGTATGTACACCTTGTGTAATCTATTTTTGCAAAGTTGGCCTTACCTAAAATTATTTTTATTAGTTTTATTTTTGTTGTTGCAAATAAATATATCACTTAACATACATAAACCTTTGTCGTCGTTAATATTTTTTCTTATTTTCCATATTTTAATTTGTGTTAATTCACTATGAACAAAATTTTACTATATTTGTATTTATATGTAAATTGCTTTAACTTTAGTGACTTAATGAATATCTAATAATTGAAAATGAGTTTACAGTTTCGAAACTAACTTATTTGGTATGTGTGGACAAGAGAAAAAAAACAAAGTTGGTACCACCACAAGATACTCCTGAAATTTCGCGAAAAAGTATTTGAAAATATTGACTTTAATTAAACTAAAAAATTTCAAAAATTAGGATTCAAACACATGTAAAATATAACCAAAAAAATTGGACTGAGCACGCTTAATGAATCATTCTGTATATTACGAAAAATAAACAGTAAAACCAATACATTCCTCACTGCTCAGAATCTAAAATTTAAAACATTAAAATTGGTACCGCTGTAATAATTTATTCTCTTACAGATATGTAATTTTTTTTCTGTATTGCCTATTATGAAACCCTTTTTAAAAATAAAAATAAAAAAAATAACCTCTTCATACATCAACTAGATACAGTTTCCTTTCAAAAAAGGTGCTACACTTGGTACATTGTAGTTCTTTATTTGAAAAACTGGTCTAAAAAAATACTTATAGATCCCTTGATATACTAAAATGTCTGGGTAAAATGGTGTAACAGTATGCTTTCCAACCCATAATTCTACTTAATGTAATAATAAATAATTATGAAAATAATTGTTCCTGTAAAAATGTTAAATATATTTTTCAGTTTTGTTCATGATTAATATGTATTAAATATGTATTGATTAAATTACTAATTGAGGGATAGAAAATATGATTAACTTTTTGACTTTATATAAATTTAATATCAATGTAATAAAAATAATAATTATCATTTCATAGTACAAAATTTGTAAATGTTTATTTTTTGCCCTTTTAACATATTAAGTTTAATAAATGCTACATACTTTTAAATTGTATTATATTTGATAACATAAAACCATATTTTATGTTTGTATTTTATGTTATATTTATATTTAACCATAATCATATAATTGGTTTGTTGCAGATAATGACTATATAATAATATCATATATAGTAATAATAGTATACACAATAATATTGATTGGTTATCAATTAATTTTAATGATGATGAATAATAATAACAATACAAGTAATAAGTAGGTAACCAAAATAAATTTAATAATTAAAATCTTTCAATCGGCTAATGTCAATTTTAATAATATCACAAATACTTTAACCATCAGATTATAGTATGTAACCAAAACACAAAAATACATTATAATTAATTGAAGTTTTTTAATTTTCAATAGTAATAAACACATTTTTGCGATAATAAATTAATTGTTTAAAAAAATAATATTTAATAGAAATACTACATTTAAATTTAACTCAAAAATAAATTAGTTGACAAAATTCATGTAGATTATTTAACATCTATATATTTTATTAATTTGTAAATACCCATAAATGCAGAACAACTAATATCTTGTAATATTAAAGTGACCTTTTATAAATTTTTTCCAAAAATTTAAAAAACATATCCTGTGATAAACCTCGTGATACTTGTTGAATATGAGTACATATTAAATTATAACTTTCTTCTTCATAAAGATTAAAAGTATTTGGTAGCTTCAATTGTTTATACAAATCTTTTATTATTGCCACTTTCTTTGGATCATCGATACCATAGTTTTCCTATTACAATAATCAAAATACAATATTTAAAGAATACATTACAGGATAATTATTAAATACCTCCATAATTTTTTTTTGTTGAGAATTAGATTTTTGCAAAGCTACTACAGCTAACCATGAACATTTTCCATCTTCAATGTCTGTACCAATTTTGCCCATTATTTCGGGGTCTCCATAACAATCCAAAAAATCATCCTAATATAATATTGTCATTTCAATAATTTATATTATATAAGAATTTATCAATTTTGTCTATACTTGAACTTGAAAGAAGTGTCCCATTTCAAGCAATATAGTCTTTGCTTGTCGAAAAATTTCTGGGTCATTTATGTTTGTCTGTAAAATTATTTTACTCAGTAAAGATAAATATTAAATCATTAAAAAAAAAATAAGGCTTACCATGCGCATAGAGAGACACACAGGAAGAAAAAATGAATAATATGCAGTCTTATATTTGACAATAGCCGTATAATTTTCCATATTATATTTTTCCAATTTGTTAGTCTTGAAATTATGTGCAGTCAACATATCAAGACATTGACCCATTGAAGTTTTCATTGTAACCTGTCAAATTAAATTGTAAAGTTAATAAGAAAAATTTTCAATTAGACATTGGCATTGCCAATCACCCAAAACAATATCAACAACTGCCATGAATTGAGTTATTTAAACAATTTGGAAATTTAAAAGAAGTTATTAAAAAAATACTTACATCATGGAAAAGCTCAAGAATATGTGTATAATAGGGTTTATCATTAAAGTGCTTTTTAAGTAATTGGTATATGGCCTGTTCAAGAAGAATACCATCATTTATTGCCACAAGGCCAATATCATTCTGTCGATACCAACATGGACGTCCTCTTCTAGTGATGGCATTATCCATTATATCATCCAACACTAGTTGAAAAGCTTGCAACTAAAAAAAAAAATTGTTATTTTAATCAAAGAATTCAAAAAAATAGTTTACCTTATCTCAGTTATACCAAAATTTTAGTAATACAAGATAATTAGTAGGTATCCAATTTTGTGTTACATACTAATAATGCTTTATTTTTACTTTATTATTTTCAATAATTAATAACTTAACTGATATTTTTCTTAAGATAAATTTAATTAGTTAATTATTCTAAAGTACCTAAAAATCAACATTTAATTCTAATTCTCGTAATAAAAAAATTGAATATTGTGTAATCACATTTAAATATAATAAATGCATAGAACTACATAAAAAATCAATAAACAAATATTATATTTAGGTGTTAGATAAAAAATGCAACAAAAAAGGTCTCTTGTTGTTTATCTATAGGAATAATATTTCTGGTATAAAACATAACATAATGAATTGAATGCAATAATTAGATAATTTAATTGCTGTAAATATTAATCAATTTTATTTTATTTATTTTTCCCAATTATTAGAAAATCTCTTGGATATTGAAAAACGGCTTTCTCTGTCAATGGCAAAAAATTATAAATAAAGAACAAAATCGATCTCTTGTCATTTTTGGATAGGAGTAATATTTGTAGTAGAAAACAATGTGTTAACATAATAAAAACAATGAAAATGGTAACGCCGCGTATTGTAAATATTTACCATTTTCCCTATAATTTTCAGAAAAAATGCTGTAGTTTATAATTCGGAGTAAGTTTTCTGGTAGAAAAGTTATCTATAGGCAAAAAAAAAAAAACACACATCATAGTAAAACCAATAGATTCCTCGCTCTGCACAGTATCTAAAACAGCACAAATCAGTCTACAATATCTTCATCTAAATGTTTAGTGTCTATGGAAGAGTCTGTAATCAGTGACGATGTACTGTCAGATGAACATGTAAATAGTATTGTATTAAGGGTTTCAGTTTGCAATCAACTCTTTTTGGTAATAATAATGATGATGACATTCCTTTGCCATGTAGTAATGATAATATTGTAAATCAGTAATACATACAGTATTTGATAACAGTTCTAATTTCCACCAAAAATTATTTAATTTAATTATTAAACATCATATTATAAGAAAAAACATTCTTAAGTCATACAGCTGTTAATAAGGTGATGTTTAACTCGTTTGAGGTTAGGAGACAGTTGTCTTTTTGGCTTTTTAGTAGACAAGAAAATCGGATTAATTAAACCAAGTTGATAATTTGGATGAATTAGAAAAAAAAAATATTTAAAAAATTATAAAATATAATTTTGGATTTTAATTCTTGTAGTAATATTTTAAGACTCAATGGGGAGGGGAGTATCATAATTCCCAAACAACACCCTTAAATATGTTATTGATACAACCATAGTTTAACCAATAACAATATTATATTTTGTTAGATAAATGTATATAACTGGTTGGTGGTTTTTTTTTATCAAATATTTATATTTGCCTTCTAGGGCTTAATTTTCAATGGTGTATATTTAACTATTACCTTCACATATTATTTATGGCAGGTAAAATCATGTAATAATTTATAAATAGTTAATTTTTAATTACTTCAATAAATGTATTGTATGTATGTACCTACAATTATTATAATTATACTACATAATAAATAATTATAATAATATTCACGTGATTAATGGTAAATGTACTTTGATGTTTATTAATAACTCTTCAACTGTTCACGATTGTAATATATAAAAACACACAAACAATATGAATATTATAATTAAAATAATTTTATATCCCATGTCAACTTATGGCATATAAATAAAACTTTTAATTATTTTCTTTTTAAACAAAATAGGTCAATCCAAATTGTGATAGGCATTAAAAATAAACACACATTTATATCAGACATATATGCAAGTATACATTGATACTTACTAGGTTTTAATTTTTTTTTTCTGTAAAAATTACCGTAATAAGTAAAATATAATACTGTAAAATCAGTAATTATATAAAAAAAATAATAAATATACTCATTTGTCTCAAACTATATTTAAATTGATTGAATTACCAACATTTCTTCCAAACACACCATTATGTAACTTTGTTATTAATTATTTTTATATTATAATATATGTTATTTAATAGTGTTTAAAATAAGAAAGCTAATTAGTCAACCAACTATTCAACAAAACAGTTTCATTGAACTAGCTAATGTGACAATGATTAAATGATGCATGATGCATGTGATGTGGGAATATGAAAAAAAAACAAATAGATGTAATATGCTATTATTAAATTATCGAATAAAACACTATTCATGTTATCAATAAATACCTATAGTAAAAAGGTCGTTAACAAAAAACATTATTTCGGTAAATAGTATTATAACATTTTTAACTTTACTATAATATAAAATATTGAAGGTACAAAATTACAAAATTATAAATGAACAAAGATGTGAAATTATACCAGTTGTATATTACATAATTGTTTGCTTGAAGATATAATCAATTTGATGGAAATTAAGATAGTGGGCACTCTCAATAATTATTAAGAACTGACAGTGAAAACTGCAAGTTATTATTGGATTCATTTCAAAGTATTTTTGGAATAATTATTATAAATAACTCAATAAAAGATAACTAAAATAATAGGCACCTACTTAAACAAATACTTAAAACTAATTAATTTTTTTGGAAGAGTTCAGAAGAATGCTAACATATTATATTTAATACTACATTATTTATGTTTTGATATTTAAATAAATCAAATGCAGTTCAAATGCATATAATTAATTTAAGTAATTAAAATTATTCAGATTATTTTAATTAGTTAATTATATAACATATATATTAGGCATATTTCACATACCTGCATATTTTTATTATATAAAAGATATATCTGACTTATATATACATTTGATAATGTTATGAGTTCATAATTTGTCAACTTTAAAATATAATCTGAATTTTAGGATGTAAAATGAATATTAATTTTTATAAATTATCTAAGAAGTTTAAACTTAGATATTTTAAATAAGTCAGTTATATAAACTATTAGTTAATATTTATACATTTTATCATTTTTTAGTAAACATTTTGTATCACTAACTTTAGCTGTGCCTAATAAAATCATTGACATTTTTAAGTTTTGGATTATTTATCAGTCCAAAGAAGCAATCATTTTCAAATTAATGATTGTTTTAATTTGTCGTATAATATTGTACATACCTACCTACTCTCCTACATAGATATAGTTCAAAAAAAAACTTACTATTTCAACACACCATCCTAATATATAAGACAGTCTGAGATTTTCATCAGTCAACTCAGACGGAGAACACAACATTTTGTATGAAAGCACCAATGCTAGTCCACGGTTTTTTTTACCGCCAGGTACATTGTATTGCAACAGCTAGGTAAATAAAACAAAATATAAGTTATTATTAAACAGTGAAATATAAGTAATCGATAATTGGGTCAATAACTGTGAAATCACCTTCGATAGCCATTTGGTAACGTCGGGTACATCTAAATTACGACCAGTATCCGTCAGGTCTCTGACGACGTCCGGGAAAACAGCCATGAAATCTCTGGACTCGTCCTTACTGACAGCCGTGCCGGTTATCACCGGTGGGACCGGTGGAACGCGTTTCAGGCTCATGCACCTGAAATATGATCAAATAATTCGAGCAATCCGTCCTCCACCGTGACATTATCGTGAAGCGGTTAACCGAAACGTACCGGAACTGATCCCTTCGAACGGCGGCAGAAGTAGCAGTGTTCCGGCGACATAACAACTGCTCGCATTGCGTAATCGACGCTCCGCGGGCTAAAGTCGTCCTCGTGAATGACAACATTTTGTTCATACTGTTGCTATTGATGTGACAGACAGACAGTGACACCGCTGTTCACGACACAAATGAAACTGACGTGGGGGGGAGGTAAATTCAATTTTTATCAAATAGGAATTTAATAACGAAGATATCGGAATGTAATAAACAATTCAATTATATTATATTATTATGATGATGTACGAAGATCAGACGCGGCGGACGTGACACGTACGGTCGACCACTTGCGGTTGCAATAATAAATACCTACGGCGGAACCGGCGGCGGACGTGCATTAACCGTAGTCAAAGTGCGGCCGTAGATACGATGATGCGATTATAAACGTGTAGAAATCCATTACACGGACGGGCGGCGTTCCCCTTTTCTAAATTTTTTGTTAATTTTAAATTCCACTAAACGTGGACGCCACGAACGCCATCGCCGCGCCGCGGTCGTCGACGATCGTCAACGCCCTCTACGCGAAACGCGTTAGTCGTTAGTTCGCCGTCACTCGCCCGTTGGCCCATGTTTTTTTTCGTGGTCGGTATCGTTGATTTTAAAATATCGTAGTATTTATAATCAATGGTAGTTGTATGCACAGAATAATAAGGAATTTTGTGGTCGTATAGAATATAGATTACAGATAATAAATTTTTATATTCAAAGAAAATGATATGATCTAGCTTATATTTATGACGTGCGTGCGTACTAGATGAACACCGGAAGTCCGGAACAGACGACATATATTTAACCTTCATAATATTTTGGCTTCTGTATTTTTTTCCCGCGGGCTGCGGCATGATAATAATAATAAAAACAATAAATTATAATAATTATTCACATCCCATTGAAAGTTGTACCTACCTATAATCTGTCTTATAAATAGTTTCTCTCAACCGGCGGCAAAACGATAATATTCAGTCTCCGTGTTACAGAGCCGTTAAATTATCATGTTTTTTTTCTCCCGAAAACTCCGTGAAAATAGGTATACTCGCCTAGTTTCATGGTTTTAGGCGTTTGAAAACCATACATCTGTGAAAATTATCTCTCAAATGAAATTTGAATATTAATAGATTATAAGATGGTTTTATGGAACAATAATATAAGTACCTACCTTATAGACTAAATGGGTATATTATAATATATTGTTTTAATCTTTGAACCATGGTCAGTAAGAATACTAGATTATTCAACTGAAATATTTAGTGGTTTTTTAATAGGCAAATCGACCAATGATGCTTTAGTATGTGTAGACACATATGTCAAAAATAAAATTGATAATGATGAAAAAGTAATTGGTATATTTTTAGACGTCAAAAAAGCTTTTGATTCGGTCAACCATAAATTACTTATAAATAAATTGGAACATTATGGTATCAGAGTTGTTGCATTACAATTAATGATATCTTTTTTGGCTAATAGGTATCAAGCAATTAGACTTGATAATGTGGTTAATATTTGGTTACCTGTAAATTGTGGAGTCCCTTAGGGGACAGTTTTAGGACCATGACTCTTTATTATTTATACTAATAGTCTACTAAAATTAAATTTATGAGCGAAAATAATTAGTTTTTATGATGATACAGTAATTCTGGTCAGTAATACAACGATCACTGATTTATACAACTGTGAGTTATACACTAAAAATTGTAAAAAATTGGTTTAATATTAATTTCTTAGAATTAAATTCTAGTAAATCAAATTAAATTTTTTTTTCAAATATATGATTAATTTAAATATCTAAAGCCATTATTTATGAATACTATAAATTGTATTGAATCAATTGTATTTGTGATAGGATTTTAAATGTAAATTCGACTAAATATTTAGGAATCACTTTTGATTAACATCTCAGATGGGATCTACAGATTGGATACGTAACTAATACAGTAAGAAAATGTTTTTATCGATTTAAAACACTAAGAGATATTCTTAATATTAATTATTTACGATTAGTATATACATCCTTAGTACATTCTATATTATGCTGTGGGTTTAGTAGTGTGAGGTAATTCTGCCGACGTGCACATGCATAAACTTAATGTTACAATAAACTCATTATTGAGATTTATATTGAAAAAACCATATATTCATCATGTAGCGGATTTATATGTGGCTTTAAAAATCAGAAATATAACTGGTTCAGATATTTATATTGTGCTTTCTTTCATATTGATTTGATAAGAATGTTGATGCTTGTTAAACATCACTATTACACAAAATTAAAACACAGAGTAAATCTTATTACACCGGTAAATAAGAAATTGTTTGGTGAAAAATATATTTTATGTGCATATGTTAGTCTCTTTAAATCTACTTTTTAGAGTAAAAAATCATTTTTAAACCATGTAAATAATTTAGATTTAAATATTATATGAACTAAGTTTTATTTCATATGTTATATTAAATTTGGCATTTAGTAATTATTTAATTTTTAATTTTGGATTTGTATGTATCTTTGTTTAATATTGTTTTTAATTTATATTGTATAACTGTATTTTTTTTTTAACTTGCCGCTCCTATCCACAAGCTTGCTTTTTAGAACAGCTTCATCAAAGTACCTATTATTTTGTTTTCATGTTTTTGAAATCTATTTTTCATTGAAATATATTTTCATTCAATATAATATAATTTGTATCTACTTCGTAATTAATGATGATTCAATAAATACCTAATAATACCAAATAGCTCTTAGCGTGAACGCATTGTATATGTGTAGTTTGTGTTTATTGAGAAGGTTATTTTTTGTTTATGAAAAAAAAGGTTGAAATTTGTTTTTAATCAGTTAAAAATAATCGTAGAAATCTGCAATGTTCACCAAAAGCTTATTTTAAATGGTTCTAAAAGTACTACATTTTTAAAAATATTCTGACGGTTTTTGAGTTATTTATAATTATAGCTATCTATTTGAAACTGTTAGGATTTATTTTTGTTAATTTGTGAGTTCCAGCAACGATTATCTACGAGTAGAAAACTGTGGTTTCAGCTAATTTTCGTACAGGTTACCAATTAAGTATAAAACCAATTGGGCGTTATCTCGTTCGAAAAAAAAGTGAATTATTAAATTAGTCAACATACATGTACATATATTTATACATATTAAGTGTATAGCCATATATAGGTAATTATAATATTACTATTTATAGGTAGATATGCATTTAGATTCAGAGCCTATCAACGAAGCTTATATTGAAGTTATAACTTGGATTGAACTTTTTTTTCGAACGAAAGTAGGTATTGGAAATTTTCACAAGGCTTAATAAGTTAAGTTATGATAAACAAAAAATAACTGCGCTAAATTAAAGTTAATTTTAATATATAAATGGATTAGAGTAACCAAATTAAGTATTAACTATTAAGTTAGGAACCTAAATTTGTTTAGTTAAATAATCACTTAATTAAGTTAAAAGTTACTTTGATTAATTTTATTACCCTTTATTATACACCCGTAAACGTATTTTTATAGGTAATCTAATATTTAGACTTTTATAAATTTACTATAAAAGATTCGTGTGGGTATCCCTGCATTGGTCGCAAATCCTTTCTTGTTATCTATATGTGATAATATTAGGAATATGAAGTTTAAAATTCGCATGTTTTTTTTCGGAGCCTCTGTTTTATAGCAAACCAAGATTAAAATGTATGTTATTATCCCTAAAGTTTAGAAATTATTATTTTTATGTCTAATTTATATATATTTTAAACATTTTCAACGTTTTTGATGCTTACTTGGTTATTTTGTGCTTAAAATAATTTTACGTTAGTCTTAATTTTTGTATGTATATTTTCGATATTTGCTCATATTTTGCAAATTTGATCTCCTATATATTTATTATCCCTAGTAATAATGATATTCAATTGGAATTACGTTATTTCTGTTAAAAAATAAATGACAAAACCATATTAGCTATATGGACTCATTAGTTTTGTTACCAAAAATTCGTATGTAACTTAAATTTTAACAAAATAACTAAGTTGAGTTAAAATTAGTTATCAAAAGAAATAAATATTGTGAGACATTGTAGCAAGACCCCACATAGTTAAATACGGATACAGACATCCCGATTTCACGATAGACATATCCGCTATTGGATGAGGCGGTGTATACTTACACATATAAAATATATATTATATGTGTAGCATGTTATGATATTGTTATTAGTTTTAAACTACCTACACATTACAATTTTAATATTTTTGAAATCTGATTTTGCAAATATAACGTATAAAATAACATTTAATATCATATAAAAAGCTGACACACATTTATAACTGCTTATATTTTTGGCATTCAATATAATACATAATGTAGACACGTCTCCAATATATATAGGCATTCATGTACCAAAGCCTAAAGGTATTTTGAAAATATAATGTATAGGCATATATTACCATTGTGAACGCCACATAAAATATTCATAGTATAAAAGTATCGCTGTATAATAAACTATAATGCACCGTAGTTGGTTATTTCAGTTATTTATAAATATTTTGATTTATGGTGGAAACGAGAGAGAGTTAGAAAGATCAGAACACAGTGATGAGACTTCGGCACGTATAGAATAGATACATCCGACGTATAACTTGTTTTTTATGAGCAGTTATGTAATACGACTTTTGACATTTGGTACATAATAGTTTGATTATTCAGTATTCAACCTCTACATATTAGTATATTAGGTACGAATAAGGTGATTTACAAATTATGAAAAGGTGATTGTTTTGAAAGTATTTTTATTATTAATTAGGTAATTATTTCTAATTCTAAGTGCATTTGATGTTTTGAAATTTTAGTTTGGTCTTGTGTTTTGCAAGCCATTAAAAAACCTACATTCTTACTCACCAACTTGATTAAAAATCCAATAAAAATAATACATTGTTGTTTTTTTATTGGAACAATATTTCTAGTAGAAAATATAAATTATACATTGTACAAATTTAAAGTATAGAATTATAACGCTATAATAAATTAAACCGTTTTTATTTTTCTCCTTCTTTCTGATTTTCCCAATTATTATGAAAACTACTTGGAAGATCAAAAAATTACTTATTTCGTGAGCAACTATATCCAAAATGTCACCCAAAAAGGAATTTTTTGATTAAAGCGATATTTTTAGTAGAAAACCGTTCGTAAAAATGTAAAATGATGCAATCGGTAACGCCGCGACGCGCCATAAATGTTTCTGGTTTTACCTAAATTTTTTTTCTGGTTTTCCTGACTATTTTGAAAACTTCGTAGATAACCAGAACATGACTACCTCAATGCATCAACTAGATAAAATTTTCTTTCAGAAAAAGTACATTTGATACATTGGAGCAAAATTCTGGTAGAAAAGAGTGAGTTTCACACAGGCACAGAAAAAAAAAATAATACAAAAACACATCATATAGTAAAACCAATAAATCCCTAGCGAGCTACGCTTCAAATCTAAAAAGCAAACATCATAATATTAAAACTAATATACATTATTTCTCGCTAGATTCAGAATCTAAAATGAAATATTGTAGCGGATTGTAGTAACTCCACTCACATAGCATAGATACCTATCTATATTTATTCAATGATTAGTAAATGTTTTTTAAAAAAAAAACTTTACCATTGTTAAATATTGAAATTTCATTAACAATATATTTTTTAATATTTGATTTTGACTAATTAACCATTGGCCATTGGGTGAACCTTTTTGCGCTTTTAAATACATTTTGAAAACTATAACATCTAATAAATAATAAATTTAAAATGATTATTTAATGTAGACATTTAGTGATAAATAAAATCACCTTACCTATGGCGATTGTCTAAACGCGTGTAAATTATGAAAAGGTCAAACGAAAACAAAAAAAATCCGAAAAAGTAAAATAGAAATAAGCTAGGTCGGTCGTATGGTGGCCGGTGGGCAACACCGGTATCGGAATCGGGAACCTTGCCTATTCTAACCTACCAAGCCACAACGATTGTTGTAAATTAGTATCGGTTTATGGGTATATAGGTTATATTTTTGTTTCGAATACACGTAAACGGCCGATAAAAAAATCGTATCGCGTGACGGCGAAACACAATAAGTACTCGAAAAACGTTAAACTAACGCGCTGCAGAAATATGAACGAGACCGTGTGGAACGAGCGGGAAACAGGAATTCATGGAGAAACACGTTATTATTTGTATACATTTTTATTTCGTTTAATATACAAACTGACGTATGTAGGCAGAGCCATGCGAGACTAAACATTAAATGCATTTAATGTGAAATTTGTTTTGAAAAAAAAAAAATTAGAAAGGGCGGAAATAATTTTCCCAATCGCACGTGGGTGCAGCCACTGTTGTAGGTGGGAAGTTCGGAAAATAGGATACAGACAGGAATTTAATTTATATGTGTAAGCAACGATAAATCACTGCTAAAGAAAAAAACGATTGTGAACGGATTTCAGTCAATACTGCTTTGTCAATAACACAATATATGGCATATACGCCATATTATGGTAAAATGATTACAACAATGTGCGTTTCCATGAAAACAAGATTGTTTAAAAAATATTAAAATAATGAAAACTAATTAATAACAAAAAATAAATAAAAACGGTTGCCAATGACAACCTTATTTTTAATCTTTCAATCTTTTTTAACCTAAAGACCGAGGCTTTCCTTATTATCTCGAATATCAGTGAGAATTTCAAAAATGACCTTTCTAATGTAACACCCAGAAAACATTTCCTTTCAGAAAAGGTGCTATACGTGCTTTATAACCGGAATATGATTTCTGGTAGAAAAAGTGTTACATTAGCACCATCAACTTGGAATTTCGTTAAATAATTTGCACCAACAATTGTAATTCTATTTTTAGGTACACATTTGTAACCGTAAATTCCGAATTCGTATACCACCCGAAAAATTGCTTGGTTTGATATTTGAAATCGAAAATCGAATTAGTTTATAAACACTAATCCATATAAGAAAATAATTATTTTTTATTTTTTACGATTTACGATTTTTGTCAAAATTTAAATTTAAAACTGTTACATGGTTTATCGTTGCTTACAGATGTACATTAAATTACTTATAACAGTGGATGCACCCGTCTCCATCATCCTAGGACGTCTATTTTTCTATAGTGTTTATACCATATAATATAATATACCATTGTGTAGATATAGTACTGAAAAATAGAAATTTATGTATACTTACTGGGTATATATATAAACCATACATTTTTTTATCGTAACAAATCTAAAAACTATAAGAAATTTTAGATGGTATACGTAAATATAAATAGGTACCTGTGTGTACACAGGTTATTTATTCTATACCTATAGAAACCTTGTTCCTATAGTTAATAGTTATCGACTATTGTTAATATTTTATCTTTATAGATTATAGATATAATAACTATTTAAACATAACCGGAGGTTCTATTAATAAATGTATTACTTATAGTAAAATAAATATTCTAACAATGTTGATATCAGTATTGAAATGATTCTATCTAATATTATTGTACCTATTATAATATTTAGTAGTTTTCTAGTCAGAGATATAATTTCTTTGTTAAGCATTATAATATTTTAAATTCCGAGTGTAGTAAAGAATGTATTGGTTTTACAAAGATTATTTTTTTTTATGTGAACACTTTTTCTAACAGAAAGCTTACACCATTGTAAATGATGTAGACTCTTTTCTGAAAAGACATTTTCTTGGGGTAGTACTCTAAGGAGGTCATTTTTTGATTTTCTCAAGAGTTTTCTCATCAAATGTGGAAAAACAGGTAAATGTACGAAATATATTACTAAAATATTACAATTTTTTTTTTCTGTGCACAACTTTTCTACCTGTAATTTTGATCCAATTTATAATGATAGCAATTTTTCTAAAAGAAATCTGACTGGAGAGGTTCTTTAGAGAAGTCATTTTTCGATTTTCTCAGGAGTTTTTTCATCAGATTTCAAAAACCGAAAAAAACGGGAAAATATAGAAGGATAATAAATTGTCTATTTATGACTCTTTTCTACTCCTCCGGTCTAAACTTTAAACTCATAAATGGCAAATCTGATATTAGTTTTATGCATATCAAAATTTCTAGAAAAACAGTGTCTATTTAAATCAGTATTCAAAAGGGGGTTCCTATTGCAAAATAAAAAGTACGCATTTATTTAAGGTATATGGAGTAGGGTAAAAAAATTAAAAATGGTATTCAAATAAAGCTTAAATGATTCCATAATGATTAGAAAAAACAGAAATCAAATTCACTTAAAATCCTCTGAGATAATTGCTGGTTTACGATAAAAAAATCTTGATGTTAAACTTGATAGATAGCATCACAAGTATCTAGTATGATGTAACTAAGAACCTGTGGGGAAATAATTGTCGAAAATTTCAGGACTGCGTAGCTTTTACCTGTCGTCAAAAACCGAAAGTCGCTGTCAGCCTTTCATGGGATGAAATGACTTATTACATTACGTATCATTTTTTGTATTAAAGAAGTGACCATTGATCGCAATTTCAGGTATGTTCACCCATATACTTCTTCTGCGCTTTTTCACGCGAGATTTTAAACAATTGACTGCCACCAAGCAACAAATGGCAGCTATATCGTCATTTGACTTTTTCATTTTGAATGTAACACAATATATGAATAAATTTAAATAAAATGATATAAGAATATTAAGAACATAATATAAACAAATATTACACACACGGCACGCGGTTGAGTTCACACGAGTAGGTAGGAAGCGTAGAATATCGTATCTTCGTATAAGATAGTAGTCAGTAGGTACAGACAAAATCCTCGAGTAATTTCCAAGCGTGTGGCGGCTGATCTTTTCTTTGAGGCCGGATCTTAAGGATTTGAACTTGAAGATTTCCTCTACATGTGTACCTATCTTTAGTAACAGCCGGTTCTACTAATCAGTGTGAAAACCAATGTTATCGCGTAAAGCGGTTAGGTTATTCCCTAGATAACGTCTTTCTTAGTCCGTGGCACGAATTAAGACACACAGAATACCAAACGGAAAGGTCTTATTAATGTTTTTCTGAGTCTGCCCGGTTCTAACTATTTGGCAAGACAGCTAGCGCTTTTAAGACAAAATCGGTATAAAAATCAACTAAAATCAGTTTAAAGTTTAGACTGGAGGAGTAGGGTATGTAATACATTACACATCTATTCTATCACGGACTTACTTTTCTAATATTGACATAGTTTGTATAAAGTACACTAGATGGTGTTAGTGGCCTTGCCAAAAAGTGAGACTTTTCATATTCAAATGAATATTAAATAATATATATTAATAATTTATCGTAGGTACTAGGTGGTACTGTACTATTGTGATAGGCACCTATTAATAATTTTATCTAATATTTGAATAATGGGAATTATTGTTTCTCGTTACCACATAACCAGTGATCCATGAAAGTGATATAAATGTTGGGCATGTGCATTTTGTCCCAACTCTCCTTGGTTATGTTTGCTTCAAATATTTTATCAGATGTGTAGCTCTATCCAAAATACGGTTTTAGAAGTTCGTGAATTGTGATCCTTAGTATATGATCTAAGGGTATTATCAATCAATTATATTGATAATTTATGTTGATAAACAATATTGTTATGATTGAAAAAAAAATAATTCAAATTTTCAAAAAATTGTAGAATTTAAAAGGCCATACTTTAATAAAAGTTTCAACCCTCAAAAATTGTCTAAAAATTAATTTTGCAAAAGGCTAAAAAGATTAATTTATGAACTGCGCACAGGCATATTATTAATTTAAAAATATATTGAATAGAACAAAAGTTATTTTAAGTGGCAGATTATCGTGGGATACTGTATTTTTAATTTTTATTATATTAATATCAAAAACTCACAGCCTAGTTTAAGTACATATTATTATTTCATCATTTAGTTTCAGTGTTCAGTTGTTAGCTTTACTAGCTTTAGCACCTTTTTTTTTTGTATCCAACAGAAATTGAATATTTGACCATCTGTGTGAAACTATATAAGTAGTAAGCCTTAAGTAAGGTACCTAGGTACTTATAAAGTTATAAAACCTAAGTTATAATTAACTTATAAGTTTTATTAAATAGGTACTTATTGATATTTGGTAATATTTATTTTATAAGATTAAAACTAGGCGGTTCTATCAGTGTTACCAATGTTAGTTTTTGTTTTGCGGTGTTATCAATATTATTTCATATGATATTTATCATGAATCATCGATGTGTTTGTTTGTATGGATTTTGGCGGTTAATCGTTAACATTATAATAACCAATAGGAAATAAGTATCTGCGTTATTTTGTAGTAATCTATATTTCATTATTAGGGTAAAGGATATTTAGTATTCACAATTCGTACAAATTATCCTGTCTATGATGATGTATTGATGATATATTGATGTATTGATGTTTCACTAAAAGTATGTATATATTTATTTTTCTTACTATTATATTTATGTTTTTAAGAAAATTGTTTTTGAAAAGTATTTAATATATTTATGCAGTGGTATCCAACTTGTAGTATACGAAAATAATTTTTGATAAATAGAGAAACATGTTATTAGGCCAGGTGGTACGTGAACAATTTCAAAACATTTAAGCATGTAAGTGGTATGTGGATAAAAAGGTTGGGAACCTGTGTAATTAGTGTAATTCCAAATTTTACATTATAAAATGAGTAAACAGACAATTGGTCCTGTAAAAAACGGCGTACCCCAAAAATCAGCTCTGTTAAACATTTTTACATGGACAATCATACAAAGTGATAACTTTAATAAATTAATTATTAATATAAATATAAACATTTTAAAATTATTTTATATAGCTATTATTATCTTGCCTAAATCAGGACGAATTGAAGCCCTAATTTATAACTAATCTTATCTGTAACTTAGTAACTTATCTTATTCAGAAATGTGATATCAATATAAAATTAAAAAGATTTTCCATTAAAGGAAAAAAAAATAATTAGCAAGAGATCAATAGGGTTGATTGGTGAACCTATTGTCAGGATCCCTGCTTTAGCCATTCATTTGTATTTTATTCATTGATAGTATAATTTTGTAATTTGATATTCCATATTGTTATAATATTATTCATTGACATTAATTTATTTACTGGGTGGTATCAATTATTACAAACATATACCTAGATAGCATAGAATGTCCATGGAAGGTGAAAATTAAATTTGAAAAAAGCTAAAATTTATCTCATAAAGTATTTCTCATAAGCCTATGAAACAATAATCAAATGTTGGTTCAGTCGTAAAGTATACATGGTTAATTTTTCAATTGATTTCGACAACCGTGGCCAAAGTAACAGAGATAAGTGTGTGAAAAATAGATAGTGACTCCACCCTATTGTTAGTGTAAAAAGGTATGATGTAGGATGATTATCCACATACAGTGTTTTTTTTTGCAAGGACCAACTGTCCAAAATGTGACAATAAGTTCTGTAAAAACTACAGCATATACATTGAACATATTTATATTCTATTTAAAAATCTCGTCGAGGTTATTTTTTTTTAATTTTGAACAACTCAAAATTATTAAATTTTGACATTTAATTTATTTAGAATTGAAACCTCTAAAAAATAATAATAATAATAACAATAAAAAAAATTAATAAAATACTTGTTCGCACAACAAAATAGTTACATAATATGGATAATGATACAAAATTAAAGAAATAATAATTTATTTTGGAATGTGTATTGGATGAGAGAAGTAGATTTTTATAAAAATAGCCATGCGATTTAAATATAAATGTATACATTTTATCAAAATCAAAATTTATTAAAATAATTGTTTTCTTAATGACATTTTATATAACTATAGTGTTATGATTTTACAAAACATATTCAGTGTATCATACCTATTTAAGGTTCTTCTGTGACTTTTTTATACAAATGAATAATTCATGACAAGTTGCTAAAGTTTGTAGTAATATGTAGTCCTATTGTTTTATGTGGGCTTAACATTTTTAGATACTAATTAGTTTATTATTAGTTTGATTTTATTTAAACTCTTGACTCTATATTGTTGGAACCTAACCATGGAAAATTTATGAATGTGTTATAAATATTGTAAATAAAATAATTATACAAAGAGAGCAAATCTTAGACTAGATATATGATGTGATTATCCTATTTATTTATTTATAAATAAAAAAAAAAGGCATGTTATGTGTCTTTTTTAAAATTCAAGCAGGTTATGATATAGGTAGGTATTTTACAATTAGTTTGAAGTTAAAAGTCTGCCCAAAAAATTACTAAGGTATATTGATACTGATAAAAGGCTATTAAAAATTGTATAAAATTATAACCACTACAATACAAAAGAGCATTTCATAAAATGCATTATTAAATTATTAAAATAAGATAAAAGATGTCATGACAGGAAAGTGGAGACATAGAAAAAAAAGAAAATTAGAAGAAATTTTTTACGAAAAAAAACGCAGTAGACTGTTGTTAAAAAAGAAACTATGTTGGACAGGACATCTTCATTTAATGAAGAACAGGAAATCATTTTTTTTTTTCAATTTTTTAGATTTTTAGTAGTAAAGAGTATATATAGAATCAATATTTAATTCAAACCAATAACTGTTAAATATAATTTATATAAATTATAAATTCTTATATTTGAATAATCCTATATCCAACACTAGTTTATTTCTAATTTATATTTTTGTATAATTTACTAATCTTTCACCTCGAGTAGATTCTGAGCCTAGTTGAGTTTTTTAGTGGTTGAAGTTAAAATCAATGCCATTATTCTTTAGGTTTTTGGTATGTCTGGGTGGCGGGATTTAATCTTCTAAAAGTCTAGACCTAGATAATCATTTGCACTGTCAGGGAGGCTGACTATACTTAGGATTTAAACAAGTATATATTTTTACCATCTCATTCCACTCTGCCACTTTATTTCTTAACACGTTCGCTGCGTATAACGCCAATTGGTGTCAATAGCGTCACTGCTATGTGCGATTGGCGTCATCTGATAAATCCATTTTAATGTAATTATATTTCGGTCAGGTTAGAACCTGTGCTTTAATTTTATGTAAGCTTTGTCAACAAACATTGTTAAAAATAATTTTAAAAACCATTTCTAAAAATAACCATTCAATTTCTATTTACGTACAATTTAATACTATTTCTTAATTACCTACTTTTATCGTGTACGCATCACAGTAGGTGCTACTAAAATATAATACACAGCGAACGTGTTAAACTTAAATTAATTTAAAAGTATTTTAATTTGTTTTAATAGTTATACTTTTTTTCTAGATTAACAATGCACATCAAATCTGTAATTATTGATGGATTTAAGTCCTATGGAAAACGTGTTGAGTTGAAAGATTTTGATCCAGAATTTAATGCTATAACTGGCTTGAATGGTACTGGAAAGTCAAATATATTAGATGCAATATGTTTTACTCTAGGCATATCAGCTATGAATACTATACGAGCTTCAAGTATGCAAGATGTCATATATAAAAATGGACAAGCTGGTGTTCATACAGCTACTGTTACTATAAAATTTGATAACAAAGACAAAGCAAGATCTGCTCCTCATTACAAAGGCAATGATGAAATTGTTATTTCACGTGAGGTGGGAATGAATTCTAAAAATATTTATAAAATAAATGGTATTACTGTACAAGCTAAAAGAATTATGGACTTTTTTAATTCACTTCAAATGAATGTAAATAATCCTCATTTTATTATTATGCAAGGTAGAATCACAAAAGTTTTAAATATGAAACCTATAGAAATTTTATCTATGATTGAAGAAGCAGCTGGTACCCACATGTATGAATCAAAAAAAAAGAATCTAGAATTAACAGTTATTAGGAAAGAAAATAAATTACGAGAAATGCGAACTATTGCTGAAGAAGAGATTATGCCAACTATAAAGACTATTGAAAATGAAAAACAAATGTTGGAGGAATTAAATATGGTTCAAGGTCAATTAAAAACACAGCAAGAAAAACTTGATAATTGGAATTATGTGACATTAACACGTGATGTAGAAAATATTACTAAAAAACTAAATGATTTAAACCAAACGATTGACACTAAAAATGCTCATAAACTATCTCTTGAAAATCAGATTGAAGAAATTAATGAAACATTAAAAGTGAAAGATTCAGAAATAGAAAAAGAAGTAAAAAAAAAAATAAATAAACTTGAAACTGAAATCGAACAAATGGAAAATAACAAAAATAAAATACAACTTGAAATAGCGGGATGTAAAAAAAATATAACCATTGAGTTAAAAAAAATGAAAGATATAGAAAAACAAATTATTAAAAGTAAAAAATGTTGTGATATTAAAAATAAAGAAATGGAAGATTTTAATGAGTTGCACGCAGGCTTAGATGAAGAAAATAAAAAATACACAAACGATTTAGATGAAATAGATAAAAAAATAGTGGCATTAAATTCGGGAAATATATTTACGGAAGAGAATGATGGTTCAGTACAAGAAAATATTAATAAATTTAAATTAGAATTACAAAATCAAAGTACAGAAAATCAACAATGTACACTTAAAGTTGATGGTTTAAAAAAAACTTTAAATGAACAGTTAATTGGTATGAAAGAAGCTCAAAAAGCATATGATATGCAAATGGTTCAATTGACAGCCAAAGAAAAAGATTATGATAAAATCAAAAATGAATATCTGAAAGCTAATGAAGAGTTAAGCCAACGAAATAATTTGACATCAAGTTGTGATAGTTTACGCAGAGAAATATGCAATTTGGAATCAGCTTTAAAATCATTTGAATCCAGGAATCCTAATTTATTTTTCAATTTTAATGACCCTCGTCCTAATTTTAATCGTAATAATGTACATGGACTTATTTGCCGTTTATTTAAACCAATTGATTTTCGATTTGAACTTGCATTAACACTTATAGCTGGTGGTAAATTGTATTATGTTGTTGTTGAAGATGATACTATTGGTAAAGATATCTTGGAGACTAACAAATTTCGAAATCGTATGAATTTTATACCATTAAGTAAAATCAAATCTGATAGTATGCCTCCAAATGTTGTACGTACAGCTCAACAAATTGGCGGAGTTGATCAAGTTTTTCCTGCAATGTCATTGATTAAATATGACAAAAAACACTTAAAAGCAATACAATGGATATTTGGGCAATCATTTATATGTACTACCAAAGAAATTGCCGAAAAAGTGTGTTTTGACAACAGAGTTAATAGAAATTGTTATACACTAGAAGGTGATCACTTCAATCCATCTGGTAGTCTTACTGGTGGATCAAATAATCAAAGGCTTTTTTTGAAAGCATTAGCTGAACAAGATGAAATTAAGTTACAACTTGAAGCAAAAAAATCTGAAATTGCAAAGTTAAATAATAGACTAACCACAATGGATCATTTGTCGGACAAAATTGCGGAATTAAGTGATCAACAGAATATAGTTCAAGCAGAGTTGGACAAAATTAAATCAGATGTACATTTGGGCAAACCTCATCAACAAGTTACTGAAGTTAATAGTATCAAACAACAGATAGTTGAACTGGAAAATAAGTTAGCTGAAGGTAAAGCAAATGAAAAACAATTAAAGGCTAAAATTAAAGATTTAGAAACACAAATGAAGAATGCTAAAAATATTTTAAAACAACAATTAAATGATGCAGAAAAAACTAGAAATAACATTTTAGCAATGATAAGGAACAGTAAAGATGAGTATGATAAAAGAAAAACTAACTATGCTAAGTTAGAACTTGATATTACAGAACTAAAAAATCAAATTAAAGATGAAGAAAATCAATTAACTGAGTTGAATGTTGAAAAATGCAAAATTGATGAACAACTAATAGAATATATGTCTCGACTAGAAGCAATCAGTGTTAGTTGTGAAAAAATAAAAACAGAATTAAATTGTCATTATGAAATATATAATGCAGGTAATAAAGAAATGGATAATTTGAAAATCAAGAGGAAGAGAATGCAGGAAGAAGCTCACATGATTGATGTTCGACATATAGATTTAGTTGCAAAACAAAAAAATTTGGAACAAGCTTTAGAAAAGGTAGAAGAAGATTTGGGACATCTTAAAAAACGATTCTCTGCTATTCAAAAAGAAATGGCGCTCAAAATGGATTTTAATAATTTTGATTCTGGTAAGATAAATTTAGTAAATTCAAAACTATTAAACTTGTATTACTTAACAATTAAATATTAAAATATACCTATCTAAAACATAAAATACAAATTTTAGATTTATAGATTATTTTATCTTTAATTTTCTTATACTACAGTAGGATTTATAATGTTTTTTTTTTCTTATTTGAGCAAAAGAAATTTAAAACTAAATATGCACAACAATTAAAATTGACAATAGTGAATAAAACAATAATAAGAAGACATGGTGTAGGACACCCAGTGAAGTTACCTACTTCGTATTTTTGTAGGGATATTTTATTTAAAGATTTAACCATTTTATTGTTAACCTCCTTGATAAATTCTCTGGGATATAAGCTAAAATAAGGTGATTTATATTTAGGTAGATGTGGGAGCTAAATTTGCTTTAGAGACTTTAGTAATCTGTTTTAGTGATCTGGGTAACATAATTGATTTGAAGATTGGATTGAAGGGCTTTGTTAGTAATACACCAGAAAGATCTTAATGTGCGTAGGCAAATTGATTGGAAATAATGGATTTTATGTATGCTATATAAACCTATGTATGCTATATAAAACCTACTTTAAAAATATAAATCTAATATTTGCTCTTAAAATATGAATAAAATTATAATATTGATTCTTAGTAATCTTTATAAAAAAATCCTTTATCATTTTTTTTTCTAAAATTGTTTGATATATAATAGCTGTATAATATGTATGCAATTGTTAACTTAAGTCTTTAGTTTAAACAATTACCTACCAATAGATACCATTATATTATGGTTTATTGCTGATTATTATTAACCCATATTTTTGGACTTGACTTGTGGGATATCTTAAGTTTTTAATACATAAGGACTATTTGAGGGTTGGTAATACATCATATTTATTGACTTAAAATAAACTAATTATTTTTAGTTATATTTAGTACAAGACATATAAATAAATTTCAAATCTCTATTTTCAAATATTTCATACATATTTTTTTTTCATATATGTAAAGACAGACATAACAATATAAACGAATGTGCAAAATTATAAGTAACAAAAAACTGACATACTTTGCACGTGGGTGGGCCACTGTTGTAGATGAGAAGTTAGGAAGGTAGAGGGAAAATTTAATGTTCATCTGTAAACAAAGATTAATCTTTACTAACGAAAAACCATTCTGAACGGAGTTAGGTATAAGTAAAACTGGTGTAAAGAGTGCATACCCCCTTATTGACAGATGGGGAACTAGAGTGGGTGTCAGGACTTTAAGTATATTCATGAGTAAGGAATAAACTACGTGTGCAGAGAAAAAAAAAATAAAAATTTTTATATACAGTATGATACTTGCCGCAAAAAATAAGTATTAGAAGTAAATTACTTTTTGCTATTTTGACTGGACTAATTAGTGTTTTTGTAGAATGTGATTATTTTTATTTGCGACTATCATAATACGATGCTTTATGTATTTATCCATGTTTATCTATCCATATGCACTTTATCTCTCAAACAGTTTTCATTAAACAATTAGTTAGGTTCTAACATAAATTGATATTTTCAGTTTAATAATGAAAATGGGGAGCTTACACTACTTTGATACTTTTGTTTGTATCAGTTTATTTAATTATTAATTTTATATAAATAATCAAATACTGGTTCATTCATATTTAACAATTATAAACTATAAAATAACTATGACTATAATATGAAATATTATATGCATTCTTTAATATTCGTATAGTAATTTAGCAATTTAGTTTTGTTGTATTTTTAATTATTATATATTATATTAATCTGGATCCTAGGGTTATAGTTCAATATGACGCTGTTTTGCTGTTTAATTGTTTATACACTAAACTGAAACAAACAAATATTGGTGTACATTTTATAATGAAGCTCGTATCTTTTTTAAAATAAATAAATAAATCAAATAATAAACATTTAAAAATGAATTTAAATTGTAATTGGTTCATTAATGAAATATGTTTTTGATATAATTTAATTCTTTAATAATTATTTGTTTATAGAGGAATCCACAATAGCAGTTTCAAATCTTAGAGCTAGATATAAGGAATTATCAAAGGTTGTAGATCCAGGTAAATTGAATAACTTTCACAAATATATTCAAGAGTATCAGATTCTACAAAAAAAAATGGATACAATTGTTAGAGATAAGAATAAAATAGTTGAAATAATTGAAGAGTTAGAAGTGAAAAAACATCAACATTTGAAGCGAGCTTCAGATCGCGTGAATATAGAATTTGGGAAAATATTCAATAGTGTATTACCTGGTGCCCAAGCAAGTTTAAGACAATTAAATAAGAATGATATTACTGCAGGATTAGAAATTCGTGTTGCCTTTAATGGATTATGGAAGGATAGTTTAGATGAACTTAGTGGAGGCCAACGTTCTTTGGTTGCATTGTCTTTAGTTTTGGCAATGTTGCTATTTAATCCAGTACCACTTTATATTTTGGATGAAGTAGATGCTGCTTTAGATCTTTCTCATACACAGAACATAGGGAAAATGTTAAAACAACATTTTAAACAATCACAATTTATTGTGGTATCACTCAAGGATGGTATGTTTAGTAATGCCAATGTGTTGTTTAGAACAAAGTTTGTGGATGGATCTTCAGCAGTTACTAGAACTACTTGTAATAATAATTAAATGTCTGTAAATTATTTTTAATCATCATTGTATTTGTATTGATATATTTAAATGTTATGTATTATATATTTTTTTTTTCATTCTACTTTACATTTGCTTCTTAGCTTTTAAGATTATTAAAAAAAATATTTGAATTAAATTTTTCCATTTTCATAGGTATTTACCGCTTTTGAGAGACATGAAATTTTTAAAAGTAACTAAATTACTAATATGTTTATGTCTGTATTTAGTGTTATTAATTACTATATATAAAAAAAAAAAAAAAATGTAACTTATTGTTAGTTTGTTTATATTACACTAAGATAAATGAAAGTGAAGTGTTATACATATATGTTTATCTTATTTATTTTTATAATACTTACAAATTTTACTCTATTTACTCCGTATATCATCATATATAATTTTTATTTCATATCAACGACAGACAGTTTAATAGAGTATGTATTTAAAGTTAAGTTTAATAATTTACAGTACATCAAATTAATGTAATTTTTTACTGCATAATGTTTTCTTTATTTAACCCTTCCAAAAAAATATTTACAAATTAATAGTCTTAACAGCCTTATTACTAATCAAAAAAGTGTTTTCTGAGACAAACATCAATATAAGATCTAGAGGTAAACTGAACTGTTGAATTGAGAGAAAAATCCCTTGACATTTTTTTTAAAATTAATTATGCCTAAATAATACTTATTAGTGCTTAGTAGATGTGATACTATTTTTTGAGTTATTTGTAGGTATTTGAAATTAGTGAGGTTTTTTTTGTGAGGGCGGCGTCGTTATATATACATATATATGTATGTATTAATAAAAATGTCTTAATTTTTAGTTCTTAGGTTCAAATTTATGATAAAGTTCATTGTTCATTATAAAACACAAACAGTTGTAATTTATTTTGGAATTAAAAATGAATACAATTTAATTTATACAACTTGTAATACGCATAAAACTTGACTAATGATTAATAAACAGTAGGTAAAATACAAAATTGTTGAACATGTTGTGAATATGTGTAATAACTACTAATAATAGGTTTTGTATTTACACACCAAATGAGTATCTAACAATAATATGTAATCTTGTTTTATTCCAAATTCTTTTTATATTGCTTACATTTTCAGATTTTTTGAAGGAAAAGATAATAGGTTCCTAGGCACATCAATAGGTACCTAGATAGTCTAGTCTATTAAATAAATTGCACCCTCTATAAGTAGTTATATATATAAAAGACACTTTTTATTTTAGAAAGATATTGTTTAATATGTATTATTTTTTAATTGCATTTCCTTTGAATTTTGATTTATCGAGGTTTCTCTGTAGTTAAATATATTGTGGATAAAATTGTTTTGTCTTATGCTAATTACTACTGATAAACATAGAGTAATGGGTAATACCCACGTCCCACATACCTATACAAATATTATGTATATTTTAGGTATTCAGCAGGGGTGGTCAACAAGAATATGTACGCGAGCTACATGGTATGAAAAGTAAAAATGTTTAAAAGCCCTTAGCCAGATCAAATCATCAAGGGGGGAGGCAAATTAAATTTTTGGGAGTACATTAGAAAGAAATAATATTAACTATACTCCGGCTCACAAGAGATCAGTACCTTCACTCGCATGCAAAATGACCGGCAGTGACGATTCGGACCTCCATTTCACGCTGTCAGTGGGCCGATGAGTGGGATGCGCGGAATCGGACGAGTTTTGGTCGAATAGCAGTACTGATCTCTTGTGGGCTGGAGTATACATATACAAATCTAACACTTGTAGGGGGGGAAATACCACCACTCCCATTAGAAAAACTGTTCTATAAATAAATATATTTTATTAGGCAATATTAAAAATATATTTAATAGATTCTACAGGAATAGGTATTCAGAAAACGAATAGAAACCATACTATTTCTTTAGTCGACTATATTATTTTCTATACATTAACACGAAATAAAATTTTCTTTGGGGCTAATTTTAAAACTGGTGGTGCGAATCATATCCAATTCTCACCCCTAATATTGCTTCTATGGCTATACAGTGTATAAAAGAATTAATTCCTCCAGTGTAATAAAGAAAACAAATAATAATTTATTGATTTGAAAATATCGTAATACATTTCTGTAGCTAAATTGCCTATCGTATACGCCGTTACTACTAAATCTCGAGTGACGGTGAGGGCGTGAAATGAAATAAAACAAATTCAGATAAAATTGTTTTAGCTCGTAACAATACTCGGAAATTTGAGACAAAAAAAAAATATCTGAATTGTAGTAATTTATTTTGTAGTGTTCAATTGATACAAATTTCAATGATTTCGGTTGAAATCATTCGTTAACAATGATTTACCGTTGAGTAGTGAGTAATATTTACAAATTAAACTACCCTATACACGTATGGGATACATGGATATATCTTACCTTTCCGACTTACCATATACAACAGTGGTACACCTATGGTGCGAAATATTTTATGTGCATTTTGACAGTGTAATCTGAATCGAAATCACGTACTTACTTTTTGAGTAAATGGTTAATCGTTAAAAACAGCAATTTTTTAATAACACGGTTTATCTTATTAGATTGAATGGTTTAGTGTTAAATGCCGAAATTCTTTGTTTTTTTTTCCCAAATAAACGTAATCTTGTTGTTTTAAAAATTGTGTTAGATAATAGATTTTAGTAAAAAAAAAAAAAAATCACGATGAGGAATGGGAGATGAAATTATCATAGATATAAAATATATATATATATATATACTTTAGAAAAATTGAATATAATATAACTGTTGCACTTGATTTTATCCATTCATTAATTGTATCTATTAAATATATTGCTATTGTGCCGTTTCTCAACGGGTTTAAGGAACATCCTTTTTTCGTTTAGTCTCTCCAAAAACCCACTGGCCCTCATTCTATGGTACCGAAGGTAAGTTAGGTGCTTATCAAATTTTAATTAATCGGTCTGAACAGTTTAATAAGTTTAATAAGTTTATTAGTTTCTTCTACAGTTAGACATTATAATTTTTGATTAAGTTAGTGCTGTAAGTTTAAATGTAAAAGAGTTGCACGTACTTCGCATTACTGATAGGTCAACGTAGTAGGTGGGACGTTTGAAAGTAATTGCATATAGATTATAGTGTAGTTTAAATTGAACTTTGTATACATTGAAGCAACTATTAACCAGCGTTTTAAGTAAATTACTAATAGGTAAAAATTCCGCATTTTCGAAGGTATTTCGTAAAAAAATCTGACGTTTCATTTACCGAAAAAGCGATTTCCAGAGAAAAAGAAAATAGTACAATAAAACATTAACAGTTTCGTTACTCTCTGAGAATCCAATGTACGTATTAATTGTAATTGTGATTGTAACGAGAGTAAAACGAAATAATCGAAATTAGCGAATTCAAAAAAATTTCAGGGCAGGTGTATCCGGGACTATATAGATTATTGTAAATAGTTGGTAAAGTGCCCGCGACGTACACGCGTATCCGGAACAAGAAAATGTCCGTATACACGCGTGTATAGTTGCGGCCAAAAGCGACGAATCCGCGAATCGCGTTTTGCGGGAAATTCGTAAAAAAAAAAAAAAAATGTCAAATTTCACGGGGAGGGCGTTGCGACCCCCGCCCCTACTCTGGTTGCGCAATTGGCGTATTTTCGTTATGCCGTCTGACGCGGCCTTTGCACACTACAGTTTTGTAGCCGAAGACCGGCGCGGCCGACCGTGTCACGTACGTAAATATTACGTAACGCTATCGTTTCGGAGCCAATCGATAATATTTGTGTGCCGCGCGTAGCAATACGACACAAATGTTATAATAATATCGTTTACAATATATGTTATCCGCTCACTCGCGGGACTCGTTCTTCGGCCGTTTTATTGACCAGCGCCGGCCTGGCCACGGTCACCGACGCGGCCCTAAAGCCCCGCACCGGTGTTCGCGTCCGGGGCCCCTCCCCCTCCCCCATCATCACGAGCCCGGGCGTTTTTACCGAATTCCCTACGTCAATTTCGACTGTGCCCGCCGTCTTTTTTTGCGTGTGACACTGTGTAGACTCTGGTCGATTATTACAGAGACGCCGCAGCGTGACAATGTAACAAAATATGATAACCGTTTATTACACCCGTCAATAACTGCGTGAGCGCGTGCGCATATTTTACACCCATAATGCCGAACGACCGCGTGCAGACCGGTCGTTTTATTTAGAATACTAATATTGTCGCCGGACGCAATACCGTACCGATTTCCACGGCCTATGTATTTTTTTTTTATCTACGGGGTGCCTTGAAAAAAACGCTCCAGAGGCCTCCGGTGTGCCGGGCCGACATCAGACTGGTATTCCCCGGGGAGTCGGATTTATTGCGAGCAGGACGGTTGTAACCCCTTTGTAACATGACATAATACTTTGACACGCCGCCTCTATGACAGATTCTATGTCCGGTACGCCGCGGTCTCGTACTGTTTTACTCCGCGAATTCGGACCGCGTCGAAAACGGCGGCGGCATAGGTCGGCCTAACGTCGGCGGTGTAACGCGTGTAAAACGGTGGCGGGGGGGGGGAGCGGCGGGGCAGCGAGCGTAAAAAGTACGGGCGGGGTGCGGGCGCAGTGCGGGAAACACGGTGCGCGCGCTCGCGGTCGTCGTACTCGGCGGCGGTCGGCCGCGGCGGCGGCAGCACCGTCGTCCGCGAGTACGTTGCGCATGCGGGCGGGCCGGTGGTTGTGTACGGCGGACCAGCGGGCTATCGTTAGGGAGAAAAAAAAAAACCCCAGAAAAGGGAAAAAGCCAGAGAGAAACGGATAGAGCGAACGACCGTAAAGAAATAAGAAGATAAACGTTCGCGAAGTGGGTCGACCGCGCGACAGTCGTCGTCGGGGTGGCCGTTGCGCGCGCCGTGTTCATTCCGCGGTACCGAGAGCGGTTCGCACAGTAATATTGTTGTTGTTATTATTATAGGACACAGTACATCCAGTTTCGCACGAATCGCCGCGGAACGTTCAGCCGCACGCTATAGTATTACAGATCGTGTGCCGCGTCCGGTCACAGAGTGTCAGCCGACGTCGCCGAGATGCAACCGCCTCCCAGAAAGGTAACGATTTTAACATTGCCCCCGATACAATAATAATAACCGACGCGCGCGGGCCCGTTTGACTTTTGATCCGGACGAGCAGTGTCACATCCCCGTCCTGTAATTCCCGCGGTAATGTTTACCGTTCCTTTTTTTTTTTTTTTTTTTTTTTCCACTATCTACAAGCGAACAAACGCGCCCGTACACGCGATAGTACAATGACGTTCAGGTTCCGTCGTAAAATAGGCGTCGGTATTTCATAAGAAAATCCTTTTCTATTCGCGGTCTCCCCTCGCGGAGCGACCGACAGACAAGTAATAATAACGCAAGCATAACAATGTATTTCCGTTCCCTTTCCCGTTTTTTTCCTCCCCGGTGATTTTACGTATTATTCCGACGGCGGTTTTTTAAAATAATAATAATAGTAAAACAAAAAAAAAATAATAATAATAATTATATCGTTTTACTATTACCCCACTCTAATCGATCGTCGAAACGTTCCGTCGAGTTTTCCGCGTCGAACGTCAACGATTTCGCATTCGTGCCGTGCGTTTTTCTGTCGTTACGACGCCGTGTTATTTTAAACGATTCGTCACTTGCCTGTTCGTCAGCCCACAATGCACAATCGTTTGCGATCCGTCGGCCGCAGTTCCCGGGTATCGACGACCGGTGCCGCGATTGCGGTGCGACCGGGTCGTTATACCTATGCATCTCGCATTATGCGGTGATATCGTTATCGTAGCCCGCGATTGTTATATTGTTTTTTCACAACGCTGTACGTTATCGCGGCACAGCGGTGACAGACACCTAATATGTGGCACGTTGACTAGGTACGTGCAGTGCGGTGCCCGGGAGTTTTTCAATGTGAGGGAATTTCGCAAATAATAATCGCGAATATCACGCAGGAATCTCTTTCTCTGTATCCAACTCGATCGCGAAACAGCCGAAAAGCCGGATCTAAAAAAAACCAATTTTAATCAAACTTTTCCTAGTGACTTGGCTGAAACGTATACATTTCGAGATTAAATTACTAAATAAATATTCATGTGTAAAAGTTGTTGGTTTTCGGGAGGAGACGGGATACACAGACTAACCTCCCCTCTGCGTACCCCGCCCGACCATATATCACAATGGAAAGTGAAACGATAAAGTTCTTGTAAAAAAAAAAAAAAAAGAAAAAATCATGTATGAATTATGTTTTGAAATTATTTTAATGTAATCATTTTGGAGAAACCAATATTTCATTGCAGATAACACTTGACGTGAAAAAGGTTTTTTCACCCTCGGTACATGACACACTATTGTTCTCGGTTATGACGCCAATATTTCAACAACACTATACCCGGGCAATTTTTTCATTACGTTTCTTTTTATCACTCCTCCCCTAAAATAAAGTTCCAAGAACATAGAAAGTCAAAAGTCCAGTCATAAAAGTCACAATGTTCACTTTCTATAATATTTACCTTTTATTTTAGTGGAACTAGACATTCAGGTATTCAATACCTATGAAAAAGTTTTGCCCGATGTAGGGCATCCATTGGAGTTATCAACTATATATGTTTATTAGTCACAGTAAACCTCCTAAAAAATGGTCTGGCACTATATCTATAAAACGAACTTACAACCATTCCGTGTTAAATGTCTTACGTCCCGTCGAGATTCGAAAACAACAAAAAATTATTAGAATTAGAATTGGAATTAGGTATCTGAAGTTTGGTTTAAATATTTAGTTGCCATTTCATGTAAATCATAAAATATGGTTAGGATAGGTTATAATTATAGACCGGATTTATATGGTTTAACGTATCGTTACTAAGCTTATGTAGTCTTATGAGAGTAAGAAATGTTGACGATTCGTTCAATTCTGAGCACGTAGGAAAACCTTTTTTGCATATTTGAGAATATTTCATGGGTTAAGAAATATTTAGATTATTTTGCATATTTCGGTATATTTTGTAAAATGTGAGAAAAAAATATTAATTTTAACAATACGGTACCTGGAAAAATATATTTTGAACATTTAAAATTTGTTTTTTCTGTATCATTTTGATAAAAAAGTTTAGTGTGTTTAGTACCTACCTATTATAAGTTACCGTTTAATAAACATGTTGGCTAAACCGCAATGTTGGAAGATGTTTTTATACTGATAATAACATAAACGTATTTGTTTATCATTAATCATTATCAACTATTCAAATGTTCAAATATTTTGTTTTTCACTTTTTTAATCACGTGTAACAAGATTTTTAAGTTTTTAAAAATTAAATTACTAATATTGTCATATATTTATATTATATTCTTATGTTGTAAAAAAAAAAAAGTTCATCGATTATTTTTGCATATTTTTCAAACTTCTAAGAGAATATAATGAGAATATTTTAAGATTTTTTTAAAGAATATTAGCATCATATTTTAGGTTTTTTAAGAGAATATAAATCCGTTTTTTAGTTATAATTATATCAATTATATATATCGTAGTTATTTTTTGATTTTTGTGTACATGACGAAAGGTTAGGTTAAGAATAAATCCAAATTTTATATGATAGTATGTGTCACAAATTTTTTTTCTCTTTTTAAATGATCTATGAAAAACATATATTATAAGTTAATGATTCTTGTGTTATTAATTTTTAATTAGTTTGAACGGGAGAATTTGAGGGATAGTATTTAAAATTTAAATAAGAAATTATATTTTCATAATATAATCATGTCGGTATTTTCGGTATAATTTTTAATGCATTTTGATGAGTCATTTTCCAATGGTGTATTAAATAGCAGTCAACGATTTAATATGAAATACCAACTTAGACAAAGGCAAACAAAAATCACACGAAAAAGGATTATTTAATAATTTTAAATATTCACCGTGAGATTTTGGACGGTCAAATATTAGACACAGTTGTTTTTCGATATAAAAATTATACTTAAAAACTCGTGCCGAGGACGGCCAATCTGCTATTTTTAATTTTTAGCTATACCGTGTATAGAACGATAATATTATAAAATTGGTATTACTTACGGACCCAAAGAGATTTTAGAGATGATCCGATTTTCATCTTCTCTAAAAATTTTCTTTATACATCCGATCAACTTAAATTTATCTTAATATCAAAAAAAAAAAAAATGATTGGCACGCGCATATAAAACAAATATGTGCTTATGTAAAAAAGCGGCATTTTTAAGAATTTATTATGACTGCGAGGGTGATTAAGATAAATATAAAGATGTGGGGAAGATTTCCCCTCACAATCTCCAACTGGTATATCTTCAATACAAATACACAATATAATAGGAATTAAACAATAAATTAATTCGAGATTCATAATGTTTTTTTTTTTTTTTTTTATTGATCTCTATAAAAATACAAAACTCGGCACCTATGGCTATTAGTTAAAGTTATGATATGTACGATAATTGCAATTATACTTATATACATGGTACCACATTAAGAGTAAATTGGTAAGATAATATATATTTGTTAACTAATTCTATCTATTTTTAATCGTAAAAATGTTCAAGTAATATTTATATTTTAATGACAAATTTATAAAATAAATTCACGTCATAAGTGCTCATTCTAATGTAACTGTATAGTTTACGTCTATACTCGTCGCACATTACAATGTGCATATTGGGAGTGTTCTGTGTTCCCGAAGTACATTGTAATGTACAATCAAAGATCTCTGTACCAAATTATCAGAAATGGATGAAAATCGACGCATTTCTTATTCAAATAGTATTATTAAAAAAAAAGCAAAAAAAAAAAAGGTTTTACTCGAAAAAAATTAATTCGGGACTGAAAGGGTTAACGTTAAAACATTTAACCGGTAAACTATAACTATGGAATCGTACGTTTAAAAATATTAAAATATTACCATTATATTAAAACGGTTAATGGTAAATTAAAATCATTAAAGTTTACTCAATACCACTTAAATATCCACTCAATATACTTTACTAAACTAAGGTAAACTTATTGTATTGATTATAATCTTGAAGAACAGGTACATTTGGTAAATTAGGTTATGTTGAATTAAGACATTTATGTATCCCTCCTAATGCCTACATCATTACCTTATAATGTCAATAATACGTATATATAATAGATAATTAATGGTACGTACGTATTACTCATATATTTATAACAGAATAATTGTTCCTTCTTAAAAAATTTATGTTTGGATTAATAGTTATGCAGATAATCGTACTATGCAGAGTGGGGATGGGGTGACCACCACCCTTTTGCGTCATATGATGTTTCAAACGTATATCACAAAATATTTAATATCCTCAGTAGTATTATCATATACGGTGTTTCTATATAGCTTAAATGGATCTTCTAAAGGTCACACTGTAAATATTTAAAGAGTCGAGTATAGTCAAATTTTAACGACATTTTTGAAAAAATGATAGTTTATCAATTAAAAAATATTCAAATTCATTGCTATATATCATACTACGATATTAATTTAAAATATTGTTTCAGATCCTACAAGTCCCGGGTAAGCATTAAAAATATCTATTGAGTAATCATGGATTTTGTTCAAAAACACGTGTATATAAAATAGAAAATCTAGGTATCTTTTATTGTTATCTTAGATAGCCAAAAAAATGTTCTAACACAGGTATATGATTTATTGGTTTTAAATTTACTTGAATAAGACGATCGATGTTAAAAAATAAAAATAGTCATATTTTTCACAACTAAATACAGCAATAACTTTTTTTTAAAAATTATTACCTATTTAAATAAACAATGTCATTCCGTGAATAAATTTATGTTTTTTAATATTCTTCAATTTTTATCATATTGCATCCCCACTTTAAAAGTGACATACATATCTTATAAAACATAAATTTCGAGTATAATTAAATAATATAATTATTTTATTATGTGGAATCGTCCTAAGTATACTTTAGTTTCCAATTGCTAATAGTGCGAATATCATTGTTGATAATATAACAATTTAATAGAATAATATAATGAATTCAAAATAATATGATAATGTAAAATTTCATTTTTTAAAATGTGTAATTTTTTAAGTAGAGGTGCGATAGATGCTGATTTACGCTAAATAATACTAATTTCGTGATAAAACTATTTTTCATTACTGAGTTTTTATGTTAAAAACTACTCACGGCGCAAACATTCTCTTAAGACAATATTATTACTACTTATTTAAGTTGTGGGACAAGTTAATATGTCACCTCTGTGTTTGTTTACTGGTCAAAATTACGATTAAGGAATATGACTTAAAATGTTTGACGCCTTAGATTAATAGTATTCCCTTATGTGATGGCAACCAGCATGTAGGCTTGTTTGATAAGGCTGTAGGGTCTACAACATCCCAATACATAATTATTAAACGATTGCACATAATACATTTTCAAAGAAAAAAAAATAATATCAATGTGTTTGATAAATGAAATAGTGATTTATCTTTATACTTGATTGATTTAATAGTCAATTTAATTACATTTTTATAATAAAAAAAAAAAAAATAAACCATAACTGTGTAGGTTATTATTGTTTTATACAAATAAAACGAATCTATGTTTGCCTTTCACTGTTATTATAGTGGTTTTGATTTGTTTGTATTACATTCATTTGTTTGTTAAATGAGCTATCAATGATATTTAGTGTTTTAAAATGACCTCATAAAGATAAATAAAATCTTTACAAAGATTAATAAAGTGGGGAGTAATAATATAATATTAGATTAAAAATTTTGAGAACTGGCAAATGGGTTTTAGTCCTTTTTTAAACATTTCAACTTTCGAACATTTAAAAGTAAAACAATATTAAAATTATTATTTTATATTTTTATTGATTTTTATGTACGTTTATAAGGTGTGTTATATAATTTAAAATGTTGGAGTACTTATAATTGAAATGGGTTCACATTGGTTATCAAGAAAAGTAATTTGTATATTATTCTGCATAAATATTTCGTTACTGTGTATAATTTTTATGTTACACTATAATATGTATACAAATTTTATTTTAGGGGAATTACGTCAAGTTTTTAAAAAATCTCCACTCTGAACAAATAGCAAAATTACTGCTTAAAAACCAAAATGAATGTGATTTGTTGGAAGATATAAGGTAAGCACTTAACTTGTTTTAATTAAAATATTTATGTTATGTTTATTACCTTGGTTGCTTTTAATTGTCGGAAATTTTTATAGGAGTTTTTTGATTAAAAAATCTGCAATAGAGAAATCGTATTCCGATGTAAGTATAAACCGTAGTTAATTTTTCGAAAGAAAAAATGCATTGCTATACAGCTTATAATAAACTCCTACTAAGGTAAATAATATTATTATAATTTTAATGTAGGCATTACTCAAAATATCCGTTGCATTCTTGAATAAGAAAATTGCAAACATACCAGACATTAAGACTGAAGGAAGTGAAGAAAAATGGTAAGCATACATATTTTATAGTAACCTATATATTAGACAAATTATTATGAAAACTACAAGGAAAATCAAAAGAAACCTCCTAAAGCTACCAACTTGACAAAATTGCATTTGGAAAAGATACTAAACTCGAAATTTGGAGCTAGATTTATTTCAAATTTATCAATATTTTTCTTCATTATATTCAGGCCTTTCCCAATTATTGAGAAAACCGTCAGGAAAATAGAATATGACCTTAGAATAACAAATAGATAAAATTTACTTTCACAAAATATGTTACTCTTAAAAATCGGATTCCTGGGAGAAAAGTTGTTCATAAACACATAAGAGTACACATTATCACTAAAAAAATAATAATAATACTTAATATGAATTATTTTATATTGGGAATTATTCATAAGTATACCGTTATAAAATAAAATAAATTTCTATTTACTATTTTTTTATAAAAATCATTTTAAATGCAATGCATATACATAATACATAACCTAATGCTTATAAAATAAGTATTTTTAATAACATTTTTCTGTATTCCATATTTTATTTATTTTTATGGTATATTATTTTCTGTGAAAAAAATTCTATTAATACCTACTAGAAAAAATAGACTTATATTGCTGTTAGTTGTGTTACGGTTTTAGAAGTTTAAAAAAGGATGTATTTAGAGCAATTCATATTTTCATATTTATATCTGAATGCAACGATAAACCATTTGTAACGAAAAAGGAATCTGAGCAGAATGTCATTAGTCGTATTTTAAACTCTGAGTGGAGCGAAGAATGTATTGGTTTTACTATATGTTAATTTATTTTTCTCTTTCTATACTGTGCACAAAAATTCTATCAGCAATTTTACTCCGATTTTCAAGTATTGCAATTTTTCTGACAGGAAATTTGACTGGGGTGGTATATTTAGAAAATTATTTTTTGATTTTCCGAGCTTTTTTCCCAATAAATGGGAAAAACCGCAAAAAAACATAGGCGAAACGGGAAAATGTACGAAATGTATTATTTGAAAATCGTGAATATTACAGCCTTTTAGATTCTCAGTGGAGCGAAGAAGATTATGGTTTTCCAAAGATGTATATTTGTTTTTTTTTTATCTGTGGACAACTTTTCATTCAGAAATCTTGCCCCGATTTACAATGATAGGACTTTTTCGAAAAGAGAATTGGTCGGGGAAGGTACAATATTAAAAAAATATCATTAAAGAAAATATATTTTATATTGTTATGCCTATGTAATTATTTTACCATAATATGACATACATATTGTTGGCAAAGCATCACTATCAATTGAACTCCGCTCAGAATCGTTTTTAATAAGCTTAATTTTTCTCCTATCATTAAAAAAACTACTTGGAAAATCAAAAAATAACCTCTAAAATTAAATTGAATATAATGTAATAATAATAATATAATATCATAATAAAATCAATTTATTTCTCACTGTGTTCATTATTTAATATAACCTCGTGAACACATAACCTAGACACAATTTACTACAAAAAAAGTTCTTTTGTGATTTGATTGAATTGATTTTATGATTGTTTGGTATAGATTTTGTGTATACAAGTTTTTAACAGATACAAAAATAAAATTAAATGAAATAAAGGGAAGTATGTAAAAATACTGAACTATAGTAATACCACAGACAAGTAAACAAAACAAAATTAAATAAATGTATAATCCAAAATAACTTGATTTAAAACCACGATGGTTTGTTATGCAATTTACATTATTTCTATGCATCCAATTATATTTAATCTTAAAATATAAGCATTTAAGTTTCCATTTCTATAATATATATTTTAGTATATTGTAGTAGCAGTTTAAATTAATTATTTATCTAAGTTAAAAATTAATAATAAAAATAATACTAAATTTAAGTTCATTATTTAATATACTTTTAATAATCATTTTCAAAAAAGTTTGGATGTATTAATTAAATAATATGTTTAAATTATTTTTAAATAGTTCTTTACTAAAATTTTGATTCAAAAACTATTATTAAATACTTCTATTGTGAACTCAAACTTTTTAGTTTACTTTATAGTATTAATAATAATATTGTATAAATTTGTAAATGTAGTTTCTCCCTAAACAATGGATAGATTTAACAAAGGATGTTAAGTGTTTAAAATAAACTTTTGAAACTTGCCTTAGGGATGAGTTTGTAAGAGTTCCAATTGCATGCTATTAAATTATAATAGCGATTTAGAGTTTTTTTAATTTTATTTTTAAATTTTAGGACAGGAGGGAAAAATAACTAACTTAAAAAACATATACAATTCATACATTTTTCATTGTAAAATTTACCTATTCAATTTAAAACAATAAAATGTTTGTACTCACCATTAAATATAGAATTATTTCAGATTTTTATACCGCGTACGGTTCAGATTACGAAATCCGTATTCCGTAGAGTCCTGGATTCCAGACTTACGTTTTCTAGATTCGTATACTTCCGGTTTTCATAGGTATCCGCATATTTATACACTATGTAAAATATCGAAATATACCTCGTCATAAAATATTACGTGTGAGACAGAAAGAGAAAACCGTAATAAAAAAATGTTAGTGAAGCACTGAAGCCTCCCAAGCGGGTTACTGATGTAAATATTTTAAACGGGATAGAAATTCACGAGTTTATAATAACTTATTCATCTTGCGAATGTTTGATTGAACGTCTTAAAATGGAATTCTTGATAAACACAGTTCCGAAGATATAGGACAATGGACTTTGGAACTTTAAGCTCTAAAAAACATGCAAATATGTTTTTTAAAAACCGAACTTACTTCGCACGAAGTGTCACTGTTGTAGGTTAGAAGTTGGGAAGGTATAGGACATAGTGGGGAATTTAATTTATGTCCGTACGCAACGATTAAATATTTCTAACGAAAAACGATTCTAAGCGGAGTTCGGTTAAAAGGCTGTAATATTTACGATTTTCATCGAAAATTTGATATTGAAATGATTTGTATTGTTAATGGTATTTATTGTTATAGTTTTTAGAAGGGGAAACCTGGGTAAGATGGGACACCTAACAGTTTTAAATTTCCAATCGGTTTTGGAATATTTGTATTCATTATACATACATTTTTAACAAATATAAAATATGAGTTTTGTCCCATCATGGATAATAGTGGAGGAAAGATGTGACATTAGTAGGGTAAGATGATACGTGTATCTTATTCATAATAATTAGGTACATTTTATTCTACATAGTTTATGTAATAACATATTGTACAAGCTGAAAAACTGATTATTTTATTAATGTATACATACATTAATTATGTTAATTTGATGTACTTTATCATTTATTAGGAAAATGAGAGTTAAATGTACTAAGTTGTGTGTCTTCATTTTGTCCTATTGTAAATTTCCCGTCTTACCCCAAATATTAATATTTTAATTTAAGGTTTAAAATAAGAACACACTCCACCAAAGTTTTATCAATTATTAGCTTATAAAACTAGCTTTAAGAGTTACAAAGGAGTAATAAGAATAAACTATTATTTACTTACTTATTACTTATCTAATATCTGCAAAATATTACATCGCACGTTGCCGCTATATTCAACACGCACGTGCATCGTATCATTCAAATTTGTTGATGTTATCAAATAGTATTATTAAAGTGTGACCAATATATTACATTTTTTGTCAAAACAGTTTTCCATAAAAATTAATATTTTTCATGATATAATGATGTCCCATCTTACCTTTAGACTTCATCTTACCCAGGTTTCTCCGAGTAATATGTATTATACTCGCGACGTTTTCGGAAGTACAGTAAAACCTCTGAATAGTGGACACCCTCAGTCGCCGAATTTTCGTCTGCTATTCGGAGGTGTCCTTTATTTAGAGGGTTTAATTTTTGAATTTTATAAAGGATAATGAGTAAAATGAAAACATTTGCGCTATGTTAAATTAATTTGTTATGTTGTAATTGTCGTTAGTAGTCGTATTCTTATCATAACGAGTTTGTTGAACCAGTTCGTTATCGTTAAACCTAATGATATTGCCGTTTTGTCATTATTTTTAATAATAGTCGACTTTAATAGGTGTCTGCTATTAGTAATTTTATCGAGTTCGTTATCGTTATTAAATTATTACGAGAATACATAACTAATTACGTTTTAGTACTGTCATTTTGTTACTATTTTGAAATTAAGATTAAAATAGTGCCCGCTATTCGGAGGCTTTCTTGTTGAAAAGTAGTGAAAATGTCCCCGTTCCCAAAACAACGACCTCTATAGGGAAATGTCCTCTATTGGGAGGGGTCCGTTAGAGGAGGTTTCACTATAGATTAATATTAGTCTGTTCCATGTTCGAAAAATAATATTACATGTCTCTGGCTAGTTGACCACCCGCAAGGCTCAGAAACACGTTCGACGAGTTTTTCCCGTTTCTATCCCACCGAATATTATTATAATAATATAATGTATTATTGCCGGGCGTCTAAAAATAGTTTGATTATTTTTCCGGAATAAGGTCACCGGCCTTTGTTAATATTATAATTTAATAGAATATAATTATTATACTACTTTACTCAGTTCTGATTTTCCAAACACAATCCATGCGGGGCCCACAGAGTAAGATTCCGTACGGTGAGGTTCGGTCGATGAAAGTGGGTTACTATCTCGGGCTGTGGTCACGTAGTAGTCGTGCCACCGTTAACTGAGAATCGAACTTTAGGATTTATCTAGAACAAAAAAAAAAGAATGGAACGTGAAATTAATATTATTTTAAGTGAAGGATTTAAATTCGCTGTCAGTGACATATATTTAAATAAAATCGTGTGAAAGGTTCTACAAGTTGATTAAGTATTTCCCAATTTAGTTACTTAAATTTTGTTAATTTTAAAATTTCGAGTTACTGAACAAATAATAAGACATATTAAGTAACAATAATCACTAGAAGAATATACAAATCCCGTTACTCCGCTCAGAATACTTAGTTTTTAGAAGTTTAATAATATTGTTAATTTAAAATGATACTAAATTATTCAATATTGTTTATTCAAAACATAAACTTATAGATAGGTAAATCTATATATTACGACAAGAATATTATTGCATTAATTTAAATACCTACACTAAAAGTTCAAGTTATGTAAACCACCATGAGCATTAACTATTGGATAAATGTGAATAATTTTTAAATAGATAAATATGTTCATGTTTTTAGGAATATGTGGAATGTATGGCGAACAGTGTTAGAAGAAAACGAATCTGCCGCTAAGGCACGATTAGAAGCCATCGAAGTGTTACAAAATCAAATAAATGACGAAGCAAAAGTCCTCCGTGCGCACAAATTTCAGATTGCGAAAAAAGTAAATATGGCTTAAATAAGTATAATATAATTATTAGGGCTCGGAAGTTATTGCACTAAAAAACATTAATATTGATAGCATATTATTCCTGTAAAAAATATTTAAAATTGCAATAACTTTTTTTTTACTTGACTAACTATTTAAAAAAAAAAAAAAAAAAAAAAAAAAAATAGTAAAAGTCTTATTGGGTTATTTTATTATTAACGTTTCGGGAAAATTATAACTCGTGTATTTTAACAAATGGTATTTTTACCGCTGTCATACCTAACAATTGATAAAGCCCGAAATAACTATCAATACGCATATAACATAACATTATTTTTATTATATTATTATTGTGACATAATATCTGACACGACCCCCATCATTATTTTATTTTAAAATAGAAAAAAAAAATTAAACCATGTGAATAACATATAAAAGTATCTAAAATTGCATTATGAATGAAGAAAATGAAGAAAATTGCAATCGAATCGAAAAAATTTAAAAAAATTACACTTATCATTTTTAGATTTTAATTCGTACTTGCACGAAACAAATATAATACCTAATTGGTAACAAATCCGAGCACTAGAAAAAGAGTTACAAATGCAACAACTTCTGAGCCTTAATAGTTTGATACTATTTTTTTAAATTGTTTGTATAAAAATTATCGAATATTTTAATTACGTACTCAATAGGTTATTGTTTATGTAACTAAACTTTAAAAGCTTATATCTGTGGAATTGTGTGGAGGCAATCATAAACTATTATTATACTCCGACGCCACTCAACAAATCTTAAATTTCGTTTAAATAACAAAATGTTTGTTAAACATTCGATATGTATACGTATAAACTTTACATGAAATGGTGAGTTCGTGTTATTTTTATTGATTCTATTGTTGCAGTGTACAGATCATTTAGCGTTGGTACAAAAAGAACTCCATTCTACCGTCCAAGATGTAGACAAAACAAAAAAATTTTACTTTGATGAAGAACAGAGTGCCCATGAAGTGAGAGATAAGGCTAAAGACATTGAAGAAAAGTAAATATATTTTAATATTTCAAAAAAATTACATAATATTATAAATTATTTTTTAATCCTTGCATATTATAAATAATGTTTTAAAAATTAATTTAGAATAATGAAAGTATTACATTCCAATCAGGAGTAAAATTTTACTAGAATACCGTACCTTAATTTGTTATAAAATTTCTAAAACGCTTGAACATATTTTTATAGTAGAATAAGTGGTGTGCATATAAACAGTTTAAGCGTTGCTTACACTTTTAGTTATAAAATATTATAAGTATTTTTTTAAATGAACAATTCAAACCTGATCAATGATCGTGTTCTAATAATGTAAAATTATACATGGGATTTTGGAATTTTGGAATAGTATAAGGAGATAAGATATACCTAAGTAACTTTTAAATGTGTTACACGACCAATCATTGCGATATCAATAGCATAATGCTGTTTATTATATTATCAGCTTTAGTATGACCATTGCTACACGATTTTGCTATATTGAAATTTTTATCAGCCATTTGTACTCGTTGACTTTAAACAGTTCAAAGTATTATTATTATTAGATAGTGTTTATTTAAGATCTACAGTTAATTATTTAAATAACTTTTGATAATATTTGCATTAAATAAATTGTGAGCGGTTCTTTAGAGGTACTGAAAATAGATGGAGGAATAGTTGGTAATGGTAGGTATAACATTTTTGGTGATTGCTTATACAACGCCACACCACTGAGTAGAAGGCAAATCGTGTACTTAAAACAAAATCGTAAAAAAAATAAACGAACAATTTTATTAAAAATTAAATATTTACAATTTGTTAATAAACTTAATAAAATGTCAAACTTTTTAAAATTGTACAATATTTATCAAAGATTGAAAAAATATGTATAGAATTATTTAAAACCGGATTTATATTCTCTTATTATCTACAAACAGACACTTTAAAACGTTAAAAAATTCCCGAAAAAAACACTTAAAAATAATTTAAAAACAACAATGATAGATGAGTTCAAAAATCTCTCCACTAATGTCTTGAACTTATTAAATAACTTTCCTAACATCACAATAGACAGTTTTATTTATAAGTTAAATCAGTTAGAGGGGGTGCATTTAAATCCATTTTTTATTTTTATTTTTTTAAAATATTTTTTATGTACTTTTTTCAAGGCTTTTTTAAAGTTTACAAGTACTTTTTTGTGGATTTTAAGAGCAAATAAATCTGGTTTCTAATAATTACTAACAAATCTTATAATCAACAAAGTAAATTACTTTTTTTTTCTTTTAGAATAAATTAATGACTCAAATGTAATATATGTAACAACATTTTCCATCTTAAAATATATGTTTTTACTGTTATGTGATAAAAGTTCCCGTTTTTAGTTTACTAAGAACAACGTTCTTTCAATAATATTTCGATCGTCCTTTTATATTATATCTGTAAATATATTCTATACAGGTTAAAGAAAAAAAAAGGTTCGTTCTTCCAGTCAATTACGTCTTTACAAAAGAACAGCGTGAAGGTAAATAACAATAACTTTTAGTTCCATCATTTATTAAATTATAAATAATCATATATTATTTTATTATTATTGATTGCTGATATTTCGTTTTATTTTTCACCAGAATATTTTATAAAATAGGTAATTTTTTAATAGTATTTATATTCTTTTTAGGTGTCCTCCAGAAGAGAAGTGTTGGAAGAAAAATCGTCGGGTGCCAGGAATGATTATTTATTAAGCCTTGCGGCTGCAAATGCTCATCAAACAAGATACTTTTTAGTTGACTTACAAAATGTAATGAATGTAAGTATACATAATGTAGTATAATATATTATAAATAATGAATAAAAAAAAACTAATAGTAATAATACTATATAAATATTGATAATTTTTATAATAATTAGTATAGTATAAAGTAGGTAAATATATTTATATTCTAAGATTCTGAGGTTTCCGAGGAATGTATTGGGTTTTAAAATGATATTTAGTATTTTTTTCTGTGGAAAACTTTTCTATCCGCAATTTTGCTCTGATTTTCAAATATAGAACTCTTACTGAAAGGAAATATGACTGGGGTAGTACTTATGAGAGATAATTTTTTGATTTTCAAGCTGTTTTTATAATAAATGGGAAAAACGGGAAAATGTACGAAATGTTTTATATTTAAATCGTAAATATTACCGTCTTTCAAAACATGTATAACTAAATTCCGCTTAGAACCGCTCGAATTACTCGTTGCGTACAGATTAAATTAAATTCTTCTCTATATCTTAACTTCCCACCTATAACAGCTCACCCATCTGGCGAGGTATATCCGTATATTTTTTCACTATTAATGCGTTGAATTGGTGTACAATGCAGAAAGAGTAAATTGTTATTAAATTATTACATTATTTGTGGATAAATGGTCTAACCAAAGTCTTAAAATCCTAATATTGGGTATCTATAGGCTATAATTATGGTAACCAGATATAAAAGTTCAAAAAAAAGTATATTAAATTTAAATTTAAATTTAGGTCCTTTATTATAAAAAAACCCCCTTCATTGAAAGAATTGGCCAATGTGTATATACTATTTTACCTATTTTGCACATAGCTCATCTTCATTTATATACATTTTTTTTTATCTAATTACTCTATTTTTTTTTTCTATTATCAACTATAAATTTAAATTAAATTCTAATAACTGGTGATTATGATATTAACAACATTTTTTTTTCATCAAACAGTGGTTCTCCAGCTACTGTCGCTACCGTTGTTAGTCACTTACAGACGTTTGGAATACATTAGGTCGAATAATAAAATATTAAAAAAAATAAATAGTCAAATTATACAAAATCATATACATGTATTAGCCCAAATATTTTCAAAAAAAAGAGTACGATTTCATGTAATCAACACTATTGTTAAGGATATAGGATAATAAAACATAAAAAAAAAAAGGTAAGATAATGGGGACGAGTGCAGCCACTGATGTGGGTGGGAAGTTGTGAAGGTAGGATATAGACGAGAATTCAATGTATATCTGTGAGCAACGATAAACCATTGCTTACGAAAAGACGATTCTGAAAGGAGTTCAGTTAATAGTGATGCTTTTTCAACAATATATATGTCATTTTGTAGTAAAAAAAAATAATTAAATAGATTTTTTTTAATAAAATTAGTTGTACCGATATTCCCAATTTTCCTACGTTTATCCCGGTTTTCTCATATTTTATCTAGGTTTTTACACTAGGGAAAAATTTTGGGAAAATCAAAAAATGTCCTCTCTAAAGTACCTTCCTAGTGAAATTTCCTTTTAGAAACATTGCTATCATTAAAATTTGGAGCAAAATTGCTGATAGAAAAGTTGTCCACAGAAAAAAAAAATCGTAAATTATATTTATTATATTTCGTAAATTTTCCCGTTTTTTTTTTTCGGTTTTCGCATTTGATAAGAAAATTCTTGAGAAAATCGAAATCTGACCTCCTTAAAGTATCTCTCCACACCGATTTATACATTTAGAGATCCGAGCAAGTCTTCTGGTAGAAAAGTTGATAATAGATAAAAACAAAAAAAAACATCTTTTTAAAATTATATGCTTCTTCACTTCACTCAGAATCTAAAAGAGACTGTTCTACGAAAAAGAGTAAGCCTGGTCACCATAGCTATAATACCTATCCCTTTGTATTTTGAAAATTTAATTAAAATTAAAATTTATAAAAAATCTGCTTAGAACATATATATGCATTTTTTTAATTTTAATTTAAAATTCGACTCGACTGCTATATTCAATTATTAAAGTACCGACCGTGATTTTAATTATAATATTACTTTACAACTATATATTACTATATTTACACTATTATTATATAACATATTATTTTACTATACTTTCATTATAATAAGAACAAACACAATTTAAAACTTATTATTAAATTAAATTAAATTAAATAGTTTCGTTTATTCAGGTTTTATTTAAATTTGATACGTTTTGTTAATTTTAATTTTAAATAGATATTATACTTTAAATAATAAAACAATAAACTTGATTCATCTGTAAATATTTTATTATATTCTAGTGCAATTATTAAAACAATAATAAATATAATAAGTTCACGTCTCACGATTCAATATAAAATGATTAAATATGGATAGGTGATTGATGTTATTTCAGAACTGTTGACTATATTGTACTAATAAAATAATAAAGTAAAATCAAAATCATTAAAATGGTTAATACTCGAACATAAATAAAGTAAATAAAGATGTGAATAAAAAATTAATGTATAAAAATAAAATAAATAAATGAATCAATGCGTCGTTTGAAGTATTATGATAAGTGTATTATACGATCGGTTTCGAATTAAAAAATCATCAGATATATCACTGTTAAAATGTAAACCGCGACTGAATATAAAAATTAATTAGAATATTTAATTCAAAACCGGTCTTATTATATACTTATCATAATTTTCTAGACGACGCATTGATTCATTCATTTATTTTATTTTATACATACATTTTAGATTCTGAGTCTAGCGAAGAGTGTATTGGTTATAGTAAGATGTTTCTTTTTTTCTTTTTTTTTATCCTGTGTACAAAAATTCGACCATAAATTTTGCTCAGATATATAAACGCAGCACCATTTCTGAAAGGGAATGTTGTCCAGATGGTACTTTTAGGAGGTTATTTTTTAATATTCCAAGCGGTTTTCATAAAATTTGGAAAAAATCAAGATAAAACGAAAGAAAAACGGGAAATGTACGAAATTAATGGTTTTATTATTTTTCAATTTTGTTATTTGTTGTAATTCAGTTAAGAATATTCGTAGACTTGAAATTTTTACAGAAAACTTATATTTGTCTTTTCTAGATTTTTTGAAATATTTCTGCCATTTTTGAGCTATTTATAGACATTTTAAATTTGCAAGATTTATATGTAATTTTTATTCGGTAGATATTCCGTGATAAAATTGTTAGACTTAGCAGAAATGCTTGAAAATTTAAGAGGAAGTTCATTAAGAGTATTACTTTGTAGCATTAAAAAAAAAAAAATTGTTTGAGTAAAAAATTATGTGGAACTAATCTAGTTTTTTAATTTTTTTTTTTCGAACATATATATATTTCCGATTTAAGAAGGATGGTAAAGTCAGAATTGAGCCAACTGATTAAGTTTATTAGCTTTTTATTTATTTATTATTAAGTAAATTAGCTTTTAAAAATAGCTTTTTGAAGTTCAGATATAATGCAGATATTACATGTTATGTTAAATAACTCTATATTGCCTTTTAAAATACGTTTGTTGTGATCAAGTGGTCATGGATACGAATTTTCATACGAGGGGCTGCGGGTTCTAACCCCGAGGTTTGAAAAAAATTGTTTGCAACTTTTTTTTCCCTTTCATCTAAATAGGGTAAAAACAAATGAATTTTAAGTGTACTTAGAGAGACTTAACTATCGCTCGTTCGGACTATTCAAATCGAAAAATACTCCTCGATTTGTTGTGCAAATTTTTCTACCGGAAATCTTCTTCCCATGTATCAAGTGTAGCTTATTTTTTGAAAGGAAATTTTATCTTCATGGTTTAGGGAGGTCATTTTTATGATTTTTCAATCGGTTTTCATAATAACTGGGGAAAACCGAGATAAAATGTCGGTAAAACGGAAAATGTACGGAATGTAGGTATTAGTAAAAAAATATTATGGCCTTTATTTTCTGCGTACAAATTTTCTACCAGCAATTTTGCTCCGATTTAAAATGATTTACACTTTTTCTGAAAGTAAATCTGACTGGGAAGGTACTTTAGGAAGCTCAGTTTTCGATTTTTTCCAAGAGTTTTCTAATCCGGGAAAAACGGGAAAATCAGTACAATATTAAACAAATATTATTAACGCCTATTTAATTATTTTATTATAATATGTCATATATATTGTTGAAAAAGTAACATACTATCATCTGAACTGCGCTTAGAATCGTTTTTTCGTTAGCAATGGTTTATCGTTGCTCACAGATATACATTGAATTACTTATACCATTGGCTGCACCCGTTCCCATTATCCTAGGACGTCTTATTTTTTTTTATATATTAATTTACTTTATATATTTTACTGTTATTATAGTAGCTCTAGTACCTAAATTTTACTAACGTTAATTCATTTTTAAATGTAGACTATGGAACACAACGTTTATGAAAAAGTACAAGAATATTTGATATTACTGAGTAAAATCGAGCTTATTACATGTACCTCTGTTCATAACTCGTTTAAAAAAGTCAGAGACCAAGCACAACAAGTTAGTAGTAAACGTAAATTCTTATAATAAATACATTTTAAAATTAATTTATAACTTGTGAACCCAATTTAAACAAATATAGTTGAGTCGAGAGTATAATATGCAGTGTGTGTACCTCTTCTATCCCGTATTAAAACAGCATGTTCAATATCAGTTTGAACCTTGCGATGGCGACGGTATAGATCACATAACAGCGGACCATGGCGGAGTAGTCACTATACTTAGCCAGGAAGCGAAGAGGTGGGCCACACGAATTATTAGAGAAACAAATAACATTAAAGAAAATACAAAAAAAGTACAGGTCTTCCAAGCTCTTCGGGATGCGCGTCAAAAGGTAAAATAAATATTACAGTTTTATTATTAATATAATTTCTATTAATGTTATTCTGTAGGATTATTGAAAACATAATACATATTAAATATTAAATTAACATTTAAAATATTATATGAATACTTATATAATATATATATATATATATATACATAAACATTTTCCTTAACTTTAAAACGTCCATACTTGTAGAGGTATGTACCCCTTATAATTATAGTGTTTGACCGAATCTAATCATACTAATTTAGGATGTTGGTTATAATTTCCTGCAAAAATAAATGATTTTAATATACAAATACTATACTTACCTATACGTGGGTTTATTAGTTTATAAATAATAATAATTATTAAAACTTAGAATTATTTTTGAATAATTGGAGGTGCTTATCTCAAACTTTTTATTTTATTTAAACATTTAATTGGTACTTATAACAAAACATAGACCCTAATGTAACAGCTGCTGTTTCAATTTGAAACAACTAAATACAGATTATAGAATATTGGTCCTTTATTTTAGGTATATGTATATATGATACAGTACATAGGAAATTTTACGGGCCATTTCCCTTATAGTAAATAAATATTGTAACACAATTTGACTAACTTAATCTAATTGCAATTTAAAACCTATCTATATTAATGTATGTATTTCTATTTTATTCATCATGTTCTCAGTTTTAATATCAAAAACATATAAACGTAGATCGAGGGAAATATACTCAAGATATTAATAAATACATAAAAAAAATTACCGTTGACATAATATTATAACATATAATAAACAAATTTTAAACTGATCTTTATAATGCTTCTCTTTGATTATTTATTCTTTGTTTAATTTTATAATTTCAAATAAACTTATTAGTTTTATCGAATTATACTAATGTTAAATAGATTTTTTTATTATTATTTATAGACTGATCCAAATGATCCAAATGGACCTGATTTGGAAACAAAATTAGAAACTATCAAAAATAGCATTCGGAGATCTGAAGTAAGTTCAAAAAAAAAAAATAAAATATAAATTAAAAGTGGCATACCTAGGATTTTTTCAATTCGAGAATTTAGAAATGAGACTAAACATATTAAATTCAATTTATATATAAGAATTAAAGCAAAATATATCTATATTGATTATGAAAACCTTTTTTCTTGAGGTTATTTTGCAAAATACATAATTTTGTAATACAATTATTTGTTTTTAGTTGAGTATTTAGTGTAAATTTGAAACCAACGAGATGTACTGGATAAAATCTAGCACACTGTCCTAGAAATTGTGACAGTCCCGTTTCAGATCTTTGCAGTCAACTACAAAATAAATATCAATTATTTTTACGAATTTTATCATAAAAATAAATTTAAAACGTATATAAAAATAAATTTAAAACGCATATAAAAATAAATTATGACATATCGCTCAACTTTTCGTTTTACCACTAAGTATAATTTATAATTAACCTCATTCAAATTTTTTTAATATTTATTTAAATTAACAAGATTGTATCCATAAAAACCAATCAATATAATATGAGAACATAATATGGCCAATACTCTCCTGAGTGCAATGATTATTGTTTTATTATTAAGTTTTCACTAATGAATAATTAATACTATTTTTTGTACTTTAACACGGTAAATAGTGGGGGTTAAAGTTCGTTTAGCTTCCCCTAGGTATGTTACTGTTCATAAACATAATTTAATCTGAAAAGATTTATTATAAATCATATAAAATATGAAATAAGTTTGCACTTTACTGGCAATTAAATACATATTACATAGCTTAAATTACACATGGCTTGAATCATTGTGGCACTAATTAAGTCATTTTTTTTATCAGATATTTTTATTTTAATTTAAATACTAGACATTAGTTAAATTTATAATATACCTAATTTATTCACACAATTAGGTAAACATCTAGATGTAAAATAGTTTATTATTTTTGATTAAAAGTAATCTGAATAATTTATTATTTTGTAAGTTTTTTCATTAACTTTAAGCATTCATAAGTTTCATATTTAATAGAATATTCAATACATTTTTCAGATAGCTAAAGCTAAAGCTGAGGCTCGTATTGAGTGTTTGAAAAATGGAGACGGAAATGGTAGGTACCTCAGATTTTTCATTGGTTTTATTAGAGATATTATTATGTATTATTAAGTTGTATAGATAATATATATTATAAATAAGCATTTAATTGTTTTTGATTAATGATAACTCTGTAATTAAAAGTTTAAACTATTTGAGCACAAGAAAACCATTTTTATATATAATTGTAATTATTGTTTTCTGTTTCAGTAAACGTAGAAGAATGGCTTGCGGATATAGGTGATATAAATATCGAACTGCAGCGATCAAATAGTACATCTTCCTTACCAATGGAGGGAGGTCCAACAAGTACCATGACATCAGACTATGATAGTGAAGACTACGGAGATGGGCCTTCTGATAGCCCAGTACCATCTGATAAACCGCATTCAATATCTCAAGACGAAGAAGACCGACCAGATTCGGCGGAAATGGATAAAGATTGGGGTACATGCAATATACCGTATATTGTACTAAACAACTTATACTTTATTGTTTATGGGTGTTTTAAACGCAGAATATTAATCCGTGACCTGTTAATGTGGGTCTTTGTTGATTATAGCACTTGTGGAAAAAGAACGGCAACGTATTGAACAGTTAACAGCCGGCTGGGATGATCCTACACAAGTAAATTGGGAAGAAAATCGTGAGACCGAAGATAAGACTATGTATCCACAAGCTGTTCCTGAAGAGCCCGAAGGCCCTGTCTATAAATGCACTGCGTTATACAATTATACTGTAAGTTTTCATCACAAGCGTAGTTCATACACTTAGATATTTTGTTTATTGTTGTATATTATATTTTTCTTCTAAATGAAATAGATCAATACTATTATTTATTTATTTATAGAATAATTAAATATTTTATTTTATTTCATTAATATTGAGTTATGAAAAAAAAAAAAAATGATGATAATATTATGTGCATATTTACAATAACTTCAATCGAAAAAATAGGAACAAATAGTTAAATTTTATTTGTATTTTATATAAATATTCCAGGCTCAACATCCCGACGAATTAAGTATTTTGGAAAACGAACAGCTCGAAGTATTTAGTGTGGACAGTGATAATTACGGTTGGTCTAAAGCCAGAAATTATAAAGGCGAAGTGGGTTACGTGCCGTCTAACTATCTAGATATTGAACAAGAAACGTGTGATCCAGAAACCCATGATACACCAACGACATACCAGCTTAGATCGCAGATTAGCTTTTCTTCTGTAGACTATATGGTTAATGACGAGATAACTGCAACGACGATGAGTCCGACACAACAATGTCAGTCTGACGAAGACGTTGAAGCTGAAGAACAATCGTCAGAAAAAAGTATTACTACAGTGTGGGAAAATAAAGAGGGAGGTAATAATAATGATATGTTATACACATTTAAATTTAAATATTTTATAAAACTATATTTCTCATCGAAAATATAATTTTTTTTTCCCAGGAGTTATAGAAATCCCATCATATTGTATCGCCTTGTTCGATTACGCCGGGAACGATCACGAGGAACTAGGTATGAAAGAAGGCCAAATCATCAAAGTTGTAGATAAGACTACACACGTGGATGACGGATGGTGGGTGGGTGAGTTAGGCAGTAAGATGGGACACTTCCCATCATGCTTGGTCAAAGAATGTTATGAAAACGGTGACCTAGTACCTACACCGACATCTGAAAACAGCGATAGTGATTTTTCAACCGAAGACCATCCCGAGTTTGTCACTAGCGGTCCACCGCCACCACCACCCATGTTCTCACCACCCGAGTTGCCGCCCAAATTACTATCCACTAATTTGTTCCCGACACAAGTGATTGTTACCCAACCCACACCCATCGGGGAACATGGTCCTCCTGGAAGTTTTGCTCCAGAAAGTAAGTATAACCCTTTTGTACGATAGCAATACAAAATTAAATGAAAAAAAAAACCTGTTACCTTTACCCACAGAAAAATAACTCAATTAAATAAAACTCAGAATTTATACGTTTTTTGAGTTGCTTTTAGATTCAGAGGGCAGCGAGGTATGTATTTACCTTACTGTGGTTTTTTTTTTGTGTCTGCAAAACACATTTCATCAGAAATATTGCTCTGATTTTTAATTGTAATATCCTTTCTTTAATTAAATCTCGATGGTGCAAAAGAAAGTTCTTTTTTAATTTTCCGTGTAGTTTTTTTAATAATTGGTAAAAACAAGAAAGTTATCAGCATTAACGGTTTAATTATTTTAAATTTTGTTTATTTTATTGTAATTCGCTTAAAAATAATCGTAAAGGCCTGCAATTTTAAAAGGATACTTACATTCGCTTTTTTAGTCGTAGTAACATTTTCATAGCATTTAGCTATGTTTGTGTTATTTATTGGCATTTGTCATTCTCTAGTTTTTTAGTTTTCATTTAATTTTATGTATTAAATTATTTTGGCCAAAGAGAAATGCTTCAAAATTGAACGCAAGATTCATTATAAATTGTACTTAGTAGACAGTATAAAAAGTTGAGTGAAGATATTTTTTTTTAATAAGCTTTTCAAGGTTAGAGTATTTTTCTTTTAGTTCTCTTATACCCCCTAGATTTGATATATTTTGTCTTACCTCATACTTGACAATATCATTAATTTAATCACGATTAAAGAGCAGATTGCGGTTCCGGTGGCATACCACAAAACTATATTCTATGAAAATGCCAGGTCTCTATTTTTAACTGAATAACAACAATAACAAGCACAACAAAATCGATAAAAACAGAAACCACTGTTTGTTTTCCACGGGTTTTTCCAATTGTTAAAACAAGAGAAATTAAAGAAATAACCTCAATGCACCAACAAAGTATAATTTTCAACTAGAAATCATCTCTGAAGTTAATGATTTGAGCAAGATTTTTGATGGAAAAGTATTTACAGATAGAAAAATAAAGATATTGTAAAAGTAAAACCAATACATTCCACGCTACGCTTAATGTCTAAAATAAAATTATTGTATCTTATTCTTCACTCGTTTTTAATTCACTTTACCATCGAGTAGTAAATCATCCAATTTAAATAAAAAAATGGTTATCAATATATTCAATTTTAAGTTATATTCGTGTTGGGTCTTTAGTTCCGTCGAAATCGGGTGACTTTTCAATGGAATTAACACAAAATCAACAAGAACAATATGATACGCAATTTACGGAAGAGTGTGATGGCGTACCGGCAATAAGTGGTATACGTATTAATAATAATTGTCTCGAATTAAAATATTAATATTGTGTTTTTTATCATAACATATTTAGAGCCACCTGACATACCACAACTGTTTATAGAAAATGAGGTAATTTCCAAATTTAAATAGTAATTTAGTGAGATAGAGATCAGTGGCACCTGAACAATTTTAGAACTTAGGGTTAAATATGTATTTAATACCTATTTATCAAAATTGACATATTTTAGAAATTTTTTTTCGAAGATTGCTAAAATAAAATCATTAAATAATTAATGAAAACAGTATAAAGGAAATATTTTTCAATTAAACAATTGGTACAACTTTTTTATTTTAATATTGTTACTTACAATTTATTCGTTAGTCTTCGAGAAATAGTTTTAATATAATACGCTGAATTTATAAAATATATTTAAATTTTACTAAACATACAATTTCTGATAAAGCGGAAAATCGTATTTCATAATCACGATAGTGGGTTTTCGTTTTCTGTTCTGAAATCTATTCTATTTCCGGTGTTGGGGTTAAATTAGCAATAGTTTCCAGATATTCGGTTACTAATAAACAGCATATTAGGATCCTAGCATTATGCAATATATTATATTGAACATTCGAATACTGCGGTACTTATTTATTATTCACTCTCGATAACCAATGCATTTCCTAAATAATAAAATTCCATTTTTTCAAGGCTCGAAACTGAAAAAAAAATTCAGTTTCGTTTTTAATCTAACAATAATAAAAAAAATGATTATAATAGTACCTACTAATTTATTGATTGCCTAATGATTCATTTAAATATAGTTCCAATGAAAACAACGAATATAATGGCCCAACTCACCACTGAGGATAACTTCTTAAGATTTTGTTATGTTTATATTTTTTTTATTGGTTTAATCCGGTATTAATGAATATTTAATACTGGTTTCAAGTCCTTCCTTATTATTTATTTCTCTTATTAAAAATAATTATTCGAGTTTTCTTTAATTGGTTTAACAATATCGAAGTATTAATATCTAGGACGACTGTTCCGGACCTCCTGTCTCACCTCCACCACCTACGCCAGCGCCTGCGTCCGACGGACTTGGCGTTGCACAGATCGTCATTACTGCAGCTACACCAATGATGGAAGAACCGGAAAAGCCGTTTGGTCAGGAAGATTCTCCGACCACCGAAACGGTACCGGAGCCATCAGACCATATCGTATTTCAATCAGAATCGGAACCGGAAGATGACCATCGTATGAGTGTAGACAGTGATTGTTTTCCGGTGATCCCGGAAGAGTCCGAAGACGATCTGAAATTGCTCGAATCTGATGACCCCAGGGACACGGCTGGTTTACCGTCCGAACTCGAACCCGGACAGCTGGCCAAACTGCATAATCTTAAGGAATCGAATGCCTAACGACGACGTATAGAGTGTGTTTACTGTGTTGTTTATTTAAGGGACTTTAAGACCAGGTGTAGGTATACTTGGGTTTTTTTTCACCATCCAACTATAATTAAGAAGCACTACACCTTGCTAAGTTTAAATAGATAAATAAAACGCAATCAGCAAAATCTTGTGATGTATAATAATAATACATTTTTTATTTCAGCAGTTGAACTTAATAACCAAAAATAACATAACATTTTTTCTCTGATACATATATTTCATAAAGCCTATTTGTAAAAGCACCTTCTTATAGATAATTTCACAGAGTTTTTTTGTTATTTTATCCTCTTAATATTTAGCATTATATTCAATTTTATAGGGTAGATAATGTATAAGATATATTTTATTTTAAGCGTGGTAAACGCTTTATTGTTATACTTTATGGGAAATCAAATATGGATGTTCTATACTTAGTTATAATAATTATGTGTGGGCACTGCAATTTAAGAAGAGGATGTTACACGCGAATCTATACTGTCTGAGTCTAACAGGGCAATATAGCAAAATTACTTTTCTTAGAATTTAAATTGTGTTATTTATGTTGAGATTGGTGTAAAAACATACATAAAATAATTTAAAGACGAAAATAATCTTAATGTAGCTTCCGAAAATAGTCTCAAATAAACTCAATCAACAAAATTGAATTATTTGTGTTTTAACTCTAATTTCAACCTAAGCACCACAATATATGTTTTAAGTAACGCGATTTCGCTATGTTTCTTGTTAGTTAGAGATTGAAAAAGTAAATGCGATTGTGGCGTCCGCGTACATAATTGAAAACTGAGACATTAAATAATATTATTTGTTGCACAAATATTCTTAACTATAACATTAATGGAAATTAACGTTGTTCTATTTAAAATTAAACGGGTGTTTTGTTTTCAAAACGTTCTTTTTTAATCAAATATATTTAGATACCTATTAAAGGTGTGTATCAATAATTATTTATCGTTATTATAAAAATTGTATTAAGTAATTTTTTAAAAATATTTTTATAGAGTCCCTATGTATAATATTACAATTAATTAAATAGAAAAACGATAAACTATTTACGTTTAGGTACTTACAACTCAACGTGTTTTAAATTGTATACTACACAAATCGATGGACTCATAATATAAAAATAGATATTATGAGTGATATCTTAATGATAAATTTAAAATATTACACGAAATTCAATAACATCGAAAGTGTCAAAACCTATATAACCTTCCACTATTATTCTTAAAGGTGTAATGTGATTTCATGTAAATATAAATTTTAACTTTTTAAACATTTATTGCGTGACAATGAAATATTGTTAAATCTGAAACGTGTTTTGGGTTTAAACGTTCCAAAAATTTCAAATAAATGTATAGATTTATTATTATGAATTTTCTACAGAACGCGTTTTACCTACGATTATACTGCCGATTTGTTTCTGCATACATATTATATAAATACTATTATTATTCCTTGTTAAGCTTTTGAATCTCTATAATATCTTTTAGAAAGGAAAGTATTAATACGTATGTTATTATAAGTTCTTGTTAATTCTAAACTATTATGTTTTCTAAAGTCTACCATTATTATTATTATTATTATTATTATTATTATTATTATTATTATACGAGTAGGTATAATAATACGCTTTAATTACTTATATTACCACTAAAACTCCGAATTATTATTTATTCGTTCTAAAAGAAAAAAAATCCATAATTATCAATCAATGAAATATAATATGTTTATAAATATGAACAATTTTATTTGTACAATATATATATATATATATATATATATTATATATATATATATATATAACTATATTATAGGTATAAATCGTTAAATAATATTGAATTCGAAATTTATTTGATTTGTATTTTAAATAATATATTTATACGCAATATTGTTGTATGTCGGACATCATTGACTAAACAATATAATATTTAAGGGCTGTACAACTTTTAAAATCACATGATAATCATATTATTATGTAATATTATGCATATTGTACGTATATTCAAATATTTTCCTTTATTGATAAAATAAACTATCATCGCGGTAGGGGATTCGGCGATATATTCAATGAAGCACAGTACATAATATGATGGGGACGCGTAAAAACCTATAATCTGAAAAGTAAAAATCTGGAATTTAAAAATTTGAAATCTGTAAAAATCTGGACCTGGTAAACATGGGCAGTAGAAAACTGGACCATATAAATCAGGAAATCCAAAATATTTACGGTTTAATTTTCTTTTGGTCAGGTTTGTTTGGTTCAGATTATTGCACCGATTTCATAGGCATTCTAAATGATAAATTATTTCTTATTGTACTGAAAATAATCGTATATTTTAGTTGGGTAGAACGGTTTACGTTTATACGTTTTAATCGAGGCTATTGCTCAAACCGAATAGTGAAGTCAGGAAGATGTACCTGCGTCCTGTAGCTAAGAATAGATATTTATCATTACTAAATAGATAGGTATGATGACGACTTGCTAAAACTCCGCATGTTCTCTGCCCAGAGAGCATAGTTCGCCATCTCTCAATGGTTCTTGACAATACTGAATGTCTGTAATTGCATATCACAATATAATGCAATAAAGTAATAAAATAATGAATATAATACAATAAACGTAATGAAATGATGAATATAATATATTGTGAACTATAAGTGGACGTGGCGCATTTGTTCTCATCATAGTTATCTACTTAGTTATGATATTTATAAAATATTTAAGTAGGCAATCGTTATTTTACTGTAACAATATTATTATATTATTGAGATTATATTTGATTTTTTCGCAAATTTAAAATTAAACTCAACAACGAACTACATTATAGATGTTAAAAATTAACTTTGTTTTAACCAGTACAACCAACAAATTATCCGCTTGTAACTATAACTATATAAGCTACTTTACGTATATAGACAATTAAAAAATGTAAAAGGAGTGCCTTTTCTATGACATAATTATTAATTTAGAATAAAATAAACGAAAATAACTTAATAATATTTTAAATCGTAATAATCAATATTTGTATAAAAATATAGAATATAAATTTAATACTTTAATATTAATTATTTTAATAATAAATATTTCTTAGCAATATTTCTGTATTAATGCGAGTTTCTTTTTAGAGATCTTTATGTATAATATGAATAATAATTGAAAACTTCAACATTTCTATTGAACCAACTGTTTTGTTAATTGTTTGTTTTTTTTTTTTTTAATACATTTAGCATTGTATTTTAGTTTATTTGTTTATGTAGTATTAGTTATGTATTATTGAAATAACAAAATATTAATTATTAATTTATAATATTTTTTTTTCTACTCAATTTCCTTATATCTATGGTCAAAAGGAAAATACATAGAGAAAGTCACGAGCAACACTGAACAAAAGTCATAGGTAGGGTGACAAGTTTGAAGTAAACATTTTTTCTTCCAGAAATCTCGTTCATCATTAATTTCAGAATTTTTTTCTGGTAAAAAATGTTGTCTAGTTGATGCATTAAGGAAGCGGTTCTTGAAGTTTGATGGTGCTCGGTTGGTGCGTGTAGGCTCAATTAACACCTCTTAAATTGCACTGAAGTTACGTTATGTTTATTACGTTAGTAATTAGAATTAAATAAAAGTATAATTTGTTAAAATTAATTATGTACTCAGCTTTACCAAAATAGTTGGTGCATTCATAGAACCAGACTAACCAGAAGTTAAACTTCCCAAAAATTACATCTAAATTACGTCTTCTTTATTAAACCAGAACCAAATCATATTAACTAAACCTGTAGATTCCGAATATGAATTGACAGACTGAATATTTTGATGTTTTACACATATTAGAACTCATACTTAATAATATCATTTATGTAGGTAGGTACCTCGTACACTATCACACAATAGTTATAGAACAAGGGATTCCGGTTTAAATGGAAAATGATTTTAATGCCCTATTATTTCTTTGATAAAGCCCTTTAATTACCTCTCAGATTTTTTTAATATGTATGAAATTCAATCTTGTGTTATTGTACATGCAAACATATCAACAAATATTTCGTAACTTTTATCATATTTTAGATTCTGAATGCATTGGTTTTACTAAGATGTTTATTTTTTTTGTTATCTTGTGTGCAAAAATTCGACCATAAATCTTGCTCAGATATATAAGCGCGGCCCCATTTCTGAAAGGGAATGTTGCTCGGATGGTACATTAAGGAATTTATTTTTTGATTTTCCAAGCGGTTTTCATAAAATTTGGAAAAAATCAGGATAAAACGTAATAAAAACGGGAAATGTACAAAATTAATGGTTTTATTATTTTTTAATTTTGTTATTTGTTGTAATTCAAATAAAAATATTCGTAGAGACTTAATTTTTTACAGAAAACTTATATTTGTCTTTTCTAGATTTTTTGAAATATTTCTGCCATTTTTGAGCTATTTATAGAGATTTAAATTTTGCAAGTTTTGTATGTAATTTTTATTCGGTAGATACTCCGTGGTAAAATTGCTAGACTTAACAAAAATGCTTAAGAATTTAACAGAAGGTTCATCAAGAGTATTACGTTGTAGTCAAAAAAAAAAAAAAAGTTTGATGTAGTATTTGTTTTTATAAAGGAATTTTGATACTACATTTTTACGAAAATTGTTTGAGTAAAAAATTATGTGGAACAAATCTCATTTTTCAATTTTTTTTTTTGAACATATGTTTATTGCTAATTTAAGAAGGATGGTAAAATCATAATTGAACGGACTGATCAAGTTTCGAAATTAGCTTTTAATAATAGCTTTTTGAAGTTCAGATATTATGCAAATATTATATGTTTATGTTGAATAACTGTATATTTTCTATTTTAATATATGTTTGTTCGAATATTGTTTAATCGAACGGGTTTGTATCCGGGGTTTGATAAAACATTTTTTTCACTTTTTTCTTCCTTTTATCTGAATAGGGAAAAAACAAAAGCATTTTAAGCGTTTCTACATCCAAAAATCGTCAAACCAGTAATACGCCCGTTAAAAATTACATACTTCACTACTATTTATTATATGGGACTAACGGCCGTCAATAATGCTTTGTCATTATTTCCAGGAGTTACAAACCAATCATTCATTGTGATGACTTAAGTTTTACCGCTGTCGTCACCGATGGCTAAAACCTTCGTGACAGAGGATACAATTTAACCCTTTGTCAGCTACCTGAAAAAAAAATACAGACAGTATTAGTACCATGTATTATTTTTCCATTTTTCTTTTGTACCTTAATCGTGAGTATCGGATCTTTCTGTTTTTGTAAAACGTTTCAACAGTCTAAGCAGACGTCGATCGGGTCGAGTAAAAAACTGACAGTTTCAATTCGCTTCACGCAACTTCAGTGAGTTTCATATTATTATATATAAAAACCAAACCGAAAGACAACTGAAGTAAAATTACAATTTCTCTATATTTTGGTAACGCATACTTGGTCCACATTATAAGGGATTCTTTCATATCTTTTGACCATATTCTCATTTGCCAATCTCCAACGGTCAAAATTTTTTTTAAAAACGTCGAATTTCTCAGGGCCGAATACACTAGGCCGTAGTGATAGTTATAAGTAGCCGATATTTTTTCAAACAGTTTTTCTTTTGTGGTTGCCATTAAACATCAGTCCAGTTTCTGTTCCTATCTAAAATATTGTTAACGCTAAACCGATGTTCAGCAATTATTAAGTTGCGTCACATCAGTTCACAGGGTGATTGAGGCTAATGTTTCGCATCTACAAACACAGTTTATTTAGTTACAAAATAATAGGTATATTTTACATGAAATTACCCAGTAACATGAAAATACGCCAGGCGTTACTTGGACGACCCGACCAAGAGGCCATGACAGTGGTGGAACAACGTTTGACTTAATTATAACTATGTCGTCTTTCTTGATTGTACCTTCTGAAAACGATTACTTCCCACGGGCTTGTAGACTTCATGGACCAGCGTCGATAGAAATACTGGAAGACTTGTTGAAGCAATTTCCAACGAGATCGAATTCCTGATGAGAGGACTGGAATTTGTTCTTCCGATAAGGCCAAAAACGGCTGATCAATCAAAAAATGACCGGGTCAAAGATAGTCAAGACTGTTGGGGTCAGAACTAACCGGAGTTAGTGATCTGGAGTTAAACGCAGCCTTCACATGATAAATAATGGTAAATTTCTCGTACGGCCATACTGATATACAAGTATGGCTAGATAGAAATCGAACCAGGAGCGACTTTACGGACTTTTCAACTGAGAAAAAATATGGACATACTTCGCACGTGGGTGCAGCTACTGTAGTAGTAAGGAAGTTGAGAAGGTAGGATACAGAAGGGAATTTAATATATATCTGTAAGCTACGATTTATCATTGCTTACGAAAAACGATTCTTAGCGGAGTTCAATAATAGTGATGCTTTGTATATGTAAATAATATATGTTATATTATGATAAAATATTAAATTATTAAATAGGTATTATATATTTTCTTTAATAATATTTGTTAATATTAATCTGATTTTCCCGTTTTTTTTTTTATGATTTTCCCATGTTTTTTTCTGGTTTTTCAATATTTTCTGGGAAAACTTTTGGAAAAATCGAAAAATGGCCTCTTTAAAGTTCCAACTCAAGAAAATTTCCTTTCAGAAAAAGGTCTACATTGTATACATCAGAGTAAGATTTATAGTAGAACTGTTGTATACTGTATACAAAAATAATAAAATAAAAAATAAACATCTTTGTAAAACCAATATATTCTTCGCTACACTCAGAAGATTAGGTCTAATATAAAGAATCTAAAATCAATGAGCTCTTACTATTTAGTATTTATAATATAATCAGTAAATTATTATAATAATTTTTGGTGCCACAAAATATATATACGTAGATTATAATAATAATTAATATTGTAAACATAAATTATAAGAAGAGATAATGAATACTCACATTCCTTATAAATATCATATGAATTAGTTGCAAAAAAATAATATGGCCAATGAGGGGGGGTTAAACGACATTACCCCCCAGTGAGTAGGCCCATGATGAAGAAATGAAATATTATCTCCATCTAATAATAATATATCGTATAATATGATATATGATATAATATGATATAATATAATGATGTTAAAATAATAGGATAAAACTTATTTTGATGGTACATAAGAATATGTTTTTCGAGAATCTATTTTTACTAATTAAATAATTTTCTTGAAACACATCGTACCGTAGAAGGCATTAGTTTTTTACGTTTTATCAAAGGTCATTCGTTAAAACTGTGTTCAACGACGGATGAATGAAATTTTACTTATCTTTTGAAGTGGGGTTTCAGTATGATATAGGTACCTGCTGTTGCTATTCAGCGAAATACTCCATTTATTATATAATATTAATTTTTTCCTTTTATTTTATTATTCAGCTTTAGAGGTAGGTATTCATGCTCTCGAGTGTGATTTCAAGATTTTCGGAACAATAATAGGTACTTTCACTGTTACCAGATGCAATTTAATGAATAAATTATAAATTATGAATACATTTATAAATTATAACTGATGGTAAGGGTGAAATTATATTAGTGAGCCTTATATTAATGTTTAAATTTCATATAAGTTTTGCGAATTTATTTAAAATAAATAATTATTATCGCGATTCTCTATCTACATGATTGTAACGCATATAACGTTATTGAAATGGCCGCTCGTTGTAGTAAGTTAAAATACGAAAGGCGACAACCAAAATTAATTTTTAATTTGTAATCGTAATAAGTGTTGTATTATATGTAGCAATTAAGTACCTTATCGATATGATTGGGTATATTTTTTTTACCAGTCGCTAGTCACATCGAATCAAGATTACTTACGGAGTACCTTTTGGCTTTTTGAGTTTAATGAATATTAAAAACATGTTTGAATCAATTTGTTACCTATATTATAATATTTATAACATCATAACGCCTGAAATTGAAAATAATTTGTCTAGATTGTATTGGTTTTACTACGATGTGTCTTTTGTGTATTTTTTTTTTTAGTCTGTATTTACTTATTTACCAGAAATCTTGCCCCAATCAAAAACTTTACAGGAACTTTACTATAGAATTTTTTATTTAGTTGTGGCATTGAGGTCATTTTTTAATTTTCTGTGTTGTTATCTAATAAATGGAAAAAATTATATAAAAAAATGAATTA